CAAAACCGCACACCATATTTATACAAACACGCTCACACAGACCATACATACACAGTCGCACATATCCACCGTCACACAAACGCAGCCACTCACATCAAAAACAAAATCTCCCCTGAAGGCCACGCAGACTACTAGGGACAGTCGTGTTAGCGAGTACCAATTAAAGCCAGCATGGCACACGGGGGGGGGGGGGGGGGGGGGTGATGTGGCCAGCACCACGTTGGCCACATGTGTCGCCCCAGTAACGATGTTTACTCATTGCCCCACGTACTGATTTAAGGCTGAGTCGACATTTGGGGAGGCACAGAACTGGTTCAGATAATCACCACTGGGAATTAAACTCCAGTTATCCAGTTTGTAGCACACCATGTCAATCACTGCTTCTCCACTCCCCGTTTCAAAGACAAAGATCCCCTATGTAGCCTTAACAAACTGTTGGGGCAAGTGCTGTTAGTGAGCACCTATGAAGGCCAGCACGGCACACGAGGGGGTAGGTGGCCAACACCACACCTGGCCGCCTTTGTCTCATAAGTGGCAATGTTTACACATCGCACCAGGTACTCATTTGAGACTGAGTCGATTTCGAGGAGGTCCAGGACCTGTTCAAATAATCATCACTGGTGTTGGCCGTGAGCGGGAATCGAAGCCATGTCGCCAGGTTTGTAGCGCAGCGCGCTAATCGCTAAACTACCACTCCCTATTACAAACACACACGCATATGCACCGTACACATGTGCGGTCACGCACTCGCATATCTTATAACCCGAGACACCTGTCAGGTGCTAAGATCAGCTGCGTGTGACTGGTACTCTCAATCCCAGGTTCAAAGTACAATGACTCCAGGTATTCCTGTGTTTGTGTGTGTGTGGCCTGCGCCCATTCGCTGAACATGCACCGACCGCTTGGTGTAAGAATTTACTCAATTAGGATTACACACATCGCCCCCCGACTGCGAAAACTTGGCAGGACACTCCTTAAACAGTCATGAGACTCAGCGAGGATTTCCTGGGTAAACGAGCGTAACAATTATTTAAGTTAGGCCGGATTTGCTCGCAGACATTTTACAGTTTGTCCCGGTTATGCTTGTAAATCATTGCTAACACTGTTGCCTCTCACAATAAAATTAATGAAAGTGAGCCCAAGGGATTTAGAACCTGCAAGCACACACGGCCATGTTGCAGCATTTGGTGGAACAACAGGCTTCCAGTTTATTTAGAGTTCAAATCTAAAGTCAAATCAACTGCATTTGCATCATCATCATCATCACTCTAAGCAAGATGAAATGAGTACCACCTGCCGAGAATGTACTTATAAAGTACTTTATTTACAAAGGAATGCATCAAAGCTCAAGACCATTTATCAGTGTTTCTGGACGGCATGTTTGTCCGAATCATTACCGAGAATTCTGTACCAGTTGGCTGGGCGTCAACGGTGGCTGGTGTGTTAGAAAAAAAAAATTGTTTTAGTTCACACGGCTCAGGAAATTCCACCATCTAGCTCGTCGTTTCTAACACTGCCTTGTCAATCATCACTACCAAGGGTTGGGTAAAATAGGTACCCAATTTTTTTTCCAGAAGGATCCCGAACTGTGGTAGCTTTGGCCAACTTCTACACCCAATTGATCCTCATGAACAAACTCGGTGGCTGTCAAGTGATATTGCGAGACTGGGTTTCCTGCCACAACAATGGGGAAAATTCACCACCAGCTCCGGTCAAACGATGAAGATCATCACCGCCCAGCACCGGTTATAACTGAGAGACAGTGGGCATTCATTTCGACGTGAAAACGGGAAACACGTACGTTTCAATTTTGCACTAAAGTTGTGACTGCTCACTGCAATAACCTTGAGCTTTTTCGGGGATAAAACACCGCATTCCTGCTTAAAGTTGCATCAAGAAACCAGCCACGGAAGAAAACATGGCCAAGACCCACCGTACAGCCATACAGGGGCGTTGAGGCAAGTGGAGTTAGTAAGCAACTATGAGAAGCTGGCATGGTGCTCACAAGGAGGTAAGGTAAAGTGTAGCTGACACCACGTAATGGCCACGTGTACCTTTTCAGTGCTGATTATTTACACAGTAGACCAGTGGTTCTTAACCTGGGGTGCATGCCCTTTCTGGGGGTGCGAGCCATTATCGAATGCAAGATTTTTAAGGTAAATCGTCGAAATACAAATTAAGGACGGGCACGTAAGTACAACTACTTTGTTCCTTAAACCCCCATGTATTTATTAACATTATACATTTTTTAAGGACCGGTTCAGATAATCGCCACTGATGTTGGCCAAGGCTGGGAATCAAACTCAAAATGACGAGTTCGCAGTGCAGTCTGAGAAGACTAAACCACCGCTCCCCCAGAAAACACGCACCATGGCTGCTGCTGTTGCCTGGTGTTCCCCTTGGCAGCACTGCTCAAATTAGCCCTCAGCGTTGAAGCATTATTCTCCAAGGGCTGTGGGCTATGATTACAGGGAAGGATGGAGGGTGGGTTTGTCCTGCTCACTGAATCTCGATCGAGCTGCTCACAACATAGCGATTTGCCTTTCTTGCTCTTAAGTTGATGTTAAGGATTAAACTCAAAGAACAAACAGCTCTTCTCTCGTAGGTACACAGTTTGTTTGAAGCTTTCTAACTTGAGTTTACATTCGAAAAAGCGATTTTCAAACACGCAGTGACAGCCACAGCGACTATTAAAAGGTACAGTGGTGACATAACTCAAGCAATAAGGCAGCTTCTCCCTCGAGTCACTTAAAAGTCGTTTCTTTTTTTAATCAATGATGCTTCAAACTCACATCTCACAGCACGGGTCACACAGCCGAGGTGACCCGTATAAAAGAGAGCTGTTTGTGTTGCTGGGGGTGCCTCATCCTTTAAACTGTACCATGCACGCTGCAGCCCACTGGCCCTCCCAGCCCCTTGCAGGCATAACGAGTTAGTGGACTGTGATGGTGCCTTCACGTGACAGGCACTCTTGAGGAGCTGTAAGGCACTGGCACTGAAGCGTAAAGGCTTTAGGGCGAACTCACGAAACCATAGCCCACGCTGCGGAGCAATCAGAAAGACATTCCCACTACACACCGAGAGAGTCTTAAGACCAAGTCGAATGGAACACCAAAAAAAGAAAGCCCTTGACGTGAGTTAAAGTTTTCACTCTCTCCGAATCCAGTAGCGTTGAGTGGTTGACATGGGCCCTGGTGCAAGAGAATTCAACTATACTATTAAACTATACATTCATTTGAACCCCCTTGTCAAATCATTTCCCTCCAACCCACCACGCTCTCCAAATGCCCAGAGCCTGGCGACCATCCCTCTGACCTAAGGTCCTCAGCACTGTTGCACCGCCCTGTTCCTATACTCTTTGGTTCTTTCAGTAAAGTCACGTAGGTACGTATGTACGTGACTTTACCGAAAGAACCAAAGAGTATGGATTCTTGCAGTCACGAAAGCTTCAAATCAAGATCGCCCTGTTCCTCTCAACTGCCATGCCCCCCACGAATGAGCCATAGTTTGTGGCTCTGAGTTGTTTGTGTTCAGACAATTCTAACAGACCCACAAGCACGAAAATGATGGGTGCTGGACAGGTCTAAAAACTCCAGAGGCTGCTTTAGTAGTTTTTTTGTTATTTTTGTCACGCGTTCCCCCAGTTTTATTCCGATTGAACCATCGGCCTTGTCGTGAGATAAAGCGCGCTCCCCCCTCCCCATTCGGATTCTCTCGCACAGTGAAGCCCTTCGTGTTAAGAAAATGTCTCACTTAAGTAGATTTACAGAGTTTCCTCTGAGAGATATCCCTTCGAGTGACCTCTGATCCACACACTAGGGGAGCAAACACTTCCCGTGCCCGCTCTGCATATGACAGCAGTAGTGTTCAGTGCATGACGTTCAAACTGACATGTTAATTATTGCGTTTAGAATTTAGCCACACCACGTACAGAAAGACATTTTAATTACCGTTTTGACGAATATTTCGAGTTTTTTTTTTCTGCACCACTGCAAATTCAATATCACCAGACAATAATAATAATAGACGCTAAGATTTCCAGTGGCGTTTTAACGAGGGCTCTGTGGGACCTCACGTGGGGCATAATCTCAAAAAGCACAACGGTGCTTGAACGTGCACTCATGATAATCGCAAGTTTAATTTAACACGTAGCAGGCTTTCGCGACCAATATTATTCATACATAATACGGGTTTTGGGTTAGATCGCGTTATCTATGTGTCGTAACCCTCCACCACCCGACACGGCCAATCAGTAAAAAAAGCAGTAAAAAATGTGTCACGTTGACAAAAGACAAATAGTTCACTACGTGACACATTTTTTACTGTTTCGGGTGGTGGAGGGTTACGACACATTTATAAATAACGCGATCTAACCCAAAAACCTTCATTATGAATCACAAGTTTAATGACTTACAAAACGAAATAGGGTGCCAGGGTCTACCCCAGTGAGCCTCAGATTCTGTGCAATGAACCTCAGGAGGACTTCTTATTCTGAATCTATGAGTCTAATGCACCCTAAGAAATGCACGTGTCGCCTCAGTCTGCCCCTATGGCAGGGATGCCTTAGTGTGTCTTTATGGGTCTAATTAAGCATATACACTTGCTTTGATCTGCCTCCAACAGTCTCGTTGGAGCTAAATGACCCTTTGGACCCCCATGGCGGTCTCAGTCTGTGCCCATGGGTCTCAGCCAACCCGGCGCTGGCTAAAGAACCCCAGGGGCTTACCATAGTCTATAAGTCTCATACAAACCTATTAAACTCCTATACGCCACGTGTGCCTAATGACCCTTTCACATAACGATACCAACCCAAGTGTGCACCCTGAAACGCCATCGTCCGTCCCCGTAAACGCTGACGAGCAATCGAAGCCCCGGGAAATGAACCTCGGAGGCAGCGACGAAGGGAGCCCTAAAAGCGACCAGAGGAGTGGCAGCCCGAGAGCCCTGGACGACCTCATCGGACCACCACCACCACCCCACGTCCTCTCCCGTCCTCTCACCCTGTGCGTCGTCCCACCACTGCCCCAGTAGATGTAGTAGGCGACTCCCACGACCCAGAGGCCCGCGAAGCAGAGCAGAAGCCGCGACCTCCTCCTCATGGCGACACCCAGAGGCGGCCTCCTCGGACCCGCGGGGCGAGGTTCGGTGCACGGGTCCTGGTCGAGGGGACGTGGGGGTGGTGGTGGTGGTGGTGGTGGTCCTGTGAGCCTGGAGTCCTCGATCCCGACACAAGTCTGGATGCTTGGATAGCAGCAGAGTCCCTGGGTCCTCGTCGAGACGGACGACGGATGAGTGATCAGCCCGGGGTTGGTGAAGAGTGCGGGTCTCGGGGTCCGTCAGGGCGAGTCGTGGCTGGCCAGGGGGGGGGGCAGTCCTCGAGCAACTCAGCCGGGTTCTTCACACAGATCCCTGCTGGTACAATCGCTGCTGGAGGAAGGCGGCGACCGGTCGGTCTTGCTGGGTTCCTCTGCAAGACCGCGACTGTTGCCGATTTAGAGACCTCGGCGGCCACGCGGGTGCGGTTCTGTGGATCGCCTAAAGCGTGTTGTGTGGTGGTGGTAGTGGGCTGGCTGGGGTGGGGGGTGAGGTGGGGAGTTCTCTCTGGGATGACGACGACGACAACGAGGAGGAGGAAGGGGACGATGAGGAGGTCGAGGAGGACGAGGACGAGGAAGGGGACGAGGAGTAGGAGGAGGAAGGGGAGTCGGGAGGAGGTCGAGGACGAAGGGGACGACGACGAGGAGGACGAGGAGGAGTAGGAAGGAGGAGTAAGAAGGAGGATGAGTAAGAAGGAGTAAGAAGGATGAGGAAGAGGAGTCGGAGCGCCTGGGTCGGGTCCCGGGTCCCGGTCCGGCTCCGCGCCACGGGGTGGGGGGGGGGCGAGCAGCTGGCACTGGGGGGCCGCGCGGCTACGGCGAGCGCGAGGCGCCCAAAACGCGAGTGCGTAAATGGAGGAGGCGCAGCGCGTTCCCACCGCGTTCACTCAGCCTCTCGCCCGTGCCCAGCCAAGCCCCTGCCTCGTGTCGCGACAATTCTCTTGGCCTTGAGTCGGTGCTGTTAGCACTGTGTTGGCAGTAACCGGCACGCCAGTGTTGATGCTGCTGTGTGTTAGTATCCACTCGTAAACGTCGGGGATTTTTTTTTGTGTGTGTGTGTGCTCGTTACCGCATTCAACTCAACCCCAAAGCAGCCCCATCTATCTATACCCTGTGACTTTCACACAGTGCTAGTAGTATTAATACGTGAGCACTGTACTCTGTTCGTACTTGCTCATAAACGCCGGGGTGGAGTGCGAGTTACCCTACTCGGCTTGCCCTGTGTGTATGTGTGTTGGACTTCTTTCGCACCGTACGTAGCCAACCGTGCTACAATCTGAGGTGCGGGGGGAAAGGCAAACTAACTAGACTCACAAAAAGCTCGGCTGTGGATTTCACGCCTGATGATGATTGCTTGTGTTGCAGTCGAAATGTGAGAATTTTTATTATTTGATATTTTTATTATTTTATTATTTCTCTTCTACGTTACTTTACCAAAAGAACCAAGAATATCACTAAAAGCTGTTCTAAAGAAATGAGTTTGTCAATCTGGGTGATTTTAAAGCTGCATGGCTCCAGTAGCTTCCTAATATCGCAAGACAGAACGTTCCAGACGGCCGTAGAAGCGCTTCTGAAAATCGCTGCGAGGATGACCGCAGTTCACGTGATGGTGTAGTGCTGCTTGTGTAGTTGTGTAACAACACTACGAGCATGGCCAACGTGTTCAAGTTCATGTATTAGGTATAGCCCTGTGAGCCATTCGGCTCTTGAATCGGGTGCAACCGCAACAAACAAAAAACTAAAACATGAACAAGAAAACATCTTAAAGTGAAAATGTGACTAAGTGCAAACAGAAAATCCAAGGAAAGACGGCAAAATATTACAGAAAAAACACCGTACACCAACGCTGTGTGCAAAAATCCCAATGGGATGTGGCCAATTCATATCCAATGCTCGCCTATGCTCTTTGTGGGCCCGTAAACTGGAGAATCCAGAGAAAACAGCACACTAGGGAGGGATAAACATTCGGGAAGATTTGCACAGATGGGTTCAAGAAACCCACTCGCTCAAATGCCATCTCCCGGCCACCTCGCAGCCCAAGAACGTAATGGGATTTGAAGCTTTCGTGGCTGCAGGAATCCACACTCTTCTCTGGTTCTTTCGGTAAAGTCACGTAGGTAGAAAATAAAATAAACCACGACGTTTCGGGCGCAACACAAGCGTCCATCATCAGGTGGGAAAGCTTTCTCACCTGATGATGGACGCTTTTGTGGACGCTTGTGTTGCGCCCGAAACGTCGTGATTTATTTTATTTTAGTTCATACCTACGTGATTTTACCGAAAGAACCAAAGAGTAACGTAATGGGAGTTTCACAATTTCCACGTGATCCAAAAACCCCAAACTACAAAATGCTGTAATTTTGTAATTAGTTTATACTATATGTTTTTATTTATTTAGGCCTTGATTTGTGAAAACTTTAATAAAACTGCATCAGAGATTGGATGGCTGCATGAAATTTCCACTGAATAAAATGTATTTTCATTAATAAAATCGACAAAACCAGACGTATTCAGGGGTGATGCACACACATTTGCACGTCTGATTCACGAAACCACTTGCTATACTGCCACCTTTTGGACACATCGAAGCCTCGCGGGTCTGGGAGTTTCCCGAGTTTCACATCTGCTTTTTAAACTTAATAAAAACTTAAGTTTCACAAATTATTACTTGATCAACCAACCTCTGCCTCCAAAGCTCTGGATTACAGGCGTGCACCGCGTTACTTTCCCTGTCTCTGTCAAGTTGATGTTAGTTTTATGCAACACGCCACTCGACTGACTGGAGTGGGTTGAACACTTTATATATTTTAAGAGGTATTCTCTTAGTGTTTTGATCATCCATGTTATAGATTTTTCCAACCTCTTGCATGAATAAACAGCGCTTATGCAAGCAGACGCGTGAAGTGCAAGGCTGGCGGATACCCTTGATAAAGTCACAAACACACACGTGTTGTGACAACTTCACACACACACACACACGTGTTGTGGCAAGGGTCACACACACACGTGCTGTGGCGAGGTCACACACACACACACGTGTTGTGCCGAGGGTCACATACACACGTGCTGTGGCAAGGGTCACACACACACACGTGCTGTGGCAAGGGTCACACACACACACGTGCTGTAGCAAGGGTCACACACACACACCTGCTGTGCTGTATCGTGGTCGCCCAACTATAGGGGCCGATGTTACAACACTTAATGTATAATCCCAAATGATCAATGTGCAAGTACTGTAATTATTTTCAGCATCGAGTTTCTATATTTTTCCGATATCTTTAAATCGTACGGAGATTGCATTTTCTTTTGTAACTATGGGAGGATAGTGGAGAAGCCGGAGAAAAATAATGCAGTCGTGGGGGGAGAACATACGAACTTCCCACTCAGAGAAGAGTTGCCCCAATCCGGCCTTGAACCCAATGTGGCTTTTGCTTTGAGGCGCGAGTGTTCACCACTGAGCCACCCCTGCCACTGTCAAATCACCACAATGCATCATGAGACAAAAGCTGCCCAGCATGTGCCCGATCCTATCAGATCTCAGCAGCGTTTGTATGGGTGACCCCAATGCACAAACAGCTTGCCATAGGGCTGAGTGCTCCAGTTGTGAGTGGCAAACGACAGTGCAGCAAAATCCATTGCTGTATTGAACATATATGCTCCCCGTCATCACCGATACTACGCATTGACCGGCGTGGTGAAGTATGGTCAAACAGCCCGCGTGGTGTGGCGAAGGCCCTCATCAAGCAGTGGATTCTAAAGGGGCAGTCAGAATCAGAATATTTATACTGGAGGAATCCGATTAGCTATAAAACTCTTTTTTACGGATGTGCAGAACGTTACAACAAACAGTACAAAAACACGATAACAGTGTAAAGTATAGGAAAGGTAAACCATTCCGAAAAAATACAAATGAAACGAAACTTTTATTCTATTTGACCAGGTTAAGCCCACTGAGCTATCTGCTTCTTTTCGGAAGCAACCCTAGCCACAAATGATAGGTCAACGAAGTGGCTTATCATGTGGAAATTGATATCAGCCAAATAATCAAAATAATCTAAAGGCATGTTTCTGCAGTGGATTCCCATTGACAATAGCTTTATTTGCTTAAAAAGTGATGTTGCTTTTGCTAAATGAGATATGTAAAATTGATAAACTAGATAGACAAGAATTAAAGTACAGTATATCATTTTCGAAGGTATTTCACGACAGACCAGAGCTTATAATGTTGCAATTCCACATTGCAACAATGGTGACCGAGCCTTAATACAATGGTCCCTTCCATTTGAACAGCATGACGAATCACATCGATCGATAGACTGCAACGTGCACTGCTGGTACGTCGCATTGTGTACCGCCAGTATTTCCACCACTGAAATGAAAATGTCATTGTTTTGCAATGTTTTCTAATGGCTGCCAATGAAACAGATAGATGCCGTGGTGAACGCACATAAATAACAGCCTGGGTCAAACAAGAATTTGCTATCCCAGAAGCCGCCAATGACTCGTGTGCCCTCTGTTGATGTGTAACTGTTGTGTGTACATAGACCTGCATCACCAAGTAGGGTTGAACGATTTGGGGAAAATATATAATTGCGATTTTTCTGATAGATATTGCGATTTGATTTGCGATTAAACATTTTTTTTAAGTCAAGCGTCAGTTCAATATTCACTGTGTAATAGATTTAAAACATGTGATGGAGCATTACCACACGATACAATCAAAATATGAACTGCTCTATATATTCTAATGCAAGGATGAGAACTTAAAATATATTAATTACTTCCAACATACATTTATAAAAATGTTGAATTGAAATAGAACAATCAAACATAGAACAATTAAGTTAAATAAAGGAAAGTTATAATAATAATAAATTAAACAATTCCAATAAGAAAGTAACAGGACTTTTCAAATCGCAAAAAATCGCAGCCTTTACGATTTGCTAATCGCATTGTTTCAAATTGCGATTTCGATTTGAAATCGATTAATCCTTCAACCCGATCACCAACCCCTCAATAGATGTTCGCATCCTTCATTTACAGTATTTTATTAATAACTTCTGCATAAATTATGCATGAGCAGCAGCCATGATCAATCTACCGCTGGACAAAAGCCTCACCGGGCCGTCACCATCAAGCACGGCTCTGTGATGTGATGATGATCCAACGAGCAGCTGCACACGACGCTCATTTGATTGCTACCATCTTCTCCGTGCTCGCTCTGTCTGATGCGTTACGACCCTTTGATGATGATTTGGGTGTCGTAAATGTGTCCACAGGAAAGCCACTTTCGTTGAGCCATCATTTGTGTCGCCGCTTCTGAACAAGAAGCGAAGAGCTCGGTGGAGATTTACCTGGTCAAATATTTGTTTTCTTAATTTGTTTACCTTCCCTATCCCTGACACTCTTATCGTGTTTTGTGCTGTTTGTCCTTCTAATCCGCCCCGACTGGACATCTGCGAAAGAGGGCTTTATAGCTCATCGGATTCCTCACGTATAAATACATATTCTGATTCTCTTCATCAACATCCTTGACCAAGAGTCATCATCTCTTTATGAATGGCTTGAATTATGTCATATGCCTCTTTTTAGTAATCTAAGTTATTCCAAGCTTTTGACTCTCTGCGCTGCACTGTTTGAACGTTATGTTCCATTTTTTGTTAATAACCACGTCATGGCATAAGAATTAGGTCATTATTAAGTCACCAACGGTGAACATACAGTGCAGGCTTTTGCTGATTTCGCCCATGATCCTGTGTGGTCTTACTGTTATTAGTTTTTTTTTAGTTTTTTTCCCCGAGTATGCGTTTACTAGGTACTCTACTATACGTTGACCTGCTTAACATTCTATTCGCAGCTATAGGCGAATGTTTATAGACGGTAGAATGGTAGCTTGAACGCCATGTACACTATTTATATGTGTAGACAGTTCATTGTTTTGGTAAAAAAAAAAGTGCATTAGAGTATTATATTTCCTGTCCATATATATTGCTTGAGTTAACATCCCCATCAGGGACCGACTCTTATGGCTGTGCGGTCGATAAAATAGAAACTACTTTGTGAGTTTCCAACAAATATTGAATTTGCAACACAGAGAGAAGCAACACCGCACACTCATTTCAGCTGGGAAGTACTTTTGACTTTTATTGTGTTGAATAGGCCATTCGTGTAAAAAATTTACAGAAGAAATGCTCGTACGTATTGCGAAGCTTAAGAACTCCTCCCCGATATGATGACACACCTGTAATGTCGTGAAAAGAAGTCTAGGGTGTATGTATTTTGAACTTCTTTCGCACCGTACGGAGCCAACCGTGCTAATCGGAGGTTCGTGGCTCACACAAGTTCGACACCTGTCCACCTTCCAGCAATAAGGTGCCACCTGTAAGGGCAGTGCAGCAAGTAGATAGTCGACTTATTAATGTAGGGTTTAGGTCTCAGGCAGAATTGGATACCAAGAGGAGGATGGCATGCGCTGCAGACGCGAATTGTGAGGCTCAACACGAGCCGCATGGTCGCGGCGTCCCCACTTGGGAAAATCGAAGACAGAGAAAGACAAATATGGATGTTTTTTTTTTGGGGGGGGGGGGATTATATCATGAGTAGGTGGACCCAGCTCAGTGTGGGGGACATCACGAGAAAGAGAGAGAGCTCGTGCCGAGAGGAAACACGTTGGCACGCGTTGACCGTCGACCTCCGAACCCGACGCTGACGGATGGAGGCGTCGCCCTCTCTCTGTGTATTGTTCCCAAGAGCAGGTCGGAGCGTTCCCTTGGTTTGTTCTGGGCACTTGTTTAATTTTAAAAGCAAAATAACAAACTAAATGGAATTGATCTTGATTTAAAGCTTTCGTGACTGCAGGAATCCATACTCTTTGGTTCTTTCGGTGAAGTCACGTAGGTAGAAAAAATAATAGATCACGACGTTTCGATTGCAACACAAGCAACCATCATCAGGTGTGAAACAAACACAGCAGGATGGCTGCTGACGTAGGAGAAAGAGCTACTGCAACAAGAGTTTATATAGGATTTGGTGGGCCCAACCCAAGGGTAAGTGGGTGGAGCTAGAGAATAAATTTGGACGTAAATGTTAGAGATTAGCATGTCAATGTGAAACGGCCCAGCCACCGGAGGTGTGCCAATGAGAAGATTAGCATGTCAACGTCAGAGAGCCGGGCAGCAGGAACAAAAAAACCCTAAGAGCAAGAGGTACACATGGTGAGAGGGAGACAGAGAGAGAGACACATACAGTGTCGGAAATAACAGCTGACATAGGTAGGTTGGATGGAAGCATCACAGTCAATTAATAACGTCCTTCCAATGATTGCTCAGTTTGTACCCATCTTCTCGATTGAAGTTGTGTTTGTGTTTATATATCTGGATGGCTTCATGAACAAATCTCTGATGATAGCCGGTGGATTTCAGAGTACCTTCGTCTTGGAAAAATCTATTTCGTGTGAGCCCACAGCGTTAAAGCAATGATCAGCAACGGGAGAGGTATTGGTCCTACCGTGTTTCAGATCTGCCTTGTGTTCGCGAACACGGTCCGTAACATGTCGTTTCGTTTCCCCAATGTAACTGCTACTGCAGCCACAACGTAGTTTGTAGACACCAGGGAATTGCATGTCAGGAATCACATCCTTTACAGATGGGATCAAATCACGGATTTTGTGTACTGTGTTGAAACGAACCTGGATCTTGTGTTCATTTAAGATTTTGGAAATATTTTTGGTAACCCCTGCTATGTATGGCAAAGTGATGGTTTTGATTGGATCCTCAGATGGATGGCTGGGGAGACAGCTTTGCGGATTGTATGGTCAGAATATCCATTCATCCTGAGGGCTTGGTGTACGTGCTCCAGCTCACTGGCTAGGTGGTGCTGGTCAGAGATGCAACGGGCCCTTTGGTGTAGTGTTTTGATGAGGGAATTCTTCTGGGCTGGATGGTGGTGGGAGTCAGGCTTTAGATAGGCATGCGTGTAGGTGGCTTTCCTGTAGACAGTGTCCCAACGAGCAATCAGGTCTCTTCTCAATCAAAACATCCAGGAATGGTAACTTGCCATCTTTTTCCACTTCCATGGTGAATTTGATAGATGGATGTATGGAATTTATGTGGTTGAGAAATTGGTTCAGTGCTGGCAGGCCATGTGGGCAGATGACGAACGTGTCATCTACGTATCTCTTCCACAAGGAAGGACGTAGGGTGGATGTCTGGATGGCATCTGTTTAATATTTTTCCATGAAAACATTCGCTACCACTGGCGATGAGGGAGAACCCATTGGGGTTCCCTCCTTTTATTTGTGGAATGTACCATTCCAGGTGAAGTAAGTGTTGGTAAGGCAATGCCTTACCAAATTTGGTACATCTGGATTCAGTCCCTGTTGGACCAAGTCTTCAATGATTGCAATGGTGTCAAGTACAGGTACCTTGGTGAACAGGGAGACAACATCGAAACTCACAAGCAAATCATCTGGAGACAGTCAGATGTCCTTGATTAGAGAAACCAAGTGAGCTGAGTTAAGTTCAGCTGAGGTGGTCTTGCCCGTGAAAGGAAGCAAGGTCTCAGACAGAAATCGGGCCAGTTTGTAGGTGGGTGATTTAATGGTGGAGACGATAGGACGGAGCGGGGTACCTTTTTTGTGGATTTTTGGAAGGCCATAAAATCTGGGTGGTCTAGCAGCCGAAGGTTTTAGAGAGAGCTGCTTGGTCAGTTCGATTAGAGAAGTCGAACTAGTGATGCTATTGTTGGTTTTCGTGGCTAGGCGATTGGTGAGATCTCTATTGATTTTGGTATAGCTGCCATCATTAAGGTCCTGAATTTTGTTGTTGTAAGTGGTTTTACCCATGATGACAGTGGCATTGCCCTTGTTGGCTGAGAGGATGAGAATGTCATCTCTCTTTTTTAATTGAGCGAGTTCAAAATGCTCATCCTTGCTGATGTTGCTAATGGATTCTTAGCGTTTTTGAGGATAGCAGCTATTTCAGATCTTGTAACGTCTGCCGGGATGTGTCCCAAACCATTGAGGGCTACGTCGACCTGGGCAATGATATCATCCACTGGGATGTGTTTATAGGTGACTGCGAAATTCAACCCTTTAGCTAGTACGGATTTTATGCTGTCGAAATTGGGCTGTTACTGTGATTGATGACAATCTTGTTAACATCTAACTTTTTAATGTGTGGCTCTGGCTTGTTTTTTGTCAGGAGGTTGAATTTAGCAATCAAGTTAACTTTATATTTGGTTGACATTGAAGTAGCTGAAGAAACTGTCATGTTATCTACATGGTCCCAATCAGATATGGACATTTTATCTGTTAATGCTAAGTGTGATTGTAAGAGTCTTGTCTAAATTATAAAGTTCAAATCGGAGCAATCTTATTCTCTCTGAGATTAGAGCTAGGCTGGCCCTAAACAAGATCCGTTTAGAGTTAGGAGAAGTGACAGCAGTTGATGTGAGTGTAAAGGCAATCGGTGTTACCTTGGTGTCGCGGCATCTCTTCAGAAATTGAGCGAGAAATGGAATTAATGAAACAATAGGAATCGGTTTTACCCTTTCTGGCAATAAGGTCCCATCGATACATGGAATTGGTTTTAAATATAATACAAAACGAAGCTCAGAAAGGCTCGAGACAATGGTGCTTTTCCTGGTGTAAAGACAATTATTAGAATGTAGTGTTCCTGCAGTGGAATGATTATACAATGCAGTAGCAGACCATTACACATGCTGAAATTGAAAAATACGCGGTTTAAGTACAAATTATGCCGCTGTTTATGTTCCAATTGAGCCCTCCTGATAAAAGCACTGCAGGGACATTACCGTCAAGCAGGCCTAACCGGCTGCTAATTTCCAAAAGCATAAAAAAAATTCATCACAGTATATAGTTCCCAAGAGCAGGCCATTGTGTTCCGTGTTCTTGCCAAATGTTGTGGAAGTACCGGCGATTACTGGACTTGCCCAATCTCTAAACACTCCCAGGAGCCAACGTACCCTGTGTGCTGAGCTAAAAGAGAGCACTTTTGGCCAAACTGCTCCAAGGCAATACTTGATGGATGAACGAATGCTGGGGCAGACTCCATGATGGGTGCAGTGACTGCCACGGAGGGGTTCTTTTTAGCTGGTTTGAAGCAATTGGTAGTGTTCAAAACACCACCAGCACAGCCTCGAATGTGCGGTTATTCCACGTAAAATAGGACATTTACACATGGGCGCGGCACGTGCAACTGTTTTATTACTAATTTATCACCGTCTTCATCATCATGAACCATGGTTTTCATATCCGCTGCTGGATTAAGGCCTCCGCCTGCCATTGCCATCCCTCAATGTATTGAGGAATAATTAATCTCACTCCTGCACGTGTACTGATGGCATCACTCCATCTCCACGCTCGTCAACCTCTGAGACACGTGTCCCCCTTTAGCTGCCATTCCATGACCAGTCGCATCCTATGGCCATATTCCCTCCTCACGATGCATCCTGCCCAAGCCCAATTATTATCCTTCAGAGTGAAAACACCATCTATAATTTGTGTTGGCTCCCTGATCCGTTTGTTCCATTTTTGTCTCAGTGCAATTCCAAGAATGCATCCCTTGATACGTTTTTAGCATTTCTTCCATTTCTGATCAACGTCAGAGCAGATAACATACAATGATTTATCCCTGTCTTCTTCACGCACATTAGACATCTAGATATTTTTTTACGTGTGGAAATATTTGTAAGTCACTTGGAGCCAGTTATTAGGAGTATGGGTTTTCTGAAGAATTCAATTTTCAATAGTTTTGCCAGATTGCTAAATTTCTCAGCTCACACACAATTACTTGCAAAAAAAAAATTTGCTACAGACCCGGCCAAAGGTTCCAATACAGGACCCTCATGAGAATTAATTCTTAAGACACGCTGAGAATTTCCCGGTTAAACTACAAAGAAAACTTGTAAAAAAAATCTGCATTTAATCCATTGCTTTGAAATTTTGCATAACGCTACTTAAGAATATTGTACTTTAACTAAGCATTTTCTATTTATTGTAGCCCCAATGCTTCTACGTCACGCAAAGACTTAACGATCACCTCTCATGTTTCCTGTCAGTGACGAGGCAAACCCACCAATTTATTTGCAATATAAAAATGAGTCACATTTTAACACAAGTTGTAAATGCGTGGCAAATGAAATCATTTAATTTAACTATTTTGTACACAACCACTGTACTTTCCATACAAAAATACAATACCGTTCGGGGGGAATAAGACAACAGAAAAAGTAAAAAAAATTAACGTAAACCTTAAGACAACTATGATACACAACTACATCGTTTCTAAATGGCAGTTAGACATACTTAGTTGGAGGGACCATGTCCATTACATTCAGTTATTTATTTCATATATAAATCCGACATAGAGGAGTTGTGCTTAAGAGCACTCAACAAACATATGGCTGAGGGTTCAAATCCCAGTCACGGATCAACTGGTCCCACGATCCCGTTGGGGCTGATACGATGAGCACCACTGTGGGGAAGGTCAACAGTAGATATGTTTCATAACTTGCCCACCCTCTCCCCCCGGCCACGAGAATGTGGAATTTCCTCCACCGGCTCAGCACCTCCAAAGGAAATGCGCGCCACGTAATTTTCGTTTTAGCGTAGAGACACTGTGAATTCATTACTACTACGACCCACTTGAATAGACGAGGGCTCAATGACACGACATGACAACATATACAAATGCTGAATAGAATGAATCTACAACCGGTCTAAGCAGTACCCTGCCAAAATTAGACTTTGCGATTGAGTAGAAGTTTTCCTTCACGAATAATTGACTTTTTGTACTGCATCTATATCTATTGCCATATTTTTTAAGATTTAAACCAGGATGGAGATCCGACCTATTGTTTATTAAAATAAAGGCCCTTATTTACAAATTCATCTTGAGCAAAACAAATTTCATATATAACAATTCGTTGCAGTAGCACAACTGGGAAAATATCAGCACGTAAATATATACATTAGGGAAACTATTGAAGATGGACTGGAACACTAATCAATGAAATTAGGAGGCAAACGAGACCATGTTAGTGTGGTTTGGAAAATTCGAATTGGCAATGAAAAGCAACAAGCCAATGTGCTTAACAAAAAAAGTTTTCAATCAGTGCGTATTACATACAATGGTATCTGGGACCGTAGACACTGACAATGGAAATGTAACAAATGCTGTAAAGTGCGCAGATAAGCATGGCGAGGGTGCATGCTCGGATTAACACCGAGACAGACAAACGCATGAATCGGAGAACAACCGCAAGTTGAAGACATCATTGTGAACGTTACACGCGAGCTTGAGCAGGACACGACGCTGGCCAGGAATTTATAGCCAGTGGTCGAGGCTAACGAGGGAGGGGCTTGCAAGGAGAAAACATGCCCAAGAGGACAACCGCCATGAATATGGAGCGATGACATCGGCTTGTTTGGAGGACAGCTTTATTCTTTGTTGCACCGCGGGATCGTGAGAAATGATGACCCCCTTCATCCAGCAGTGGATAGAACATGGCTGATGATGGCTGTCAAGCGTCCCTCTGTCCAAACGAGTGTGGAGGTGGTGGTCATATCCACCTGCAACCCTTAGCCAGCGCTGTACATTCCCCTTTGGCACTTTTAATGTACACAGAGCTGAATGCAGTCACTATAATAATACTACCCTTTAATTACCCATACGATCTTTACTGATACTCAAAACTTTTCGGATGCTTAGACAAGAGTTTGGCCTGTGGGAGTACACTTGATAATCTGAAGACGGGCTAATGCTCAAAGCTCAATAAAACACATTCAAGAATGCATTGCTCTACTGCCATCTATTGACCACCAGAGCTACAACACGTAGCAGTCTAAGACAGCCTTGTGTAGCCACGATAAGGCTCAAGCCTGCATAGCTTCCGAGACCTGACAACTATTGACATATTCAGCATGATTTGGTCGGAGGCAAAATATGCCAACTCACTTATACATTTCATGCGAGTGCTGAAATGCTTTATGTGATATTTACAAAAGACACATTCACGGAGCTGCACTTTGGACTGTGGTGTACTGCTGTACGGAACGCTCCATTATGGCATGAAACCAAGAGAGTTCCAAATGAAGTTGCAAGTTCAACGATTGAATATGAGGTGCGGAGGCCAAGTTTCGTGGAGGTGGTGCTTATTGGTAGGCACTCTGGAAGATTCGAGCCAAGCCCGTTAACGTGAACATTTTGGTCCTTTATAAGCGAGCAATGTTAAATCGCCAACCAATCACGTGAAGCCAATGTCAAACCATCTAACCAATGACAAGAGAGTGATCTTGAACACTTGTCCATCGCAGGAGAGTGTTCATATGCACTTGCCAATCACGAATGCTCCATGTCAAAAGCATTAACCAATCATGAGAGAGCCATCTCTATGACCAGCCAATTTTGAGAGGACAGCCTCAACTATCGATCATTCGTGATTAAAGCACCAGCAGCGCCAAGCACCGACCACAAAGGAGCAGTGTGAACCATCAATCAACCATGACGCACCAGTGTCAAACCAGCATCCAAACCACAAGAGCGCCGGGCATCAATCAGCGATCAATCGCGAGCGCGCCAAACTGGCCAAGTCACCCCCCCCTCCACCCTAGGCGCGCCGTCACGTGCCACCGGCGGGCTCGTCCCTCGTGACGGCGCTCACCAGCAGCAGGTTGGAGGCCATGAACTGCACGTTGAGCGCCGTGCAAATCCGCGTCGATGGCGCCGCGCCCGTGATCTCAGGTCGCATCGACGTCGGCCGCGAACGCAGCGCCGCCGCCGCCCCCGGCCGCCCCAGTTCCGCCACCGCCGCCAGTTCCACCGCCGCCAGTTCCGCTGCCGCCGCCACCACCAGGATTCGTGGAGGCTCCACGCACATCCCACACGCGCACCGAGCCGTCGGAAGAGCCGGATGCCAGCGCGCTGCCGTCGGGGCTGAAGCTCAGGCAGGTGATGTCGTCCGAGTGTCCGCGTAGCTCCTGCACAGCACGGCAAGACGTGAGCGAGCGCCGTGTGTCGGCAGCCTTATCTGCGTCCCCACACCTCCGATTAGCGCGGTTGGCTACGTACGGCGCAGAAGAACTTCAACGTACATACGTTCGGTGCTGCAGGCGCACCGTGAAAGTTGGGGGTGTCCTACCAGCGAATGGTTCCCGGTGGTTATTGGTTAGATTACCGGCGCACTAGGCGTGCGGCTTGGGAAGCGTGCGTCATGGATGTGCAGATTATAGTCGCGCAGTTGTGGGGTGTGCGTGCATATGATTTGCCTTAATGCAAAGCGGTTGCTGCCAAGTGCGTGTGCTTTTACTGTGAATTTGTGTGTGCTGTGGGGAGCGGTAGTGTAGCGGTTGGCAGTTGGCACGCTGCGCTATGAATCCAGTGACCTGATTCTCGCTCACGGATAACACCAGTGACAATTATCTGAACTGGACTTAGACCTCCCCTACATCGACGCAACCTCAAATGAGTACCTGATGCGGTATGTAAGCATCGCTCCTGGAGAGACAAAGCTGGTCAGGCGTGGTGCTGGCTTTCATAGGTGCTCGCTAACAGCACTTGCCCCAAAAGTCTGTTACGGCTGTACAGATAATTTTTGTCTTTGTGCTGTGTGCGTTGGCCATGCTCTGCTTGTGTGTGTTTTGACTGCGTGTGTGCTGGAAATATTCTGCGGGTGTCTCTGACCTAATTATACAAATTCTCAATACATGTATTGAAAACATTCCCATGAAAGAAAAAAATTAGCACGTACCAAAAGCTTTTTTTAAATGTATTTAGGCGCAATGAAGAAGGGCCATTTCCCCAAAAACGTGTTGAAATGTTTTCGTGCCAATTGTGCACCACTGCCAACGCAGCATCGCCAAATAACAAATCTAAAAATGTTGTGGGTGTCCGCACACCCACCGTATCTGTGTCCCCCGCCTGCGTTGGCACGGAGCGACGTGGGCGGCCGTCATCCTACGCCCGCCCCACTGTACTAGAACTGGCAATCCCTGTGGGTTACTGCGATAACAGCAGCGGTGCTGTTAATGCAACTGCAGTACAAACCCTAAGCAATATGGACTAATAAGGGAGATGGTCATGGCCCGGCTCGTTGAAAAGTCCAGCTACGCACAATTTCAATTAAAATCTAATTGAATTGCAGTTCATATAGGTAGGCTAAGAATTTGACTTGTTTTATTACTTTACATTTTACTGTGCAATACAGTATTGTAATTAATAAATACATACAGTATATAGTTTATACAGTACGGCTACTGTAAATTGCTCTGCTTTGCTAAATTATCACCATTCTTTACTGTCTGTTCCAGCTACTCCCCGTCGGCAGAAGGCTGCGGTCCATCAGGACCAAAACCTCACGTCATAAAAACAGTTTCTTCCCATCTGCTGTGGGCCTCTTCAGCAAGGCCAAGGGCTTAAAATGATTTTTACACTTACTTTAACATTTTATCTACAAAATTACACCTTGCCATATTTACAACATGTTACCCTATTTGTATTTTTTGTATTTTAGAATTGTATATTACGACTAGTTTACATTTTATATTACTTATTCAAAATTTTACATACTTTAGCCCCTGAGTATTAGTTAGACTTTGTAATTTTAGTATAGTTAGACTGTATACCACTTATTTCAGTTTTAAGATTCCTACATGTTGAATGTATGCACCTTCCTGCCATAGTAAATTCCTTGTTTGTGCAAACTTTCATGGCGAATAAAACCCTTTCTGATTCTGATTAAGACTCCTGGGTAGGCTAGGCCATTTTCGACTTACGATATTTTTGACTTACGATGGGGTCGTCGTAACGCATCTCCATCATAAGTAGAGGACTACCTGTACTGCCATGAGTAAATGTAACACTTTCTGTTTGTCATTCTTTGGAAGAACGTAATCAACCAGGTGGGGTGTTGAATGTTGTGTTAGCCGACTCTCTGTGTTGTATTGCATTATATTTATAAGTTTACTATGTTTGTTTTTTCTCATTCATACCTGATGATGGTTGCTTGTGTTGCAATCGAAACGTCGTATTCTATTATTATTTGATTTGATATTCTACGTGACTTTACCGAAAGAACCAAAGAGTATATTCTATAATTTTTACTTTTTTTTGCGTTTCATTGAATATTGGCCAACCTGGTCCAACTAAGTGCCAGAGTCCGGCTAGCCGGGGTTTTGCTGCACTTACAATCGAGATGTCAATACATTGAGTACTGGCTGAGAATTAAGGCGCTGGCAATGTCGTAAAGTTTTCATTTGATATATAGGTGTTTGCTTATGTTGGGAAACACTTTGCTCGAGGAATCTTATCCTGCCTGGACCTAGTCTCCATCGACTAAAGTGCAACAGCCATTGTCATATAATGCTTTGATTTTTTTTCATCTAACCGGGCATATTTTCCAGGGCTCAAAGGAATGTGTTTAGGGATGCGTGACATGTGGCGACTGCAACTACGGCATGCAGTAGAACTGTCTGAGTTTGTGCAGCGACTCCCAACTCTTTATATAGTACGGCACATCGTGGAGCTCTGCAGCAGAGCGACATAAACTAAACTACTAAACAATTTTTTATGTTACCAGGTAAAGCCCAATGAGCTATGTGGCTCTTTTTGAGAGGTGACCTGGTCAAGTTGATCGCTCAACGAAGTGGTTTATCGCGTGGAAATTTATAGCAGCAAATACTCGACATGCGTGTTTCTAAATATGGAAGGGAAAAAACGTAAGATCCGGAGAAAAAAAAAATCACCCCACCACGAGAACATGGAAACTCAAAATATACAAGCGTCAGGGTTGGGATCTAACCCACAAGCGTCTGTATACCAGGCGAGGTAGTTAACATCTCGCCACCGTGGAACCCCTGAGATAGTTCTGTGTAAAATTACAAGTGATAGCTCCGTGGTGAAATTTTACAGTGGCTGTTCTTTGTCTGTCCTTCATGGAATCCCAGAATGTTTCTGATTCTTATGCCTCAGGTGCACGAGCACAACTGGGACGTAACCAGTAGGGATGTCACCGTTAATCACCCGCCTTCACTGCTTTAAATGGATTCTTATGCTCACGGAAAAGGGTTGGGCTGCCCAAGTACATTAGTTGTAACTATTTATACAAAAGTACAAACCAATCAAACACCACTTTCACTGTGCACATTGCTTTGTACATTAGCGCCAACACAGTCCCTTAATCTGAGTCGTTCATCATCGTCATCATAATGATAAATGTATTATTTATAATCATGCATTGATTATTGTTATAAATACTTGTTATAAATAGTTGACTGGCTTTGATACCAAAGCTGAGTGGAACAAGTATTATAAGCATTCCCAAGCCTGCTGATGCAGCACTTGAAAATTCTACAATTAATCATCTGGCGCAACGACGCTGTGACAACAAAGTGTGGAGGGGGCTGGCAATCCCTGTGCCCCACGCTACTCATTGGGGCACAGGGATGGGTGTGACCAAGAGGCGAGATGTCACCATGAACGAGCAACCGGGGGGCAGGAGTTGGTTTTAGGGACAGGGTCCCGAATACCGATCGGCTGCACCAATGCAGCCGCCTTGTTGTACACTACAGCGCCAGGTGTAGCCTGACAAGCGTAAACGCTTCACGTCAGCGAGCAATGGGTGTGTCGAATCGCGGCGCTTCACGTGGACCCCCGTCTCAGCTAAGGTGGGAGGAGAAGAGGCTCTTGAAATGCTTCTGAAAGTTCATATGAATCAATTCTGGCGGTCGCCTAAATGAGGCTGGTTGTAATTACCGGCGAAATGTCGTACTCAAATGGTAAATGTTGTGGGTTTACTCTCCAACACACTGGTGTGCTGAACTAGTAACTAATTGGCATGTTTGGCTCTGTCGGGTGGTGGCGGGTTTAACGACATATTTATATTCACACCAACGAACCCAAAAAAAACCTCTATTATGGATATATGAATCTCACAGACAACGCACACAGCTAACGGGATGTGTATGGAGCGTAATTACCACCCAACTGGGATAGACAGCATGACACCTAGCCACGATTAGATGAATAAAACTGCAGTCCTTTGGCAAATCAACCATCCTCTACAAAGCACCATTGATGGGATGAGATGAAGAGGCAGAGAGATCACGACCAAACCTAACGATATAAGAGGCAGGCTACTGATTTCTAACCCCTAATAACGCGTACCGATTTTCTAAGCTAACCACATGCCGCTTTATATATATAATATACTAGCAGGAAGTAGCTGGTGTTGCCCAGGCGAAAAAGACACACACAGACATCGACCAAAATGGCCCTCTCCCATAGCCAGATAACATCTTGAAAGTGTTGTTGCATGTTTGGGTACACTTTTTCCTCCAGTTCCTGTTCAGAAGTGGAAAGGATGCCTTTAGACATGGTGATAAGTCCATCTGTGTCGTCAGCAACAATACTGGCATTTCCAATATCAAGAAGAGCTTTAGCAGAGTTGCTTGTGTCTTGGTCTCCATGGAGATATACACGCATGTTTGTAGTTAGCCTCAGTTTCATCACGTGCCTCCAGAGGAATGATGACTTGATGCAGGCATTTAACTCATCAGCTTTGGTTTCCCGAAGTACAATGGGTAAGGTTTATCGGAAGTCACGAGCCATGAGAAAAGTTACACCACCCATAATGCTGGAATTGTCGTGGAGGTCCTGCAAAATTGTGTTGACAGCCTCAAATGCTCCCTTCTGGGACATGGTGCATTCATCCCACACTATTCATTCACAATTAAGCAGGACTTGTGCAAGGGCAGTCCCCTGTGAAATATTGTAAACAGGGTTTTCTTGTCAGGATAGATCCAATGGAAGCTTAAATGAGGATTGGGCAGTTCTTCCTCCAATAAGCAGAGTTGCCGCAATCCCCGATTATCAAAGAAAAATACGCCTCAATTTTTAGTCTCAATGTCTTCCAAGATTTTCGTGTAGGCTTCTCTTTGTGTATCAGCTTTGGTTCATTTTCCACAATAAATTTAAGAAGCTCTAAACCATCATAGGATATTTCACGTAGGATCTCTTGAGCAAGGGCATGCAGGTTGTCCCTGTAGGGTGTTGGTAGTCCGATAGACGTGAGGTCTTTTCAACCAATGGAGTGAAGTTTGTCCTCAAGGAGGATGAGGGCCTGGTTAAAGGTGACATCAGAGCGTGCGAGTTGGTACAGTCGAGCAGGCGTTATGTAATAAAGAAGTAACTGAAAGCCGCACTAAATCACTAATTAAACTACTTTAAAGGTGACGGACGCAAAATCGGAATAATGCTGGCTCAGCACGGGGCTTATGTTGTGGTACCTGGCTACTTTTTTTAATTGTAAACCCCACGGTTTGCGAGCTGAATCCTTCGCAAGTTTTGGCCGCACACACACAGACAGACACACAGACAAACAATGACATTTATAGATTAGATCGTTATTACTTGATGCAACTTTTGTTTCTAAAATCAGTTAAAGGCTGAGAAACCTGACAGCTTACAGCTTACATCGGCAGAGTCAGTAAGCACGGGAAGCTTTACGGACAATGGAACGGGCGAACGGAACGGCAGGGCCAGCCAACCTTGACGATGGCGCCGCTGCCGATGTCCCAGAGCCGGACGCGCTGGTCCTCCCCGCCGGACGCGAGCAGGCGCCCTCCGGGGGAGAAAGCGAGTGCCAGCACGGTGCCCCGGTGGCCCGTGAAGAGGCGTGCCGCCGAGCCCTGCTGGGTGCTCCACAGGCGCACCGTGCGGTCGGCGGAGCCCGTCGCAACGTAGCTGCCGTTGGGGTGGAAGCGCACGACGTTCACGTCCGACACGTGGCCTGCGTAGACGCGCAGTGGGAAGGCGCGCTCGGGCACCCAGAGGCGGGCCGTGCGGTCGTGCGAGCCGCTGCAGAAGTACAGGCCCAGGGCGCTCACGTCCACGTCCCACACAGGGTACGCATGTCTGTGCAAAGGCACCGGAGGAGGGGTGGGGGCACAGGGCGGTGTTACGGAGAGGTGGAACGACGCATCGGGTACAGAGTCACGGTGAGAGCGAGGGGGTCACGAAGCGAGCGGGAGGGGATCATGTCATGGTTGTGGGAGGTAATCGGTGAGGGCATGAAGACATGAGGAGGAGGAGACTGTCGGTGCAGGCACGTACCCTTGGTAGACGGCGGTGTTGGTGAATGTGCGTGGGTCCCAGAAGCGCACGCTCGTGTCCTCGGAGCACGAGAGCAGCCCCGCACCGCCGGGCAGGAAGCGCACGGCGTAGACGGGACCTGAGTGGGCGCGCAGCGTCTTCACGTCGCTGCCTTTGCTGTCCTCAACCACCTGTTGTACGCACAGTGGCACGCATACGCGCACAGAGCAACATTAAACACAAATAATCGATTCCAAATACAATTGATTAACACATAGAACCACATACACACAGAACAACTGTCATTCGCCACTTCGAGACGGTGACATCACTCACCACAGTCGTCGTGCCAGGCTAGAGTGAGTATGGAAGAATCGCTGAGAGGTCATGGGACAGACCCAGGAGTTATGGGTTCACTGCCTGAGATTATTGGCTGATGCACCATCTGTGCTCCCCACTGTGTCAGCTTTCTGTGTGTTAGCCGCCCGGCGCTCTGCTCATTGTTGTACGTGTGGCTCCTCTGTCCTCCAACTGACCAGTAGCATCCTTCAAAAGCTTCCTCCACTGAGGCCAACCTTGACCCCGCTGGTACCAGTCATCAGCAAGACCAGTCAGTTCCAAATCCTCCCATACCACATCAGTCCATCTCGTCTCAAGCCTGTGCTGCACTCATTTAGCCCCCTCTATCCAGCCAAACAGAAGCTGCTCACACTCACCCATAGCCACACATATACAGTCCCCACATACACACTCGCACAGATACATTCAGACAGTATTCCCTCGTGAATTGCGAGAGATACCTTTAAGAGGTGATAGTAAAATAGCAAATTACGCTGATAATAATATTGGCCAAAAGAATTACCTTACATAAATACATATAGGAGCTATTAAATACAAAAAATGCTTCTAAAGCTTCTATAAGTTCTATTTTGTACGCGCAAAGTTTGCAGATTCATCTAAAGCTTCGAGAAGATCCATCTCTCTCATATCTTTATATTATCACTTTCTCTCTCTCTGTCGATCCAGTCGTGTAGAGTTCCAGATGCGATTCGTGGATAGCTAAAATCGCGGATAGCAAGCTCTTAAATACCAATACCCGCCATTCGCTACTATGTGACGGTGATGAAACCACAGCGCCTGTGCCAGGTCGTTCTTGAATAACAAACACAAACACACACGCACGTCCCACCTTGTCGTCCAGGATGTCGCACGCGAGGTTGACGCGCGCCACGTCCACGTTGTGCCGTGCAGTGCGCAGCTTGCGTGGCCCCAGGCTCCACAACATCACCCGCGAGTCCTCGTAGCCGGCCGCCAGCATCCCCATCCCCGGCGCCACCTCGGCCGCGCACGGGGGCGCCGGCACAGGACGGTCCGCCGCTGCCGCCGCCCACCATTCCAGCACCACCACAACCGCTACCGCCACAACCACCGCCGCCACCACCGGCGGTTCCCGCGGTAGCACTGACAAACGACGAGGAGGAGGACGACGAGAATGACGAGGAGGAAGAGGAGGAAGTGGAAGGAGGTGGCGGGGCGGTGGCAGAAGCAGTAGCGGAGCCGGCAGTTGTGGTGGTGGAAGCAGTGGCGGCAGCGGCGGCCGAGGAAGCCGACGATCCCGGTTGTGGCGAAGTGGCGTTGGCGATCACGGGGCCACCTGCACCTGCCGCCGACGCCGCTGTTACTGCTGTTGCCACCGACGCCGAGGCTGGAGGCGGTGGTAGAGGTGGCGGCCGCAGGCAACGCCACTGGTCCCGCCGGCGCCAGACCCAGAGGCGGAGCCGGCGGGAGTGGTGGTGGTGGTGGTTCCGGGTGGCGTTGAGTCGTCCCTTGAAGCCGTAGAGGCAGACGGTGGCGGCGTTGAGCGGCCCCTCGCGCACGCGCCGGATGCTGTCCTGCAGCAGCTCCAGCGAGACCTCGTCCGGCGGGAGGGCGTTCATCTTCCCGAAAAAAAATGTACGCAACGTGATGAATCATTCGCCGATAATATTCCAGATGTGTTTTGTCCCGTTCTTAATTAGATTCAACGACCCATACAAGTGCTCAATAACCGCAGACAGGCACAACTCCCGTCATTCAATGAGTGCGCCACATTGTATGTACAAAGGTTCAAATGTCTTCGAACCCAAATGTGCGTGAGATCGCACTCATTTACATCGGTGTGCCTATTCCACATTTCCATGGCAAAGGCCAGTCTATCACGAGAGTAATTTGATGCTTGTAACACGACGAACAGATAAGGGTAAAAATGAGACAATGAAGCCGCTGATTATACCCGCCCAACTCTTTGTGCCGAACACCCCATCAACACCAAGCTCCACTGTTGACCTTCATCCCTGAGCCTCACCTCTGGGTCACCGTCAGCCGTTAGCCCCCCCTGCAGCTGCTGCCGATTCTCCGGCCCTGGCACTCGCACCGCCCCCCCCACTGCCGCCGGTGCCGTCGCTATAAAGCTCGAGCCCCGCCGCGGAGCTGCGCGCCTGGGCCCGCACGTCGAGCCGCAGGTGCGTGCTGACGGCGCGCAGCAGCAGGCCGTGCTCGCCCTGCAACAGGTGGCGCATCAGGCGGCCGTGCGCCACCACGCCCAGCTCCACGCACAGCTTGTGCTCCGTGAGCGTGCGCACGCACGTGTCCGAGCCCACGTCCTGTAGCAGCAGGAGCAGGCAAGGTCGGTCGAAGGATTAGAGGCGGCGGTGGCAGAAGTGGTGGCAGCAACAGCAGATGTAGGGATGTTTCTAATAATGCCCTTATTTATCCACGAGAGCCTCACTGAGATTCAGTGAGGCTGGCCGCCTCTATCTCCCTAGTGGCGATATTTACACACCACACCATGTACTCATTTGTGGCCGAGTCGACTTAGGGGAGGTAAAGGACCGGTTCAGATAATCGTTACTGGTGCTGGCTCTGGGTGGGAATCGAACTCGGCTAGTCGGGTTTCTAGCACAGCATGCTCACCGCTACACTGTCGCTCCCCATACACACATAATACACTAAGTAATACCCCGGTTTTCGTCGAGGATGCGTTCCTGAAAGGTGCAACAAATATTGGAACGACGCAAAGCGAATTACAGGGTAGGTGAAGGCGAAGGCTGAGGCGATGGATACGAGAAAGCTCGGAAGATGCTGCCAGCCACGTGTGTGGGTTGAGGCGACACAAATCAGTTAGCGGTGTTAACAAAGTGACGACGTATTTTCTAAACGACATAAAAGGGAGAGACGTAAATCAGGGTATTACTGTACTCCCTTGCACTCATTCACACACGTACACGTACTTATAATCATGCAAGAAAAAACAAAGATCCACCATATAACCTTAACAGACTGTTGGGGCAAGTGCTGTTAGCGAGCACCTATGAAGTCTGGAACGGTACACAAAGGGGTGGGTGGGCAGCACCACACCCGACCGCCTTTGTCTCCCCAGTGACGATGTTTACACACTGCACCAGGTACTAATTTTAGGCTGAGTCTACCTAGAGATACACAAACCTGCCGCGAGAGCGCTGCACCCAGCCGCTCGGCCAGGAGCCGCTGCTCGTGAGTGTGGGCGACGGGCCCCACGTGGCGCCCGTGGAACGCCTCGGCGGCAGAGCGCCATCCGCCGAGCGCGAGCTCCACGCACAGCGCCAGCGAGAGGGCGCTCATCAACGTCTGCAGCTCCACGCGCTCCTCCCCGCGCAGCTCTGCTCCAGTACAACCGCACACGCAGCCACGCGTTTAGTGCTCCACCGTCACGGGGTCCACTATGCACCACACAGTTCCACATGCTCACCGCACCTAACCGGGTGATTGGCACTCACCACACAGGGTCCACTATGCATCACAGTTCCACACGCTCACCGCACCTAACCGGGTGATTGGCACTCACCACACAGGGTCCACTATGCATCACAGTTCCACACGCTCACCGAACCTAACCGGGTGATTGGCACTCACCACACAGGGTCCACTATGCACCACAGTTCCACACGCTCACCGAACCTAACCGGGTGATTGGCACTCACCACACAGGGTCCACTATGCACCACAGTTCCACACGCTCACCGCACCTAACCGGGTGCTTAGCGCCCCACGACACGGGGTCCATCATGCACCGCACTATTCCACACACTTTAACCAGTTGGAATCTGGTGAAAGTTTATGTATTTAATTTAATTGTAAAAGCTTTCTAACACTGTTTTGTTGTTGTGCAATTGCTTTTTACTTGTGTAAACCAGGTATCGCTTCTGACCCACTCCTACTGGACATGTGAAAAAGAGCTTCATAACTCATCGGATTTCTCCAGGATAAATAATGATTCTCATTCTGACAAAGATATTCTCAGGCTAATCGGGCTCTCACCTGGTTATAACTAAAGGAAACCAGTATATACCTCCACACACTCTACATACATACACACACACAAACAAAATATACACTCACCATTGACAAATTGGCGTAGTGCGTTGAACTGGCGATCATAGTGCGAGGGGTTGGGCTCATAGACACCAAATGACACTGCGTTCATAGGCCCACTCTCTAGCTGGGCTGTTGATACACACACAAAGGCAAAAGCAAAGATTCCCCCATACAACCTAAACAGACTGTTGGGACAAGTGCTGTTAGCGAGCACCTGTGAAAGCCAGCACACCACACAAAGGGGTTAGTGGCTAACACCACGCCTGGCCACCTTTGTCTCCCTACTGGCGACCGGTTCAAATAATCGTCACTGGTGTTTGCCGTGAGCAGGAATCGAACTCGGGTCGCCAGGGTTCGTAGCGCAGGCGCATTAACTGCTGCATTGACACAGAAATCGCATGTATACACACATAGCAAGTGCACGTATGTATTGTAATAGCATGCACATACACAGGCAAGCACACTTGTGCATAATCACAAACATGCACAAAAGCACACATCGGGAGACTGCGTAGCTTTTAAGAAAAACACAGAGGCAATAAAGTCAGACTGCCACAGTGGGATACAACCCATTTCCTACTGCCATCCTCTCATTTATTTAGGCTGCAAAATAATATTGTTTAACTACTACTGGAATCTTGCAGCAACCTAGGTATCGAAAGATGTATTGCTGAGGGTCCCATGATAAGTTTGGTGAATATCCGCAGCGTCGCATGCACGCGTACACACAGCTTTTGACAGCCACTAATCCAAACCTGTCAACACATACGGTTCACCCGTATTCTTGTACAGGGAAATTTAATTTTTAGGTCCATACGGCGTACAGCCGTTTCAATACGGGCAAACATTTTTTTGGTCTATTTGTTTATTTCTCTCTTGTGATGGGACTTTGTAGGATGAGCAGTTGAGATTTATAAGGGCACGGGGTGACCAATTAATATCTGAATTGGCTCTATAATAAGGTAGGGCACTGATAAGGGGTTGACAGGTATGCTTATTTCTCAGCCGCTAATGGGTCCGCCGCCGCACCTGCCATGCTGGCCGCCATCTCCTCGGCCGACTGACAGCCGCGGAAGCTCTGCCGCTGAGCCAGCTCCGACTCGGTGTAGTGGCGCCGCTTGAGGAGTTGGTTGACGGCCGACTGGAGCTGCTCGCTGCGTACGCGCTTCATGGCGCAAGCGGCCGCGCGCCGTCACGTGGGCGTACGGCTCATGCGACCTAAAACGTCGCGGGATAACATAACAAGAATGAGAAAACAAACATAGTAAACTTGGAAATATAATGCAATACAACACAGAGAGTCGGCCAACACAAGTCAACAATACATAGACGCAAGCTTCAAATCTAGAAATAACAAGAGAGTATCAGAATCGGAATATTGATTTGTACCGGAGGAATGCGATGAGCTATGAAGCTCTTTTTCAGACCGTCCAGTAGTTTTCACAGATATCTAGCGGTATGATAAACGCGAGCCGTCATTGGCATTACTCTTTGGTTCTTTCGGTAAAGTCACGTAGACATAAATTAAATAATAATAATAGAATACGACGTTTCGATTGCAACACAAGCAACCATCATCAGGTACAAATTAATGAGAAAACAAACATAGTAAACTTGTAAATATAATGCAATACAACACAGTCAGCTAACACAACAGTCAACACCCTACCTGGTTGATTACATTCTTCCAAAGATTGCTAAATTTGAGAGACAATACATAGACACAGAGACAATACATAGACCAACACACATGCAGAGAGAGACCCACACCAAGACAAACAGAAAGACGCTAAATTTCGATTTAAAGCTTTCGTGACTGCAGGGATGTTGATCCTGCATAATGCATGGGCATAATATGACTTTGAAACCCCCCCGCCCACCTCCTACGCATTTTCCATGAATATGCTAAATTCCTCTTCACATGCACATTCTTTTGTTAAGGCGCTCTTTCCTCCACCTCCAACGCAGCTTATATATAAGCTCCTAGCTTGGCATTGTCTCATTCTTCACCTGAAGACGGCTGCTTCCGTTGTAGCCGAAACGTCGTGAGAATTATTTTATTTTATTATGTTTTATTTTTATTATTTTATTACTTCCCTTCTACGTGACTTTACCGAAAGAACTAAGAAGAAAGACGCTAACCTTCCTCAAGAGATGACGTGACAACAAGGTAATACCCATCGCTTTAAACATGCGTCTCTAAACAGCTCTCTTCATACGCTACAGTAATTTTGCTGGAGCAGTCTACACCTGATGACGGATGCTTGTGTTGCTTCCGAAACGTCGTGATTTAATTTAGTTGTTTTATTTATTTCTTCTTATTTTGTTTTCGCCTACGTGACTTTACCGAAAAAACCAAAGAGTATGAATCCTTGCAGTCACGAAAACTTAAAATCTAGACTCAATTCTCCTGTACAAGAATACGGGGTAAGCCGTACGTGTTGACGGCTCTGCATACACGACTCTTTGAAAGCAACTCGACGAAGCAACAAGTCATTTGTGTGTCCAGACGGACTCGTGTAAGACGCAGACCAGGTGCGCATCGTCGCTGGCGGTGCCAGAGACCGGAAAATCCACATTCCTATGGTAGGGAGATCGTACAGCACGAGCAGTGATGTCAATCGTGACAAAAACAGCCGTTTGGTGTTGAACAAAGAAAGCGGAGTCTCGGTGCGTTACAAATGTTGACTTGTCAAGCAGCAAAATTAGACGGGTTACGAGCAAAACAAGACGATGTTTCGTTGACAGGAAAATATATCGGACCGTGTTCCACCAAGTAAACAAAGCGCGACTCGGTCCGTTTAAGTGTCTGCGCGTTTGATAATTAAAGTTCGCCTAATTGAAGCGCTTTTTTAACAAAAACGTAAAAAGATTATACAGACCGCGGCCTAGCTAGTCGAGGCGCTCATCCCGCGCGAGAAGCGATGCAGAGCGGTGTAACGAATTTTTAAACACATGAACCCGCCGACTGTGTGTGGCGTTGCGTTTACAACGACACGCTGCGAACGTCCAACGAAATGTCGCGTTGTTGTTTAAACTAAAAGTGAATTTACAAATTTTAATTCATTGCAGAGTCAACGGCAGGCGCGCGGGGGTGCCCTGTCCGTCCCCATCGAGCCTCTGGAAACCCGCGCGGGGCGCTTTTAGATTCCGCTTGGTTTTGTTCCGGCCTGTGAAACAGCAGTAGCACGCATACAAATACCATGAATATAATTACAATAATTATTATTATTTCAATACAGAACAGTGACACGCGTACTCATACCATAAATATAATTACAATAATAATAAGTTTTACATTACACAACAGTAACACGCATACTAATACCATGAATATAATTTTTAGTTACTACATAACAGGAGCACGCATAACTGATACCATTAATATATTCCAGATTTGAAGCTTTCGTGACTGCAAGGATTCATTTTCTTAGGTTTTTTTCGGTAAAGTTACGTAGGTAAAAAAGTTAAAATTAATAAAAGTAAAATAAAAATAAAATAAAAATCACGACGTTTCGGAGGCAACACAAGCTTCCGTCTTCAGGTGGAACCGTCACAGCACGATTGCTGTATCAAGTGAGAGAAATTCCAAGAAAACCGTCCTTGTATATATACTGGTTGAGGGTGGGAGGAGCCAAGGTAGGCACTGAATATTATTGTGTAGAATGGTTGATTGAGCCTATTATTATGTAGAGGTGGTGCGGCTTAACTCGCTGTCAGGAAATGAGTCTTTCTTGTGTAAAATGGTTGACTGAGCCTATTATTATGTAAGGGTGGTGCGGCTGAAATCGCTGCCAGGAATGCTCCAAATATGTGTAGTTACATCTTTTTTGCATGATTAATAAGATCTTCCAATGATTACTAAGTTTGTACCCATCATGTCAACCGTGATGACGGTTGACATAATTTCAACCGTGATGATGCTATTTCATTCATTCTTATGGGGATTGATTCGGTGTTCGAACAAATCGGTGTTCGAACACGGGTTTGGAACGAATTAAGTTCGATCTCCGAGGTACCACTGTAACTAGAGGCGTGTCGCGCTTAACGAGTGAGATGCGTTCCGCGAAAATTGCTCGGTAAGCGAACAGGAACGTTAAACGTTCGTCGTTTCCCCATAGACTCACTCCCATTGTGTAAAAAGCAGTCGCCTTTCAGCCCCAAATGTTCCACTTTTGAACATTTTTATTTTCAAACATGAGAAATACTCATTACTGCGTAGTTTTAAAGTAAAGTAAAAAAAACCATCAAAGTTAACACTTACTACACATGAAGAAACCAGTGCAAGATTCCCCCTCACCCCCATAGAAGATAATGTTGACAGGGGTCTGCAACTTGCGGCTCTTCTATCGATCAGTCTTTGCTCGCTAAGCGAACATTTTTGCTCATTTTGCGAGCAAATTGTGGCTAAATAAAATTTGCAGTGATTTAATTTATTTTATAAAGAACCAAAGAGTATGGATCCCTGCAATCACGAAAACTTCAAATCTAGATAAAATTTGCCCGTTGTAGCGAATTCTCGTAACAAAAGAACGCTCGTTAAGCGAGTCACCCCTGAAGTTTGGAACAAAGAAAAGTCTCAAGCTGCGTCCATGTGTGGTACTGGACGGGAGATGATGGGTGGGGCTTGGGTACATAAATCTACACTTTTTTTTTATTACACGCTTTCTATTAACTCACTGTCTGTTATATTCTTGGTTCTTTCGGTAAAGTCACGTAGAAGGGAATTTATAAAATAAGAAAAATATAAAACAACAAAATCATCATCTGATGATGATTGCTTGTGTTGCAGTCGAAACGTCGTGAGGATTTTGTTGTTTTATATTTTTATTATTTTATTGTTTCCCTTCTACGTGACTTTACCGTAAGAACCAAGAATATGAATCCCTGCAGTCACGAAAGCTTTAAATCAAAATTCACTGTCTGTTGTTGTCGTTGTATCCTCAAATCTTGTAACTCAATTTTAACCCACTTCCCAATGTGGTATCGACTGCAAACTTGGTATACTTATGTCATACTGATGGCAATACTAAATTCTATCATAAGAAAATATAATTGTCCACGCTCAACTCACGTTGGCTGTAAATCACCAGTCTCTTACGTTATGGCAAGCTTCGGGGCCACTTCCTGGAGTCGTGGAGTTTTTCCATTACTAGTAGGGTACATTTAATTAAAGCGTGTTTAAAAAAAAATATTACTTTTTTTTTTTACCAGATAAGCCCCACTAACCTATATAGCTCTTTTTCAGAAGCCACAAATGATAGCTCAACGAAGTGGCTTATCACGTGGAAAGTTATAACAGCCAAATACTCTAAAGGCATGTTGATTCTAAAAACTCGGAGGGAAAAATCCACACGACGAGAGACACGCTAACTCAAAATATACAAGAGTTAGGGTCGGGATTGAACCCACGAGCTCCTGCATGACAGGCGAGACAGTTAACAGTTCGCCACCACGGTGCCGTATCATTGACATCGTCACGCTGGGCGTAACTTGTAGGGGGTTTCCTGCCTTCAGGAAGCAGGATAATTTTATATTTTTGGAAGGGCCCGAGTAATCGACTACAAAACGCAACGATTGTTTGTTTTGGTCAATTAAGCGGCTGCATCGATCAATCTTAGCAGTTCTAATTTTCTCTCAACTGAAATGTAACAGCTTATCTATTTTCATTCAGCTTGTATACATCATTCAATGCTTAACACGGATCATTCTATGCATGTGTCGTGAGCATATGAATAGATTTCAATTGTTGGACGAATACATATTTAGGGGCCGTCCATAAATGACGTCACGCGATTTTGGACGATTTTTGACAAGTCAGACCCCCCCCCTCAAATATGACGTCACAAAGCTCTGCCCCCCCCCCCCCCAAAATAAAACATGCTTCAAATCGCTTTAAACTATTGTCATTGTAGTGCGTATTTAATGTGGCGCTGCACTCTGATGTTGTAGGCGAAAACATTTATTAAAAGTCTGTTTAATTAAGTAGAACGTGTTGTGTATATTTAAAGTTGCGCATTTTGATGTGACGTCACATTTCTAAACCCCCCCCCCCCAGGTGCGTGACGTCATTTATGGACGGCCCCTTACATGCTGAGCACAGGATACCTACACAGCGACAAGTCTGTTAAATTTCCAGGGTAATTATTATTAGCCCACTGGACTTCCAGTACAGAGGTCGTCGGTTCAACCTCTCGGCGCGGCAGTTGAAACGATGGCGCAGAGCTCTTACCCCCCCCCCCCCCGTGCTTCAGTCCACTCAGCCGTGTACACGGCAGTTGTTCAATCAGCAGGCAGGTGGCGTATGGCGGGGTAAAGTGTAGGTACTCTCTCCCAACTCTTCCAAGGCGTCTGACCAGCGTGCAAAAGTAGACCAAAATAGCTGATTTTATTTCGATTTAGAGCTTTCGTGACTGCAGGGATTCATCTTCTTGGTTCTTTCGGTAAAGTCACGTAGAATGGAAATAATAAAATAATAAAAATGTAACAATAAAATAATTCTCACGACGTTTCGGCCACAATGCAAGCAGCCGTCCTCAGGTGAAGAACAGGTCTGTCAGACGCTGTCTTCTCGACAGACCTGTTCTGCACCTGAGGACGGCTGCTTGCGTTGTGGCCGAAACGTCGTGAAAATTATTTCATTGTTTTATTTTTATTATTTTATTATTTCCATTCTACGTGACTTTACCGAAAGAACCAAGAAGATAGCTGATTTGAGTTCACTAGAGCTCGTTCGAGCAGAGGCCCTTCCGGACAGCAGCGGTACGTGCAAGCAATTGCAGGGTCGTGCCTTTGCTTTACATCTACTAAGAGCCCACAATACACCGAATGACCTTCAAGTTCAAGTTCATGTATTAGGTACAGAGCCCTGTGAGCCATTCAGCTCTTGAATCAGGTGCAACCGCAACAAACAAAAAAAACATGAACAAAAAACATCTTAAAGTGAATATGTGACTAAGTGAATATGTGACCTACTCAAAACCAGACGAGTCTGTCCATGCTACCAAGTCCCACTTCAGGAGTCCCCGATTGGTGGAATCTCTATCTCGTCTGGGCTCGGTAAAATGGTCCCCCCTCTACACGTCAAGGTTTCTTAAGGAAACAGAAACTATACGAGTAATAAAAGACACCACACCATTTGTTCTTACAATGTAAAAATCATTTACTACAAAAGTTAAGCAGGTGACAATAACAACTCATTTGACTTTCATGACAAGCCGAATGTATGACAACAGGGTACAACATTGAGCAACATCAAAATGAGTGGGCTCGTGGTAAATGTGCACCCTATATGCCTGCTTAACAAAACGTCTACTCAAGTGCAGCTGTTCGTGCACTGCCATTTTTGTTGTACTTTACAATGAAGCAAGTTGTGCAATCCTGTACCACAAATACGTTACATGAACGTCTCAATTCAGTTGTTATGAGGCCTGATCTGTTCACGCTAAACGGAATTACAAATAACTGAACAAAGATATTATATTTTACCGGTTTTAGTTTATAACACAGCAGGGTCCATTTATCCAGAGAATCCTCACTTTGGAGATTTTAAAATGATCGTTCGGTTATGTTCGTGCGCAGAGAAAACCCACACGCGCACACGAGGCGACAGTGGTCAGAATCCCGCCGTATGCCTCGACCCATCAGAAATCTTGCCGCAACTTCTTGCAGATGATTTGGTGATGCTGCGTTGGCAGTGCTGCACAAAAACGATTACAAAAAAAAATTCACCGCATCCGCCAATAACACCAAGAGTCATGAAAAGAAAAAAATATATAACCAGGTGATGTTCTGGGCAAATGGGGCTTCTTCGTGACACAATGAAGGCGTGCTACGAAAAATGTCCATTTGCCCAAAACATTGCCTTTGTAAAGCTTATATTTTGTTTTCTTTCTTATCGATGGATATCTTAGAGCAAAAACCTCAGTCCCCAGCTGGCCAGCGTTTCACACACGGTACACATTCATCAATCTTCAAGCCACCGACCCTGCCTCATACTCTCTGGATTACCTTTTGACCAGTTGGCACCATGATTAAGAGCTGTGGTAACATCTGCAGGAGGTCTCCAATCGATCCAGCCCATCATCTCTCTAAGTTTAATAAATGAGTACAACTTTGAGGGAAGTAACCAGTATTTCACTTAGGAGGAGACTATCCTTCCATACCATGGGAACGTGGAATTTCGAGCCCAGGGCCACCAAAGCAGATGAACATTGCCCATTTGAGCATGGAGCGCAGCACAAATGAGCAAGTGTCTGAAATGTCAAGTGACTCTTGGAAGGCGACGGATGCACTCACTACCTTGCTGATCTCGTCAAGGAGCATAAACAACCATCACGCAAACTCCGGTCACTTGCAACGGCTTTTGGTTGGCCATCGGACAAAGACGGTCACTGCATCGCATGCTTTCAGAAGCGTTCCGCAGCCGTCTGGAGTGCTCTTCCTTCTGATATTAGGAAGGTAATGGGAGCTGTGCACTTTTAAATCTAGTTTGAAAACTAATTTCTTTAGAACTTATTTTTGTGTTTAGTTTGTTGTCCTTCCCCCGCACCTCTGATTCGCGTGGTTGGCTACGTACGGTGCGAAAGAAGTTCAACCCCTCCTGCTCGTTTCCTTTCTCATCCCTCTCTCACCCACACTTAGCTCTTCTGCTGCCCTGTCCCCTCTTGTGCCTCCACAGATTCACCCTCTTGGTCCCCCCGCCTCTCCACCAGCCCCTCCGCCGTATCCATGGTCTCTGTATCCGTGACGATGGCTTCCCTGGCAACATCTTCTTTAGCAACGACTGCCATGGCAATTGCATCCTCAGCAACGGATTCCTTGACAACTGTTGCCTCAGTGACATCTTGCTTGGCAACCTTTGTCGGGGCGACATCTTCCTTGGCAACTGTTGTCTCGGCTACAGCTTCCTTGGCAGCCGTCTCGGCGATAAATTCCTTGGCAACTGTTGCCTCGGTAACAGATTCCTTGGAAGCAGTTCTCTCAGCTACAGCTTCCTTGGCAACCGCTTCCTCGGTAACAGATTCCTTGGAAGCAGTTGTCTCGGCAACGGCTTCCTTGGCGGCTGCTGATTCAGCAACCGCTTCCTTGGAAGCAGTTGTCTCAGTAGAAACTGCCTTCGAAACCTCTGCTTTTTTCACCATTTCCTTGCCATCTGTTACCTCGGCAACCGCTTCTTTAGTAACGGCTCCATCAGCACCTTTTGCCTTCACAACCGCTTCTTTGGCAACTGCGGTTTCATCCGCCTCACCCTCGCTGTCGTCGCTGTCGCTGTCCCGCCCCGGATGTTCCGGCATCTTCTTATGCTTCTCCTCCTGATCACCATCACCGCCACCATCACCGCCACCATCACCGCCACCATCACCGCCACCATCACCGCCACCATCCTCTTTACTATCCGTGGCAGCCGCCTCACTCGTATCCATGGGTTCTACATCCCCGGAGACGGTGCTTGGCGTTTCCATGGTTAAAGCTGCTGGGGAGTCAGTTTCCATGGCATCGGTGGTTCCCGTGGCTTCCCCGTCTGATCCATCCTTGGCGGCGTCTTCCTTCGCTTGCTGTACAGGAGGCTGGGCTGGGACCCTGGACCTGGGTGGCTGAGCGAGAGGCTGGAACAACAGAACATCGTTCATTCATTCATTAATTTTATGTGAATTCCTCGAGTGAAGAAGCACGATGAAGGAATGTGACGGACGTGTTAACCGTGCGACGAAGTGTGATGAAGAAGCGCGGGGTAAATGCTGGATGAAGTAACGTGGCGCTAAAGTACTGTGATGAATGAAGCGCCATGTTGAAACATGGTGGTGTAGTGTGACGAACTGGGAAAAGACTGATGAAGATGCACGTTGAATACCGATTAAGGGATAACATGCAAAGAAGCGCTGAAGCGTTCAAGCGCTAGAGCGGTGAGCACCAGTTAACGCTACATAAACCTAGATTATTATTATTATTGATGTTGCGTGGTGAGGAGGCACAAAGACACTGTGATGAATCGTAATGCAGAAGCATTCGGAAGGGCGGTAAAGCGTGGAGAAGGCACGTGCGTGCTGGGAAAACGTGCAAAAGCCTGCGAGAAAAACCGTACAGCTCCCGATAAAACGTGACGGGGAAGTCTTATGCAGCGTGACGGAGAAGCACGAAGACAAGGAATGAAAACCAAGAACCAAGACGAAGACATAATGAGGTGTGATGAGAGGATTCAGGAAGTAGGTAAGCATAGCGCAAGTGGAGTAAAACCTCGACATGGGGTATGTATGTACGTATATGTTGGACTTCTTTTGCACCGTACGTAGCCAACCGTGCGAATTGGAAGTGCGGGGGAAGGACAACAAACTAAATACAAAGGTGAGGGGGCAGCCAGGATAATGGGTGGGGGGGGGGGTGTAGTCGTACAATGTGTCGTCTATTTTTATAATTTTTTTAATTAATCACGTGAGTTGCCGATGCTCGGCGTGTTTGCGGTCACGTGGGCATCCGAGTCACGCAAGTCGGCTGGAAGCGGCGTGACGGGCCGCGATTGACAATAAACGAGAATTACGATGCTAGATCACAACGAGCGCGCGTGCGATGCACGATAAATACCAATACAGAAACGTATAACGCGCACCGCTTTTCGCTTTAGATTCAGACACATGGGGGAAACCAGAGGAGGAGCCGAAATGCAGCCCCGACCCAGCGCCAACAGTTGCCCAAGCTCTGGAACCTACACCAGTTTGTCCAACTCCAGAAATGATTGAATGGTGAAAACATGGAGCAGGATGAAGGAGCGCCATGAAGGCGGAGGATGGTGACAAAGAAGCGGGACCCCGCTGCTACAGGAGGCATCACCTGGTAGTATTGCTGGTAGTGCTGCAGGACCCGGAAGTACATGTTGTACACGAAGGTGGCCATCTCCGGCATGTCCTTGACTATGAGCGGCGGACAGCGTGCCGCCTCGCCGTTCTGCAATGCGCACGGCGCGGCGGTGAGCGCGCACGACGAACGCTCCATTGACATCAGTGCGTGGTTAAAATCACATGGTAACCGTTGTTACTGGGAGATAACAAGACAAACTTTGTTATTTTATTTTGGGTAATTCTTCCCCCCCTCTCCCCTTTCTCCCATTCCCCCCCCCCGCCCCCTTATATTCACTGTTCCCGATCGTTACCTCTACTGCGCTAGGGCAGTGACCCCGGACACCCTCGTTCATTTACTAATTTCGAGGGTGCGTTACGCCCTGGCATGTTGGGCGTGATCTTCTGTTTTTCCCTCCTTTTGAAATTCCCATTCGTCATTTTGGGTTCTTTAACGACAATGAAAAAAAAATGCTTGCAAAAATATGTATCTCGGAGAAGCAAATTGAGCACACACGGCCAAAAGCTCGCTCACAATAACAACAGTGACATCCAACGGCGGGGCGCGTGCATACCGGCCGCTGAGTCGGGCAGCTCTCGTCCGGGTACAGGTGCAGCTGGAGCGGCCGTGCCGTGAGCTGGTTGAAGGCCGGCGTCAGCTCGAAGCAGTTGCGGAAGAGCGACGCCCGGGCGAAGACATAGAGGCCGAGGCGGGCACGCGACATCGCCACCACCAGACGGCGCACGTCCCTGCAGCCGTGAGGTGGCACGGCGCACACCGTTCACGTGAACGCTCAGTAAATGCCCGCTGCTTATAACAGGGTGGCGGACGACCGATTTGATTACTCGGCACTGCTCTGTGTGGTGGGAGATGCCGGAAAATCGAGACGAGTTGCCAGTGTTGCGTGAACGCGAATGAAGTCGGCGCATGTGAAGGCAGTCTTTGTGGATAAGTGGCACGTGCACAATGTTTCTCTGCGTGTTTCTCCCCTGTCTGTCCCTGCACCTCGTCATCTGCACATCTATCTTTCTATTTCTGCATCTCTCTGTCTGTCTCTCTCCATGGCTATGTGCCCTTCTCTAAGTCTCTTTCTGTGTCTGTCTCTCACGATGACCACTGCACCCCACATCTCCCGTGTCACTTCGGCTCAGTGCAGGATCCTCTTTTCCCCCCATCTGCACAGGGCGCTGCTTGAGCGTCGAGAGCGCTCTGCTTACATCCTTACACGCAAGACAACACAAAGCCGCCTGCGTTCATCGCTTCAAGTTACACGTTCAATAGAGAGACGGCATTCTCACATGCACATTGGCAAGATATTAACTACCTTGCCCGGTAAATAGGTCGTGGGTTCAATCCCGACCTGACGCCTGTGTCTTTGGAGTTTGCATGTCTCCCCGTGGTCGCGTGGATTTTTCTGCAGGTCCTCCGGTTTTTCCCTCCACATTTAGAATACATGCGTTTAGAGTGTTTGGCTGTTATACATTTCCACACGATAAGCCACTTCATTGGGCTATCATTTGTGGCCATGTGGCTTCATAGCTCAGTGGGCCTAACCCGGTAAAATAAAAAACAGTTCAGTTTAGTTTTGAAACACATGAGATGCCTGGGCTGGCAAAGTGCTGGGTTTAACGATAAGGTGCAAGGATGCAGTCATGAGAATCTCACCTCAGGTGACCCACTGCTTTAGTCCTGACCAAGGAAAGAATAATGTAGTCGTTCTGCTGACCCTGGAATCTGTCCACGGTCGTCACCTGTAGCGCGCAAATGTAGCAACAGGGACATTGGTTACAGACAGCATCTCAACAAGCAATCCTATAAGTAACACACAGTCCATGATGAGAGAGAGTCTTGAGATGTACTGGTGCATTTAAAAATAAGTAAATATATTTTCTACGTCTTATTTATAACACATTGTTTGTATTTTCTGTCTAGTTCCCTTCAACCACAATGGTATACAATGTACTTTATGGTTGGTACAAATGGTAAATAATAGATTTTTAGACACGCGATGGGATGAACGCAACTATTTTAAATCTTAACAATTTATCTTTAAACGAAGACTCGCTGTGTGACCAGCGCACTGCCAATTACCATCGATGGTATGAAATCTCGACAGAGGAGGGCACAGGCGCTCGGTAGCGGGAGAGAGGGGCGGCGGTGCGGAGGGACGGGGGCCCCCCCTGGTGGGACCCCAGAAGGGGCGGCTGTGCCGGGGAGGGGGGCGGGGGAGGCTGTTCCGGCACCTTGCTGGGGCGGCCGAAGAGTGGGTTCTCTCCGCAGCGCTGGTTGACGACGTCGCGGATCAGGTGCTTCTGCCCATTGTAGGTCGTGAGGATGCTGATCCTGTCGGCCGGGTACCCGAGCAGGCGCATGTACATGAAGAGTGCCACCGCGTACTCTGCCTCCGCCAGGTTCTGTGCGGTGAACACGCACACACAGCACAACAACGACAAAGACAACAGCGGCCCTGGCAAACTGATGTTCGCCACCAAGCGACGGTGACGTCCACGCAGCGCTTGTGCCAGCGATAGGCGCGTTTGATGATACCAGAAGCTCGCTGTGAGGTTGCGACACGAGCCCAGACGTAATGGGTTAAAAGACTGACATGACCGGCAGGTGGCACCACCAGTGCTCGGCGGAAATTAATGTAATTTCAATCGCGCTCCATGGTGGTGGATTTGACTTTCAACAGTGCACGGCGATAGCTTCCACAGGAGGTATTCTCCACATCAATTTTGGCTGTCGCCTGATGAGCCTGGTTGTTATAATTACCGGCGAAACGTCGTACTCAAATTGTAAATGTTGTGGATTTACTCTCCAACACACACCAGTGTGCTGAAGTAGTAACTAATTGGCACGTTTCGTTTAAGTGACAAACCTTACTAATTGGCCGCGTCGGGTTGCGTCGGAATCAACGACACATTTCATATTTTCGCGATTGAACAAAAAAAAAGTTCTATTATGGATTACTATTGCTCGCGAAAGGCTACTACTACTACGTGTTAACCCAGCTTCGACATAGCTCTACGGCGGTGAGGGGGACAGCGGCCAGTGCGATGTAACCCACCTGGTAGAAGTAGGGGTTGGGCTCGGACTCGCCCACGCCGTTGAAGTCCTCGACGTTGACGAGCTGGAAGTCATAGCAGAGGCCCGCGTTGGCGAAGCGGAACTCGGGCAGCAGCTGCACGTGAGGCAGATTTCCCAGCCGCTTGTAGCGCCAGTTGTACAGGTTGCACAGGCTGTGAACGCACGCACACAGGACGTTACGCGTCAGCGCGTGTCTGCGTGTGAGTGAGTAACATGGGCTAAAGAAGAGGTGGGCTGATGAGTGAGTGGGTGGGTGTGTGGACGAGTGTGTGAGTTTGGGATCGGTAGTGCAGCGGTTAGCACTCTGCGCTACAAACCTGGCGACCCGAGTTCGATTCCTGCTCACGGCCAACACCAGTGATGATTTTCTGAATCAGTCCTGGGCCTACCCTAGGTCGACTCAGCCTCAAATGAGTACTTGGTGCTGGCCATCCACCCCCTCGTGTGCCGTGCCAGCCTTAATAGGTGCTCGCTAACAGCACTTGCCCCAACAGTCTGTTAAGGTTATACGGGGAATCTTTGTCTTTGTGCATGTGCGCAAATACAAAGACAGGGGAGCGGTGGCCTCGTGGTTTGTGCACTGCGCTATGAACCCGGCCACAGGAGTGCGCACGAGCTGATTGCCATCAGTGACAAATATCTGAAACGGTCCTGGGGCTTCCTGAGGTCAATCACAGCCTGAAATGAGTACTTGGTGCGGTGTTTAAAAATGAACACAGGGGAGACAAAGGCGGTTGAGTGACGTTCTGGCCACACCACCCTCTTGTGCACCTGTGTCGCCATTTATTGGTGCTAGCTAACGGCACTTACTACAATAGTCTGTGCAGGCTACATGGGGGATCTTTGTCTCTGTGCACACATGCACCACTGTGCATCACCATGCCCGTGTCTGCGGGAAGCGATGGGGTAGTGGTTACCCCTCTGCGCCAGTGAGCCGGCGACCCGGGTTCGTCGATTTCTGTATCACAACTTAAAATGGGCGGCGAGTGACATCAAAACCCGTCCTGGACCGCCCGCCCCTTAGGTCAACTCAATCTTAAAATACGCATCAGATGCCCAAACTCTCTCTTTCGCCTCTCGTCGCGCAGCCGCTGGGCGCGTCTCACCTGGAGCGCGCTCTGCCCTGGGCGTCTAGGTCCACCGTGGGCACGCCGAGGCGTACGAAGCGCGTGAAGAGCGACTGCTCCATGTTCGAGTACTTCTGGAAGGCCATGTTTTTGATGACGGGCGGCAGCTGGTGGTGGTCGCCAATCATGATCCAGCGCTTGAGGCGGCTGAATCCATCCTGAGGGTTCTGTGGGCACGAGTAGTCGCGTGTCACGTCTCCTTCTCCCGTGCGGGTGGGCGATGCACAAATGGGGGACCCGGCGTCCGTCTGTCTGGCTGCATCGCGTAGTGCCCTGTGCCGTGGTTCGACCCATCGCTTCGTGTCGGCTCGCCACGTCCCGATAGGCGACTCGGGGAAAACTGCAGCTGATACCACGTTTGGTGGACCTCTTGGCTACGGCTGTGGCCACTGGTCAGTCGCCTACTTCAATTTACCAGCGACCGAGAAAACAGTCGATGAGAAATAAAGCCCTGGCAGAGTGTGATGCCATACCACACGTGGCTGTGTTACAAGGTGCGACAAGCGTGTGGCGAACCGCGCATTCAGTGTTTGTGCTCACGTTTAGTGTTGTGCCAGTTTTTTTTTCTCTCTGGGAACTCTGGTTTGTCTCCCAAATGCAAAAATTAACAAACAAAAAAATCTTTGAGTACCGTAGCAGCACTGGCCAAAGACTCCTAGCAAGATTCTCCTAAAGCAGAGCCTTACATTCTTCGTGAAGCGTTCTGTGTTATAATACCTAGTCCTACTCTGGACTCTAGCCAGGCGGTGCTGGGGTGAGAGCACTGGCCGGGGATTGACTCATCCATCATCAATCCGGGCTAATCCGGGCTTGAGTAAATTACATTAATATATATACACACACACATCCATTTACCGAGTCTTGAGAATCATTATCAGGATGGACCTGCTTTGAGGTGTCTGTCCAATTCTCCTCTGGGGTTGCAGGAGGAAACCAGAGTAAATGTAAAAATCCCATGCGCTCGAACATTCAAAAACATCCGCCACGCTCGCAGAGATAGCCTCCCAGCACCCTACTTACTGTACTGCCTCCTACGGGCACCGGCTCCTTACCTGCAGGAGCAGGGGGATGAATGTCTCAATTTCCAAGATCTGTGCCGCCTCTTCCATGAGGATGTTGTCATACTGTAAAAAACAGACACAGGGACAAGATAAATCCGCGGTAAATAATGCCACAGTTTTTGGCTCAACACAACCACATCCTATTGCGCTTCATTGTCAAAGCTGTGTATAAATCTACGGCTAAATTGGCATTTGAAATCGGCTTGACCTCACAATCGTCGTTCCCAGCCACAGGACCGAGTGCCACCACAAGTGACATGAAAGTAACGTTCAAGCTCTTCGGCAATGCACTTCTGGATGAAGGCAACCCCCCCCAAGTTGTGTTAGTCATGAGAGTTTTACAACCATACTGGACCACATTGGTTCATGAAGGGTTGGTGAATGGAAGGCGGAGGACCGATTCTGATACCGCTCGCCACTGATATTAGCCGTGACCAGGAATCAAACTCAGGCCGCCGGGTTGATGAGAGCAATGCGCCTCCGATTAGCACAGTTGGCTACGTAGGGTGCGAAAGAAGTTCATTGTACATAAATACAGCAGTGCGCTTATCACTTGATCAACTTCGAGACCATAGCTCCCCGTCTTTAAGATCCTTCACGGACACCACACCCCTGCTTCTCTCATCTCACGCCCCTCCCCCCTTCCACACACTCTGGGCTTTCGCGGCTAAGGCTTTTTGTCAAACCTGCCAGTCAACCATCACTCAGTGGGAAGTCGGTTTTTCTCCTCTTGTTGCCCTCATAAGTTCCCTTCCCACGAGCCATTAAATCTAGGCTCAAGTCCTTGACTGACTGCCTCTCTAAAAGTAAATATTCTCACCATTCTGCACACCACCCTCAGGATACGGGTCACATTAATAAGTTGTAGAAATCACCTGAAACACCAAAACAAAAGGTGATGGATAGGCTCTCTAGAACTTACTCTTTCCTCAGCGTACCTTGCAAGATGGTCGATCCTAGAGGGAAGATGAGCGAATGCGGGCCTTATGTCCCTCTTTTTTTACTTTATGGCTTGTTATCTTCATAATGCCCCCCCCTCTACTCCCCTCTTTCTCCTTCCCTCCACCCCTCTCGCCCCAAGTTCCCATCCCACGCCTGGGTTAGAAAAATAACCTGGTACACCTGAACTATGTATGTCCAACTTCTTTCGCGCCGTACACAGCAGTTGCAAAGAAATTAGTTCTTAAATATGGATGAATGAAAAGTGCATAGCTCCAGTGGTTTCCTAATATCGGAAGGAAGAGCGTTCCAGACAGCTGCAGAAATGCATCTGACCGTCTTTGTTTGATGGCTAGCCAAAAGCCTCTGCGACGATGACCGGAGTTTGTGTGATAGTTTATTGTTCCTTGACGAGATCAGCAAGGTATCGTGATTCATTTGTGCCAAGCACTTTGTGTGCAATGAGTGCAACCATACAATGTGTGCGTGAAGATGGTGTATCGCCTCCTCAATGTTCCAAGGAGAAAAGCCTACCCAGAGGGCACGTCCCACACATCCCTCTGACATGCTGATGTTACCCGGGAATGAGGATGCCTTCTGATGTGACTGCTGATATTTGTTCATCTTTCGTAGAAACGAAATTCATGTCGTCGTTTAAAAACAGGCTGCGCATGGCGGGGGGGGGGGGGGGCAAAGGGTGAACAAGCGGCATGGTCAAGGCGGCGTCGTTGGCACCTTGAAGCCGAGTTGCACGAGGTCGTGGCGCTTGAGGGCGGCGTGCGTGCAGGTCATGGCAATGACCTTCGCCTCCTTCACCAGGAGGTACTTGGAGCGGTCGAGGCCGCTGCGCAGCAGCTCAAACGCCCGGAACTCCTGCGTACAAAAGCACGGCATCGTTACCGACGCCGCTCTGAGGTCAGGTGCAGATCGCGTTTGCTGATTCCGGAAAACGTTTCCTCCAACCCAGTACACCACGTCCAGTCGAGCTCTCACTACGGTTGAGGCTAATTGCGAGAGGGCTGTGGTTACTACCCGCTGTGAATTCTAGTACCTGCTACGGTTGACCAAGCGACCCACAACTAATAGGACCTGGGGCGCGAGTTCGCCCTGCGGAAACTACAGTGATACCTCGGTTCACGAACTTAATTCGTGAACCGACTCTGGTCGCGAACCGAATTGGTTGTGAACCGAGGCACATTTTCCCATAGGGTTCAATGTAAATCCGGTTAACCCGTTCTGACCTTTTTTTTTGGTTTTTGAAGCACAAAAATATGAAACAAATTACAATACACATTAGTACTGTACAGTATAGTAATGTATAAAGAAAGAACACTAACCTTGCTTGAGATGACTTCAGTAAGCACTCAAACGGGTGAACTGTACAATACAGTAAGTACAGTATTGTACAGTACAGTACAGTAGTACAGTACAGTACTGTATGTGCTAAAAAGCACACCAAAAAGCAAAAAGTCACTGAAATTGTCTTCACAGTACTCACAGTACTTCTTTCTGTGTCTCTTCTTCTCTCCACGATCTTCCTACAGGAAGTCACGACCACGTGACAGCCTGGAAATAGCATTAAAATGGCCGCGGCTCCTGTTCGTGAACCGAAGCGGAGTTCGTGAACCGGAGCATATTTTTATGAACTTTTCTGTTCGTGAACCAAGTTGTTCGTGAACAGAAGCGTCTGTGAACCGAGGTATCACTGTAATTGAATATCCACAATCAACGGTGGGAATATCCCACCGCGCTACAAACTAATCAGCACGCATATGACGCACGACAGACGGGAATTTCAGGTAACTGAAGCGGCACTAAAGAATCTGTTGCCGCGTTCTTAAATCGGAAAGAGATCAAAAAAATAGACGGAAGCCAGAGCAGACTGACGAACAACAGCGCTTGACGGGGGGGAAGCTCTCACCTCCAGCTGCGTGAAAATCTTGCGCAGGTGGCGGAAGCATCCCTCGGCGATTTCCAGGTCCTCCTTGTACGAGCGGCCGTGGAAGAGCGGCTGGGGGGCGTTGGCGAAGTAGCAATCGAACGGGAAGTGGGCGGCGATGGCGGCGGCCGCTTCGGCCGTGCCACCTTTGTCACCACCGCTGGCCGGGCGCACCTTGCTCTGAAACTCCTCCCAGCGCGACATCACCTGGACACGCACATTCACACACACGTACATGCACACACACACACGTACATGCACACACATACACACACACGTACATGCACACACATACACACACACGTACATGCACACACATACACACACACGCACGTATGCAGGCCAGCCGGCAGGCATGCATGCGTGCACGTAAGAAAGCAAGTGAGATCTAAATGCATGCACACGCAGGCAAACCCAAACACAAAAGTCCCCCATATAGCTTGAATGGATTGTTGGGGCAGGTGCTGTTAGAAAGAACACCTACAAAGGCTGACACGGAACACGAGGGGGTGGGTGGCCAACACCATGCCCAGCCGCGTGTGTCTCCCTAGTGGCGATGTTTTTACACATCGCAATGGGTACTCAATTGAGGCCGAGTCGACCTAGGGGAGGCTTAGGACAGGTTTAGATCATCGTCACTGGTGTTGTCCACAAGCGGGAATCGAACTCGGGTCGCCGGGTTCGTAACATAGCACACTAACCGCGAGACTGCACACACGCACACGCACGCACATTACGGGTGTGCCAAGCGGCCCGTAGCCGGACGCGGCTTGCCGATGAGCACTAGCGAGGACGAAGTGCGTACCTGGTAGAGGAAGAAGTGTCCGGCAGTCTCGCACGTGTAGGAGACGTCTCCTGGGACGCCCAGACTCTCCTGCAGGCGTCCGACCTCGTGCAGCAGCTCCAGCCTCCGCGCCAGTATGTAGTTCACGCGGCCATACCTGCATGCAGAAAACACGTGCGCACACAAACATGCATGTACACATGTAAATATACATAACGGTAACAAGGTAACAGCAGTGTGACGTCACCACAGTGCTTGTGCCAGGATAGATGCGCACTGAAGCCACGTGAAGTGTCGAAGGATCGCTTGCAGGAAGTCATGTGACAGGCCAGGTGTTATGATTTACAAAGACAAAGATTCCCCATATAGCCTCAGCAGACTGTTGGAGCAAGTGCCGCTAGCAAACACCTATGAAGGCCGGCATGGCACAAGAGGGGGTGGGTGGTCAGCACCATGCCCGGCTGCCTTTGTTTCCCTAGTGCGGTCCCGGAAGACAGCCTGTGGTTTTGCCATGGCAGGTGGCGCCAGGAGGCAGGTGACGGACAGTGGCATCACCTGCTGAAGTCCTTCTCAGTCTCCAGCTCCTCCTCGCCGTGACCCATACGCAGGAGGTGCCTCTCGTCAATGTCAAGCTGCATGATCTTCTCGAAGAGTTGGTTCAGGGCCTACGGGTTAACAAGAGAGGAAGGTCGAGTCGAAGTCAAGTGACGGTCAAGGTCACATGACAGCCAACCAACGCTGCCGACGCAAACCGCACATCGCCGCCATTTCCTTCTGCCAGATCCCGCGGCCGTTGTAGTCGAAGGCTGTCCCCAAGACTGCCAAACAGTCTCATCACGACTAACCGTTACTATTTGACAGTTACAGACGCAACCAAGTTCACAAGTGACAACTACAGAACACATTAGCGGAGACACATAGGGCAGGTGTGTACATTTGAACTTCTTTCGCATCATACATAGCCAACAGTGCTAATCGGAGGTGCGGGGGAAGGACAACAAACTAAACACAGAGGGGGCAGGCGTGCGGGGCAGTCCCCAGCAGCGCTGACGTTCCGACGTTCCTCACCTGATTGGAGTGCGTAACGATGAGCGTTCGCTGCTCGGGAAAGTTGTGGTAGAGGTTTGAGATGATTTGCACAGCCACATCCGTCTTGCCTGTACCCGGGGGCCCCACCACCTGCACAGAAGGGGCATCGCGCCATTCACTGAGCACTGTTGTTGCCATAACAAAGATCCCCCCGTATAGCCTTAACAGCGTGTACGAGCAAGTGCTGTTAGGCGAGCACCTATGAAGGCTGGAACGACAAACAAGGGGGTGGGTGGCCAGCACTATGCCAGGCCTCCTTTGTCTCCCTTCAAAGAAAATAACAAAACATCTGAAATTGGACTGTTACTCTGATTGATAACAATCTTGTCAACGTCTAACTTTTTGATATGTGGATCTGGCTTCTTCTTGGAAAGGAGGTTGAACTTGGAAATCAGGTTATCTTTGCATTTAGAGTAACAGTCTAATTTCAAATTTTTAGTTATTTTCTTTGAACGAACCTATCTAAGTGACTTTACCGAAAGACCCAAGAATATATTTTTATGAGTATTTAGAACCAGTCCTGTGCACTTTAAAAGTTCTACTTTTGTAGTAGAAAATATTTGTGACTTTTTTTATTCAATGACTCAAACAGAAAGCCATTTTGAGTGTAAAAAAGCACGGAATCTCCAACAGCATTTTAAAAAGATTTAACCTGACAGCTATAATTTTTACGATCTTACCTTGAGTGGATGAGTTCTGTTGAAGGGTTGCGACAATTATTTGCAATAAAGTCCACGCCAATTACAATGAGCACTCGGTATGCACGTGAAAGGACATGATGGGACTGAGAAGAGATGGCGGTAGATGCACGAGTTGTACAGTACCTCTACACCCCCCCCACCCAAAATTCAGCTGCACCGAGTCCAAACCGATAATTGAAAACGATAATCGCCACTGGTGTTGGCTGTGAGCGGCAATCAAAGTCGGGTTGCCAGGCTCGTAGCGCAGCGCCGCGAGCCGCTACGCGCCCACGCACAATGTTTTAGACTCTTTTCAGCTGAACAGTCGAAAACGCTGTGACGACATTGAGTGTGAGGGAAAATTTACGTCGTGTTCCTCAAAAAGTCAGCGACATGAGTGCGAAACAACGTATATCGGGGTGACGTACATCGAAGACCCCCTGAACTCATCTGAGGCTGCAACTAGCTAGGGGATGGCTCAAAACCAGTTCAAATAAATCACCACCTGAAACTCAGGTTGCTGGGTTCTTAGGGAAGTGCGCTAACAACTACGCTACCGCACCGCCTGCCATTAACACACAACAATGACAATGAATGGCGATGAAAGTAGTGGAGCCAGATAAGGGGCCTTACCATGGTGAGCCCAGGCTGCATGCCTGCACGGATGGCCTCAATTTGCGTCGGGGTGAACTGAATCGTGTTCCTACAGGCAACACGAAAAGGCAACAGCACAAATGTCATCCATCACGCGAACTCCAGTCATCCTCGCAGTGGTATTTTGGAAAGCCATCGAACAAAGACTGCATCGCGTACTTTCAGATGCACTTTTGTGGCCGTCTGGAACGCTCTTCCTTCCCATATTAGGAAATCACTGAAGCTATGCACTTATAAATCTATGTTGAAAACGAATTTCTTTAGAACTGATTTTTGGATTTAGTTTGTTGTCCTTCCACCACACACCACACCTCCGATTAGCACGGTTGGTTACATGCAGTGCAAAAGAAGTTCAACATAAACACAGGCACACATCGCCACACATTCCAGCGACCTCGACAACATCAGAATCACGTACGGCCACGAACCTGCTTCGCACAAGGGGAAAGTGCCACAAAGAAGCGTGCAGGAGACTGACCGCTTGGGCTGGTTGTAGGGGTACGGCCCTGGGTTTGGCGGCACGTACGGCTCCACGAGCAGCGTGAGGCTGTCCTCTCCATCGGAGGCGGTTTCTCCCGCGTTGCCCGCCCTCCTCTTCTTGCCATCCTTCTTCTGCGGGAAGGTGATCCTGTGTGCGGACAGCGCCATCGACGGAGGTGTTAACGCAGAGATGAAGGTGCAGCAGACGTCAGCGGGTGCAAAATGCTAGGTTGTGCTGGCCCATGGCGTGAGAATGCGGAATTGTTCACTACCAGTTCAGGGCCCATCCAAGAGATAATCGTGGTTCAATGCTTGTTTGACCAAGGATACCAAAGGATATTCTCAACCTGTCCAGGCTCTCACCAGTTCAGGCTCTCACCAGTTCAGGCCGAAGTACGAGGGACTTTGAGCTCTAGGTCCGCACCTTCAAGTTTTCGATCGAACCACGTGTCCAATTCGTGAGATATATACGCGCGTTAGAATTTATGTTTATTATTACAGTAAAGCCTCACTACACGCGAGTTCTGGATTCGCGAGTTTCGCAAGTTACTAAATGTCTACTAATTCCCTATTTGCTACCCGCCGGACTAGAGCGTTTACGAGCGCGCTACGTAGTGCCAGACCACCGACACTAGAGAGGTACGCGCAGAATGTTGCTACATTTCAAACGGTCTGCGAAGACTTAGCTGCCTGCTTTGTCCTCAGTCTCACAGCAATCCTGCTCTGAACTCGCTATTGAGCATTTTTGTTTGTTTATACGTACTTACAGTTGACTCCATTATACAATTTGGTATAAATGAGTGGCCAATAATAAACACAGTAACACTTAGCGGCGCCTGCTCAGTTACCAAACACGGCCATAATGATCTCTCCCCCTCCCCCCAACACTAAATTGTCTTATGGTTGTTATTGTTGGCTTGCACCAGTAATTTTTGCACAGCGTTTTAATACTTTATTTTGGAATATTTGCTGGTTTATTCCAGGATGTTTCTGTTGGGCGTCGTCGCTTTAAGATGTTCTCTGTTCATATTTTGTTTGTTGCGGTTGTACCCGATTCAAGAGCCGCATGGCTCACAGGGCTATACCTAATAAATTAAACTTGAACACGACCGAGTCGCCCAACGGCGTTGCGTCTCTTTTGAGCGGCACGACGCACCCCCCACCCACCTGAAGGGCGGTTTGTGTGGTGGCGGGTGGTCGCCCACGACACGCACGGTGTGGCCGGGGAAGCCGGCCTTCAGGTGTTCCATGCTGAGGAAGGTGTCGTTGAAGTTGAGCGTGCGGATCTGGTTGGGCATCTTCGAGTAGTGGGCGCTGCCCGGGTCGCCATAGCCCAGGATGATGTCGTGCAGCCAGTCGGGCACCACGCACTCCGTGTTCATGAGGTCACGGATCGTCTCCAGCACGGCCTGGGAAGTGCCAACCACGTACACGTCAATGAATGATAACCGATAATAACCAAGTAACAGTACAATTACCGTTTGTGTATGTATGTTGAACTTCTTTCGCACCGTACGTAGCCAAGCGTGTTAATCAGAGGTGCGGGGGAAGGACAAGAAACTAAACACAAAAAGCAGTTTAAAATAAATGATTTAAAAGTGCTTAGCTCTAGTGGCTTCCGCACATCGGAAGAACGTTTCAGATGGCCGCAGAAGCGCATGTGAAAGCGCCCGATGCAGTGATCGTATTTGTTTGATGGCTAGCTAAAAGCCGCTGCGAGGATGACTGGAGTTTGCGTGATGGTTTATGCTCCTTGACGAGATCAGCAAGGCACTGTGGCTCATTAGTGACAAGCACTTTGTGTTATAAGTGCGGCACTGTTATAGCGCAAGACTATCGCGAAGGAGCTACGTTTTGGCGTGCGGTAGTTTCACAGTAGGGGCGACGTTGCTATCCCAATTGAGTAATTTTCAGGTAATTATTAGAATTTGGTCAAATTTGGACCGTGACACCAGCACACAATGGCCTTCTCGTTTCAGATGACGTCAGCGAATCTTAAACGTCAGCTGTGAAGCAGACGGCGTGCAGTTTGAAATATATCTATATTTTTTAGCCAAAGCAATATTTTATTTAACATTAAAATGCAAAGCACACTACAAGGGCACGCAACCGGAGAAAGATACGTACACAAAAACATACATTAAAACAAATTGTGTCATCGGTGTAAACATAAGAGATGGCGAGTATATAAGTGAGCGGTGTTCGGATGGCAAGGGGAGCAGGTCCATTGTGGGCCGCGTAGCATTTTACGGCGAATACACTCGCAGTGATAACCAGGGCGGCCTGCCGGATTCGAACTGCAAACCGCCGCACAAGCGGCAAAAACCCCGCTCCCGCCAGACCGCATAACAGCGTCCCCCCAATGTCCTTCACGATCGAACAACCCTGACGTTTTGGATCGCGGGCACCAAGAATCAACCGATGAGCGCTCAGTGGTGCCAACTTGGCGCCACCAGTGAGGTGGTGGGGGGGTCATTGTTCACGTCACCTTGAAGTTGTTCTCCTTGGGCTTGCGGCGCAGCAGGAGGTTGAAGTTCTCGTAGACGTCGTCGGCGTGGTGCTGGATCACGGCCGCCATGTCCTGCTGGTACTGGTTGGGGTCGAGCCACACGCGGATCGTGCGCGTGTCTCCCTTGAGCTGTGGCCGAGGCTCGGGACCTGTGTGTGGTTGTGCGTGAGGGAGCAGCAGTCTCGCGATAAGCGTGCCGCTCATGGTAAACACCAGTGACGATTATCAGAATCGATTATCAGAATCGTCACCACGGTGCCCATCTTGCCAAACAAGCCTGGTAAGGATCCAGGAGGGGGTTGGTGGGGAAGGGTGGACCGGGAGGGTGCAGCGGGGAGGAGGTGTTGGAGGAGGGAGCAAGCGGTGGGTGCCGGCAACGCACCGTCCTCTATGACGCGACCCTTGTCATCCAGCAGGCCCTGCACCTCGCAGCCGCGCACGCACGCCAGGTCCAGCTGCTCCAGGAAGGGCCGCGCCGGGGTGTAGCGCGTGCCCCAGGGCTGCGTGCCGCGCACCGTCACCAGGAAGCACACGTCGTGCTTGCGCAGGCCTGCGGGCAGCGGGAGGTGAGGGGGGAACATTGGCGCACGCCGCGTTAAACTTCGCCCCCTCGCGTCGCCGTCACAACAGTGCCTCTCGCACGGTCCAAGTTGTCGTTCGTGTTGTGAGATCGTGCAGCGCAGGGGGGAAAGGGCTAAAGCCAAATGACTTAGCAGCAGTGACCGCGGCGTGTAAGGCAGAGCAGGATGAGCAACTTTGAGATTTGGATAGAATGTGGAGCGATGAATGATCGACTCGTGCGTAAGGGCGAGAACGTGATTGATGGCAATGGTTTCGGGAGGCCTTCACCCGGCACTAAATAGATCATTGACGAATGATAATCGTGATGTGTAGAGAGTATTTTACCTTTATTAAATCAACTCAAAACTACTGTCTCTATAACAACTGGCAGTCATCTTGGCAGTCAACTCGGTCATTTAACCGATAACACCTGGGCTCTTGTCCTGTGACCTCCTGCCAGTGAGCCTTCGGTACATCACGTGGCTTTGAAGCACCCCAAACCTGGTACGAGCTCCGCAAAATAGCTGCGAATGGCGGTGGCTGCATACGTGGGGAGCGGCAGTGTAGTGGCTCGCGTGGTGCGCTACAAAACCCGGCGACCCGAGTTCGATTCCCACTATACTATGGCCGATCAATCCCCTCGTGTGCCGTGCCGGCCATCATAGGTGCTCATTAACAGCACTTGCCCTAAAGTCTGTTAAGGCTATTGAGGGGGGGGGCATTTTTGTCTTTGTGTGCGAGCATGTGTGTGTGCGTCAGCCAACCCATGGCACCTGGGTCTATCCCGTGACCTCCTGTCAGCGAGCCTTCGACACTGCACGTGGCCTCCAAGTACACGTGGCCTGGCACAGGCGCCATGGTGACGTCACCACCACTTAGTGGCGAATGGCGGATATTGGTATTGGTGTGCGTGCATGCGAGTATGTACAAGCATGTGTGGGTGGGTGCGCGAGTGCGTGCGCGAGCGTGTGTGCGTGTGCGCGTGCGATCGTACCCTCCCACTCGGCCTTGATGTGCTGCCGCATGTTAAGGTGCAGCGTGATGTCGGCTCGCACGCGCGACGGGTGGTTCTCGCCGATGTGCGGCTTGGCCACCTCCACCACGGAGAAGGCCCCGATGGTCTGAGCCATGCGCGCCCAGCCGCCAAACATCGTGGTGCCATCCTCCACACGCCTGCACGCACCAGCCCACCCACACGGACGGACAAGTACGTACACGTCGATAAACGCGAACATACAGACCGATTGTACATGGGGGGGCATGCGAGAACGCGTGGCTGTTGACGATTGAGAACCGATTGCGATTCATTATTTCACATCCTCTTATTTAACCATAATGGCCCTCATTTTTATTCCACAGTCCGGTGTCCCAATCGCAGTCCGGGATGGCACCGCGGGCCATCGATAGAGATATCGGCGCTGACGCTCACCAGGGCTTCATGCGGCTGACGGCATCCTCCACGTCCTGCCGGATCTCGTACGTCGACTCGAGCCGGAAGAGGTTGAAGTTCCGCAGGAGGTAGTCGTGCAGCGTCAGGAACTGCAGGTTCAGCTTGGGCAGCGCCAGGCAGCCTGCAAAACAATACGGGCACCAATTGCTGTCAAGAGCACAGGCCAGGGGCAAGGTCTGTCCACGCATTTACTTGTCCTTCCCCCTGCATCTCCAATTAGCCACGGCTGGTTACTTACGGTGCGAAAGAAGTTCAACATACAAACAAATAAAATACTCGCCACCGTCATCAACATTAACCCCGTGTTATGAAAGGGAAATATAAAGTAGGCTTTTATGCGGGGGTGGGGGCAAAAGCCCTTCGTCACAGTAGACGGGACTTATACTTTGACAAGGTTGTCTAGTGCAGTGCCTTAAACACACACGAGGAAATCAGAAGAACTTGCAATGTTGAAACAATGTTAATAAGTTTAATGTAGACTTTTCTCAAATTTCACGGCGTTTCCAAGGCACCACATGTGCAAAGTACAACCTCTAATGGCAGGATCAGCCAATCGTCATGCTGTCTCTCTCTGCTCTGAATAGTGTTACGGATGATGGAATGAGTTTACTTTTCTTCTTGGTTCTTTCGGTAAAGTCATGTAGGGAAGTAATAAAATAATAAAAATAAAACATAATAAAATAAAATAATTCTCACGACGTTTCGGCTACAACGCAAGCAGCCGTCTTCAGGTGCGTTGTAGCCGAAACGTCGTGAGAATTATTTTATTTTATTATGTTTTATTTTTATTATTTTATTACTTCCCTACGTGACTTTACCGAAAGAACCAAGAAGATGGATCCCTGCAGTCACGAAAGCTTTAAATCGGAGTTTACTTTTATTTGTCCGTGTAAACTACTGCTGCTCATGCATTCCGATGAGCACGTATGGCAACGTATGGCGCGTTTAAAGTTCAATATACAAATATAAGGTTTTGTTTATACGAACGAGTAGAGAACCAGTCGTTCTCAACGAAAAATAAGAGACAGCTGTCATGTTCACATTCGTTTCACATCGCTCCTGTGCTCTGAGCACGAAGAGTAATCTGCTTTTTTTGTAACAAAAATGCCAAGCTAATATGTAGGTTTTTTTTTTATAAACGCTAGGATTTAAAGAAAATTCTCCTAAAAGTATGTCATTACTGGGAGCACAAATTGAAAAGTTAACACGATTTTAAATGATTCGTGTCATTCTTCTGTATTGGTTACTCCCACCTCTTTGGTGCCGCTATTGTTAAACGGCTTCTAATCTTGTTCTGCCATTTTAATTCAACCCAACGTTTATTTGTTACAATCCCATGTAGCCAGTTACCCAGCTAGTTTTCGGTGGCAACTGCCCAACGGCCACTAACAATTTAGTTATTGTTGTGGTAGAGAGAGGAGCCCAGCCAGCAGCCAGCCATCGACACGCCCGCCCTCACACGATTCAAACACGTTTTCTGGCCAATGGGAGAAGTTCATGAGCGAACAACCACACAAAGCTGGCTCTGGACAAGCGCTTCCGTGAACGTGGACAATGGGAGGAGGAAGAGGAGGAGAAGGATAAAGCGGCCACTACCGTCGCCCGAGAAGTACTCGGTGGGCACGATGTTCTCGTTCCAGATGATCTTCTCCGTGGGGTAGAGGGGCATCTCGTTGAGCGCCTGGATCTGTGAGATGCGGCGTTCGTGACGCGAGACCTGGGCACACGAGCAACAAATGGGAGAGACTTGGCGTGGACTCCCAACACGGCCGAGACTGGACCGGAGCACACCACTCGGGACAACGCTCGGATGCTACTTTAGAATCATCATCATGTGTTCAGAGTCTTTGGCTGCTATAAATTTCCACACGGTGATAAAGCCACTTCGTTGAGCTATCATTTGCGATTGTTAGGTGGCTTCTGAAAAAGAGCTACAGAGGTTAGTTGGCCTTGCCTGGTAAAAAACAAATAGTTTAGTAGTTTAGTTTTAGCTACCATGTGAAGTATGCTTGTTTTCTTCCCATGGGTGCAACGTAAGGATGTGTAGTTTACATTAGAACTGTGTTCACCATGAGTTAAGGTTGCAGCCCTGCAACTGCTTGCTCACACCGCTGCTGGTGGCAGTGCCTCCACAAGAGGGAGCTATAGAGAAACCCCTCTAACATCCTACAAGGACAACGATTCCCCCGTACAGCCTTACAGACTTTGTTTGAGGCTAGTGCTGTTAACGAGCATCTAAATTGAGGGCGGCATGACACACGAGGGGGTGGGTGGCCAGCACAACACCAGACCGCCTTTGTCTCCCCAGCAGCAATGTTCGCTAAACACTGCACCAGCTCCTCATTTGAGGCCAAGTCGACCTAGCGGAGGCCCATGACAGGTTCAGATAATCGTCACCGGTGTAGGCCGTGAGCGGGAATCGAACTCGGGAAGCCGGGTTCGTAGCGCAGTGCGCCAACCACTGCACCACCGCTCTCCACTACAGGGTACGCACGCAGGCGGACGCACGCACGCACCATCATCTCAACGAGGAATTCCTTGCTGTAGGAGCTGCTCTCTCCATCCGACAGAGGCGGCAGTAAGTTGAGCCGTGCCGCCATCCGGTGCAGAAGCTCCGTGCTAGTGACGTTGGGAACACACCGAGGAGGAGAAACCGACGGGGGCCACAGCACATTAAGTCAGCCTATGATACGTACCTAGTTTACAGTGTCACATGTTGTTTCGTTTAAAAAAAGTTAACGCACCACATCATTTGAGCACGACACTACAGCCTGCTCACACCAACAGATGACAGACATGTGTGCGGTAACACATTCCTGCGGAGGGAGGTGGTAGGAACATTGGGTTGCTCGGTCAATGGCCAGGGTCAACGGCGGCGTGGTGTATTCTGCAAATATGCCCGACTGTGAGGGCGGGCACAAGCCGGCGTGAGTAGGTTAAACGTTGAGTTTTATAAGGGCACCACGGGGTGACCAGCCCCTCCCCACCCAGCCCCACCCCTCCCACCCTCCACCCAGCACCTCCCCACCCAGCCCCTCCTACCTCCCCACCCAGCCCCTCCCTGCACGACGGATGGACACAATAATCCCCTGTGGGCTGGTGTAACCAGGAGGTTCCTACCAGTATATTGTGATGACTGACATTTTTTTTTTCTAAAATAGATATCTTTAATTAAAATAGAAAACTGCTAATTAAATAAATAAATTGATTGTAAACAACAGACACCAACTCCCTCTGTCATTTAAAAACTGCGGTGCCTCCCGTGACATGACGCCCAAGGGCACAATTGTAAATTTAAATATCTTTTAAATACAATGACAAAGATCCCCCATATTGCCTCAACAGACTTTTGGGGCAAGTGCTGTGAGCGAGCACCAATACAGGGGATTGGCCAGCACCACACCTTTGTCTCACGAAGTGGCAACCATTACACACAACACCTCGGGGAGGCCCAGGACCAGTTCAGATCACTGTTACTGGTGTTGGTCGTCGAACTCGGGTCACCGGGTTCGTCGCGCAGCGCGCTAACCGCTACACTACCACTCCCTAAAAAGACAAAGCTTCCCAGTATAGCCTGAACAGACTGTTGGGGCAAGTGCTGTTAGCGAGCACCAATGAAGGGCGGGACGGCACACGAGGGGGTGAGTGGCCAGCACCACGCCCGGCCGCCTTTCTCTCCCTAGTGGCGATGTTTACATACCGCACCGGGTACTCATTTGAGGCTGAGTCGACCTAGTGGAGGCCCAGGACCGGTTTAGATAATCGTCACTGGTGTTGGCCGTGAGTGGGAATCGAACTCGGGCCGCCGGGTCGCTAGCGAGCGCGCTAACCGCTACACTACCACTCCCTACGCAGACATACACATACACATTTAAAAAGTGTGAGCATAGGTAGGTTTGCTCGCTGGCATGGTGCGGGTGGGGATGTGCATCTCACGAGAGCTCTCCGAAGTGCTTCAGCAGGGAGTCCCTCGTGTCGATGGAGGCAACGTTGGACAGCGCAAAGTCGCGCAGCTCCGGGAAGTTGGCGAACGCGACGCGCTGCACATACGACACACGCGTGACACTCTGTAGCGATCCAAAGGCACCATCGAAGGCTGATGTCGCCGACTGCATCGGCGTAAAGCTGCAGCCCTGCACTTGCTCACTCAGGCCACCGCTGCCAGAAATCGCCTCCAGCATAGGGAGCACTGGCCGACTCGTTCACGGTGAAAGAGATCCAACGACCTGCACTCGACCCCCACGCGCGACCTGCTGGTTGACTAACTTGCGTACAGGGCAACATATTTCCACATTGGTTTAAAGAGGCAGAATCTTTGCTGATAAAGATAAGTACCTTGTACAAGACTCCCGGTCATAATACAAGTGCGACCAATGGCCACGGTATAATGGGGGTTGGATCTTGCCGACAATGACCGAGCAAGTTGAATCCTAGGCAAGGCTGCTGTTGTGCAATATCGAGGCACCAAGCGACGGCGGATTAACATGTCGCACTTTGCCGACGGGACTTCAGTCAGGGTCAAAACTTGTGCGGGTCTCTGGTCTATAACATTACTCACTGTCGTCACCGTCACGAACCACCGTCTACCCACTGCTAGATGAAGGCGTCTCCACACCGCTGTAACTTGCTGACCCCGTGCCCCTACTGGACATCTGTAAAAAAAAAGCTTCAGAGCTCACTGGATTCCTCCTGCAGTCTATATATTCTAATTTTGAACTTTAGGGAGGCGAGTATCTGCATATGGGAGGCATGTGCATACCTGTAGAGAGGTGAGGCGGTCGTAGTGCATGTTGGTCATGTCATGGTCGGTCAGGGCGTTTCCGGACTGGTCATTGATCTCAAAGCCAGAGTAAAACTGCAGCATCTCCAACAGCTGTAAGCAAATGGACCAGGCAACCCCACGTGCAATACAATCAGATGGACAAACATTATTTGCGTAAGAATTCATTTTTTCAGAGTTGTGAAAACTGCCCGCAAATTATAATCACGGAAAGAAAAATACAGAATGAGAAACATTATTTAATGTGATCCATTAGGCTCATCTAGCGGTAATGGACCTACTCTTCCGCGCCGATCAATTAGGCCAGTTTTCTACAGGATAAGTCCCGAATGGCAACAAAACTTTTACACTACAGCTTAATTCGTAATGAATCATCTTCTCGGACGTCGAATGTAGATTCTTCAGGATGACAACAGCAACGCTGAACCCCGGTCCCTCTGGGGACCCGGCCTATATCCTCACTGGCCGTGGCTGGCTCCGCCCTTGGCCACGACCACCTTCTCGAATCCTCCAGCAGGATCTCCCCCCGACACGTGACCACCCCTAGCCCCCCACTTGGCGGCCCTGTGTAGACTTTACTAGTCAGTCACGTGTCCTCCGGGGTCAACCAGAGTGCCACGACCTATAGTAACCCCATTCCATGGCTGACACTCCCACACCCCATCCTGTAGGGGTCGGCACTACACGCCGAACGTGGTGCCACTCAGCGCTACCCATCAGCGCTCACTGAGCCCCTTCAAGGCCGGCACTACACCCACATATACGGGGTGTCCGCGATGTGAGTACATCGCACGCCGTGCCTCTCGAGGGCCGGCATTACACAGTGACGTCCGCGATGTCACTGCAAATGCATTAATAAATATTTATTGTACTTACAACAGCTCATCGTTAACAGGGGAATAGTCGGCAAGCGAAGACACTGGGCTCTATGGAGGCACATCGTTAAGCGATTAGTCGTTAACAGCGTTGGTCGTTAAGAGGGGTTCTCCTCTACCCGATTATACACTAGACTACTATACACTCTACACTACACTGAGGCACTACACTATACACTACACACTAGGCTCTATGGAGGCACATCGTTAAGCGATTAGTCGTTAACAGCGGTGGTCGTTAAGAGGGGTTCTACTGTATATACGTACGCCATGCGGTTTTGGTGGCACAGGGGCTGGTGGGGGGTAAAAACTTGTTCACAAGCGGACGGCCGCTGCTCACCTGTATGAACAGCTTCCCTTCCTTGGGGCGCTGCGCCAGCTCGGACAGGTGGCTCAGCACCACCAGGTGCGAGTCGTCCAGCAGCGTGTTGAACCAGCGGCGTGTGGGCAGCAGGGCCTGAGAAAACCCACGAGTGGCCACCGGGTGAAGTTTAAGTGTAGAACAACCGTGAGATGTTTTGTCATTTTTTTTTTAAAGCAAATGTTACAAATGTCACTGTGTAATGCCGGTCCTAGAGAGGCACGGCGTGCGATGTATTGACATCACGGGCACCACGTGTATGTGGGTGCAGTACCGGCCCTAGAGGGGCTCGGTGAGCACTGACTGGGAGTGCTGGATGGCACCACGCTCTACGTGCAGTGCCGACCCCTACAGGGTAGGGTGTGAGAGTGCCGGCCATGGGATTGGGGTTACTAAGGGCCATGGCACTCTGGTTGACCCCGAAGGACACGTGACCGGTAAAGTCTAAACAGGGCCCCCGAGTGGGGGCTCGGGGTGGTCACGTGTCCGGGCCGAGATCGTGCTCGAGGGTTCTCGAAGGTGGTCGTGGCTAAGGGCGGAGCCAGCCACGTCACAGTGGATATAAGCCGGGTCCCCGAGAGGGACCGGCTGCTGTGGTTATCCTGAAGAATCTACGTTCTATGTCTGAGTAGAGTCACCAACACGTGGACTGGACCCAAGCTGGGGTCCTATCCATTGTAGCTACTCCGAGTGTAACTAGTGTAGTTAGCCTGGTGGTCCACCACCATAGGGCAGTTACCCCTTTGTGTTGGTATCAATAAATGTGTTGCCTCCAAAGAGCACGTCTACGACTCATTTGAACTCACTGCAAATGCAACCGAATATAATGCGACGGGTGCGGTAAAATCACAACGCAACGCCGCAGCGCACACAATAATTGTGCAACCGTTATGGAGCCGAACGGAGCAATATACACGATCGAATTGACATTTTCCGGGTCACTCACCTCCAAGTCGATCATCAGCTCAATGAAACGCTCGCAGTAATGCACCTTGTCAGCACTCACATCCCCTGCACGCCCGCAGTAAACAGCCACGGCAAGAACGCCGATTAATCTCACTCTCCACCGCATCGCACACGCATCGCATATCTATGTAATTAGTTCATGAACATTAATTAATTAATGTTATACATTTTCTTTTTTTACATTCCACAGGCACAACGGCGCATACGAAAATCCCCGGCACTCTCGCATGACTGGATTGTTTACATGAACTCTACATTTCCACCCACATTCAAATAAACTAATTTGAGGAAAAGACGAACTCTCTCCTTTCAACTCCTCTTTCTGTTTGAGCGGCAAATATATAACTGTAAACCCAGTAGCACCACCATGTGGAGGAGGCGATAACCATAACCAAATCACCCATTAATGGTATTGGCACAACATTGCAATTCAAGGTCCTCTCCGACAAAAGTTCCCTGTGTACATGAATGACACGATTGCTGTTATAACACAAAACCATGATTACCAGGATTCTGTTCCTGCCACAAAGTGCCCTTGTTGCACCCACCTTTTGCGGGAATAGAGTTGAGGACGGACACAAACTTCTGGATGAGCCTTGAAAGGAACCGGCGCTCATAATCAGCCCTGAAAGAGTCAGGCAAGCATCATCATTAAATCTTCATCATTATCATCCATCCTCTGTTCGCTACTCCACGTCAAAGCATTTTCTCTATGATACTGACACCTATCTGCTTTGTGTGCGAGTGTCTGTTTGTGTGAATGCGTGGATGTGGGGAACAGTAGTGTAGTGGTTAGCATACTGTGCTATGAACCAGAGTTCGATTCCCACTCACGGCCAACATCTATGAGAGTTATCTGAACCAATCCTGGGCCTTCCCTAGTTGACTCAGCCTCAAATGAGTACTTGGTGCTATGTGTAAGCATCACCACTAGGGAGACAAAGGCAGCCGGGCGTAGTACTGGCCACACCTCCCCCTTATGTGCTGTGCAAGCCTTCAAATGTGCTCGCTAACAGTACTTGCCTCAACAGTGTTAAGGCTATACGGGGGATCTTTGTCTTTTATGAGTGTGAAAATGTGTGTCGGTATGCATGTCCGTGTATTTGCGCATCTACCAGTCATCTCAGTCCGTTAACCCATGACCTCTGGGTCTGTCCTGAAAACTCCTGCAAGCGAGCCTTTGACACTTCATTTGGCCTTAAAGTGTACCTAGCCTAGCATGCAAGCTGCAGTGACATCATCGTTACCTAGTGGCGAACGGCAGCTCTCGTGTTTCTGCGTGCGAGTGTGCCTGCCAGCGTGCGAGTGTGCCTGCCTGCGTGCGTGTGAGTGTGCCTGCCTGCGTGCGAGGGTGCCTGCGTGCGTGCGAGTGTGTTTCTCGAGTCTTACTGCTCCTTTGCTTTTGGCTCCAGCTTTTCGTCGCTCTTCTTGATCAGATTCCAGAACTTCTTCAGCTTGGGCGTCTTCCTGAGCTCTTGCTCCAGACGAGACTAAGGGACACGTGCCAACGTGTGTTAAGTCACACACTCTGGACCATCCCACCTGTACTTTCAGGAGTAAGCGGATGAATGCGTGACTAAGAAAGCATTAGTGAACGCGAAAACATCAGATTAGCGAACATCTCTATGTAAAGGCAGCTCTACCGTGCACAAAGGGGGCACTGGATATGGGCGGTTAATTGGTCAGGGCGGACACGCGACGGTCGTATACGCGACACTGTGCAGTAAAAATGAATAAGTACAATCCTACGTTTCTACTAAATGTTTTCCGCGAGCTGTGTCCGTGTAAGCTCACCGGCAGCAGGCACACCCAGGTAGGCAGGGAGATGAGACGCTGCACCTGCTCGCGAATCACGTCCACTTCCTATCCGGCCGCAACATCGAACAACGGCCGCAGCAGCAACAACAACAATCAGAATATTCATACTGGAGGAGGAATCCAATGAGCTATGAAGCTCTTTTTCAGAGATGTCCAGGAGGGGTGGGTAAGAACGTTACAACAAACAGTACAAAAGCACGATAGTAGTACAAAGAATAAGAAAGGTAAACAAATCACCCAAACACATACACAACTAAACCATCCCCCATCCTACCAAGCAAAGCCCACTGAGGTATTAACTTAATTTCAGAAGCGACTCGGCCACAAACGACAGCTCAACAATGTGGCCCATCATTTGGACAACAGCAGCACGTGCAGACAGCAGCAGCGTTTTATTGTTATTCATGATTACGCTTGATAATAGGTTTTTCCCCTTTTTTCTGGCAGGTGTTAAGATGTTAAAACACCAAACTGAAACCTTTTACAAGGAATCATGTCTGCATTAACCACAATCTTTGTGGTCAGAATGCAAACAAAAAACACTCTGATAATATATGCATTGTCCTTGAAATTGATCGACAGCTTTCTTTCAAAAGAAAGCAATAATGTGCGGTGTGACAGTTTGCGATGCAGGATGCTAAATTCCCATGTACAGAATTCCTCGTCTAACACGGTAGACGCGTTCCTGAAAAGCACCGCGTTAAGTGAGGAATTTCTGGAATATGGCGAGATAAAGAACTAAGATGAGGGTCTGCGGCATACCGTACCATTCTATGCGTATACCCAGAATTCCCAAAGCGCTCAGCCACGGAGCTCAAGAAAGTTGTTCGTCGTCGACCGCTCATAAATCGTGTTATAACGGCCCGCGTTATAACGGGCGCGTTCCTACCAGCAGAACTGTCTTATAGTGAAAACGTCCTGTGTTAAAATCTTTTAAGAAAGGACTTACTATCCACATTTTTTTACAATTTTAATTTTACCAGGTAAGGCCCACTGAGCTATATAGCTCTTTTTCAGAAGCGACCTGGCCACAAATGATAGCTCAACGAAGCGGCTTATCATGTGGAAATGTATAGCAGCCAAATAATCAAAAGCATTAATTCTAAACGTGGAGGGAAAAACCGGAGGACGCAGAGAAAAATCCACACGTCCACGGGGAGACAAACACGCAAACTCCAAATATACAGCGGAGGTCACGGTTGGGATGGAACCCACAACCTCTTGTATACCAGGTGAAGTAGTTAACATCTCACCACGGTGGCTCCCCTTGCTATAATGCACAACCAAACTGTCGTCTGACACTCAGTGGATCGTAAACAAGAACCCAAATTGGCAACCGGCGCGTAAACGTGTTGGTGCGAGATAAAACCCAGCGGGAGGGTGCCGTCTTGTTAACCTAAAGGTAAACCTAACATATAATTTATATATAAAAAAAACAATCATGAGCAGCATTGTGGAGAATATAAGTAACAAATTAAATAAGCAGATAATACGTAACCTTCCGATATCTGTACCTCAAACATAAATAAAAGTATTTGCTACGCGTCCCAACGGCCACATGACCCGCTGGGACTGATTTTGTTACAGCAGCATTATTTTAATAACAGCAAACTCTGGACCGGTTTGAAATTCCTTGTCTAAACCAGGCGGTGATCTGTCAGATGTGTATCAGCAATGACCTTCTTTCACATGATTCGACGGCACATTGTGAGCATAAACTTGATATATTTGGGGAGGTTCATGGTTCTAATCCAGCAGGCCCCCCTCGCTATTACTTGCGGGTGTGTATTAACCAATCACAAATACACATCGCCTAATTCAAAGTGGACGTTAAAGACCCCCTCGACGTCACTTGAAACGAGTGGGTTATCGCGTGACACGTGTAATGGTCCAGATTTGCCAATTTTTTTTAAATACCGGCAAACCATTCAATCGGGATTCCTACGTGCCAATGCTGCTCCCGACTGTCAGACTATATAGGACTGTGAAATAAAGCGCCGTCTTGACAACTACACTCCATAACAATGGCACAAATATGTGGGCACCGCGGTGGCGAGATGTTAACGACCTCGCCTGGTATACAGGAGGTCGTGGGTTCGATCCTGACCCCGATGCCTGCTGCATATTTGGAGTTTGCATGTTCTCCCCGTGGTCGCGTGGATTTTTCTCCGGGTCCTCCTCTTTTTTAGCTTCATACATTTAAGAGTATTTGGCTGCTATCAATATCCACATGCTAAGCCACTTCTCGTTGGGCTATCATTTGCGATGGCCAGGACGCTTCTGCAAAAGAGCTACACAGCTCAGTGGGCCTCATCTGGTAAAATAAAAAAACAGTTTAGTATAGTTTAGTTTTAATACCAAATGTACTAAATTATTATTAAATCAACCACTGTGCAGTGCTGCTCCGATGCCGCATGGCTCACCAGGCTGTTGAAGCAGTGGTCGAGGAAGACGAGCAGCAGCGTCTGCTCCCGCAGTGTCACCGCCGAGCCCTCCTCTGACAGCGAGGTGGCCAGCACGCGCTGGAAGAACGCTGGCACGTGCTGCGGGCGCAACTTGAAGGCCTGTGCGTGGTGTGCATGCGCGTGTGGCATGGGAGAGCAGAACGTGTTCTGGGTTGCTTCAATGTTTCTTCCTTTCCGGTCCCACCTCCCCACCTGCGCTCGCTCGGTATCTGATATTTGTGAGCCAACGCGACTGCTGTTGAGCTGCGACAATCGTCGATGAATGATGGAGGAATGCATCATCATCATCATGCATCATCAAATTCACGTACTACTTCTCATCAACTCATCTGGAAACTAGTCTGCTGTACAAATAGTTAATTCATTGAGAAAAGGTTTTCCCCTTTTTTCTGGCAACAAAACAGGTGTTAAGATGTTAAAACACCAAACTGAAACCTTTGACAAGAAATCATGTCTGCATTAACCCCAATACTTGTGGTCAGAATGCAATCAAAAAAACATACTCTTATAGTATATGCATTGTCTTTGAAACGGATTGGTCCACAACAGAGACAGCTTTCTTTGGAACCTAGTCTCAAAAGGTTTTAGACCAGAGGATGCCAAACGGCGTACAGCACAAAGACAAACACCAGAGTAATGAGAGCTCGGGTTTGAGCAGCTACATCATGGGACCTCCTTTGACAGTACCGAAATATGAAAATAGGTTTCCCCTTTTTTCTGGCAACAAAACAGGAGTTAAGATGTTAAAACACCAAACTGAAACCGTTTACAAGGAATCATGTCTGCATTAACCACACATACTTGTAGTAAACATGCAAACAAAAAGCATATTCTGACATGATTCCTTGTAAAAGGTTTCAGTTTGGTGTTTTAACATCTTAACACCTGCATCAGAGAGCCTCGAGACTTGCCTCCCACGCCGACACGTTCTCGCGAAACTTCTCGTTGAGCATGCAGCAGATGGACAGCAGGTGCGCCTTGCTGCTCGTCTGCGCCGTGTAGTTTGGCCACAGATAGTTCTCCAGGTACTGGCTGCCAATCCGACACGGGGGCGAGACGAAAGGTGAGCACGGGTAAAGCGGCCTCTCACGGCTTCCGGGCCACTGCGTGCATGCAGGAGCTGAGCCCACCCGTTACAAACGAGGTACTGTGATGTGGTCGGGTGGATCAGTCTTAAAGGGATTGGGCAAATAGGGGTCAAGATTATCATCAGCCTCTCGATTTGTTCACCAACGCACAATGAGAAAGAAGGGCTTGTGTTCATGAATGTGTGCTTTTGTTTGCAGGACAGAATTTGAAGTTGGATGTCATAAAATAACGTCAATGATTTAATTGATGGCTTCTTTCATGGCAGGCGCAAAAACAAGAGATTCCACATTCAACATCACAAATGCAACATTTTTCGTCAACATAAAAAACTGGCTGACATTCATATACAAATAAATACTTCAGATATTCTTACCTGAACTCCAAGAGCATGATTTTTCTGATGGCAAACCTGAAAGAGAACATAAATAATACAGCGACCCATCTACAGCAACCATTACTGCTCAGCGTTGAGCCAAACAACTCAGATGGCTGCACCATCTACACGCAAGGATTTACACGGTGCCTGCACTTGCAAATTCACAGCAGGATTTCTTCTCTGGGGAACAAAGGATCTGTCTGCACTCACATCTGTCAGTGGCCGTGGCAATGGCATACATTCCAAGTTCCCGTGGCAGGAGCCAGTATTTCCAAACGATGACTACTGTTGACTTTCTGTGAAGTGGTACAGGCAGTCCTCAATTTACGAACAGTTCCTACTTACGAACAGGTCTCAGGAACGGAACCCGTTTGTAATTTGGGGACTGCTCGTAGTGGGGAGCGGTAGCGCAGCGGTCAGCACGCTGCGTTACGATCCTGGTGACTCGAGTTTGAATCCCACTCACAGCCAACACCAGTGACGATTATTTGAACCAGTCCTGGGCCTTCCCTAGGTCGACTCAGCCTCATATGAGTACCTGGTGCGGGTGTGGTGCTGGCCACCCACCCCGTCGTGTGCCGTGCCGGCCTTCATAGGTGCTCGCGAACAGGTCTTGTCCCAACAGTCTGTTAAGGCTATATGGGGGGTCTTTGTATTTTTTCTTCATATATCGACCTCAAGCGCATGGTAGGCTGAATTAACTGAATGAGCTGATTGTCCGAATGAACTCACAAAGTGATTGCGAGTTGGGCATTCAAACCACAGCGATACCTCGTCATATTAAGTAACACGACAGAGCACAAAATTAATTCAACTGGGAGAGAATATAGGTGTGATATTAATTTTAACGGAGGCAAATGAAAAGTATTCCTTTATTCATTTTATGTAAATTGTATTCCACTACACATGTTTAGCATATGAATGGTATCAGTACCTCAACCAACATTTCCGGAACCTCCGATTAGCATGATTGGCTACGTACAACATCATTCACCTTCCCTTTAACTCCAATTTTCAATTATTTACCTGGTTAAAAGCCCAAACATTTCACAATTTAGTTGCTGAACCAACGTGAGCAAAACCAAACAGTGCAAAGTGTACACTTACTTTGTCTTCAACATTTCTCTCTCATAAATGTCTTCGATCACCTGTCAAAAAGATAACAATGAAAAGAAAACTCATAAAATGTGTACAGTATTACACGGCAAGTTTAAGTATGGAAACTATGTTCAGTGGCTCACAACAGCGTAGTGGCTATCTGAATATGGAACTCAGTGGCCACTCAAAATAAGGCCTTGCATTAAAGTTCATCAAGTTAAAAAAAATTTTTAAGTACAATATGCCTCTACTATATTTATAACATCAACCATGTGCATAAATATTTTTTCTAAATACATCTTCCAATGTCAATTAGGTAGGAGTCATTCTGGCTGGTTAAGGATCTAAATATTCGCCTCTGATATAAAAATGATTAATTGTCACAGAGCATAAAAATCTATTTCAGTGGATGTAACAAACCATTACATCATGGCTGGTTAGGATTCGGGTTGACGGCAATCATTTTCTCCTACAAAATGCACGTTAACAATGGGATGAGGATATTCTTCTGTCAAAAGGCATTTCCCATCCTATGCAGTAGTGCGAGTCTCATTTAATGTTCCAATCCTGTTTACCTTTGGGTTGAAGGGTAATTTCTTCTTGATGTGTGGTGCCCAGTACTGGTTTGAGAGCTACAGGCATACAACAGAGGGGACACAGTTAAATCATTTCAACCACTCATCTTTCAGTGTTTACATCTTCTTTTAGATGTAGGTGGAGAAGAGGAGTCTTAAGCCTGGACATGATACAAAAGGAGCCGTTAGATTATAGCAGAAGAGGAAGCTTTTTAGAGCTGGGAAGATGGATGAATTAATAGGCCAAATAATGCAAATGACTATTGCATACCTGTCAACCCATAAGGTTACCCGTATTCTTGTATAGAGAAATTTCGTTTCCAGGTCCACATGGCGTACAGCCGTTTCAATACGGGCATTTCTTTGCTTGTCTATTTCATCCTTATGGCGGTACGCCGGGGTACAAAATAATACAAAACGCAGCGAAGACGATTGCGCTAAAACCCTGAACGTTCGTATGCACCATAGTGCATCGTGTACAGCTCGTCAAGACGAGTCGATTGCCGCATCCCCGACCATCAACAGACTAAAAATGACTGCATCACGGACATTATGCGAGAGCCGGGGTACTTTGGTACCGCGGGGTACCACTATAAGGTTCATTTGTTTGTTCTCCCTTGTGATGGGACTGTGTAGGATGAACGTTGAGATTTATAAGGGCACGGAGTGACCAATAAGGTCTGAATTGGCCTGTAATAAGGTAGGCACTGATAAGGGGTTGACAGGTATGCAGTATTGTTTGTGGTCGATTGCTAAGACCCCTTTAAAAATGAGAGCAGCCCGACGTCCTGCTTCACGAAGGCAGGAAACCCCTACAAGCTACGGCCCAGCGTCTCATGGCCGATGATCACGGATGACCTCACCGTGCCTTGCCCATTACCTTCCGTCCAGCAGCATGCGTGGGAACAGAGGTTCCCAGGTGTGATTTTTCTCCACCAACTATTTTCGTATTATCCGATTAGTCGAGAAACCAAACCAATAATCGTTGCAGTAATCAATTACTAAAATAATTGGGTTGACCAGCTCTAGTGCCCTCCTATCAGGCAAGAGTTGCAGTGGGGTTATTTCACATTCCAGTCTATTCTCCTGTAACGCGGTAGTAGTTGCGTTCCTTAAGAACACGGCGTTGTGGACCAATCGTATTATAATAAATAATGCAGAGGTAAGGCACAGTCCGCGATAACACATAAGGTGCGTACGCAGGCTGACCAAAGACTGAGGCGCGTAGGCATCATCTAAAAGCATCCAGCAGCATCCCGTCTTGTGTGATGCTACGCCGAGGCCGCTGTACGACTGCTTATTCCTACTCGCGCGACGTAGTTCCGTTCACTCGATTGCGTTATATACCCAATTCGCATCCACGTTATGAAAAAAAATTGTCCCTCATACGTTCATCCAATTCGCGTTATGACAACTACATGCACCTAAAGGAAATCCATGCAAACTGTACAATGAATCGGCCTGACATACCTGGGTGATGTACTCCGCATTGATCTGCGCCACCGTTGGCGCAAGCGCCTTCTTCGGTGCCACGACTTGCGTGGCCATGGCAGTTGTGGGGCGTTCAGGGAAACTTGAAATCCTCCAAGTCAAAAGCAATCTGGAATAACATAATAAAAAATCAAGGAAAATTATCTCAAAAACTTCAGATCCACACCAATATCCATTTCCAATAACTCGAGGTCTCTCTTCACTGCGGACGGCAATGTGCAGCTGTCAATAACTATTTTACTCATCTGCTTCCTGTCACTTGGCGAGTATTCCTGCTGCTCCTGGTTACCAATAAGTTTGTTCAACGCCTGCTGTGCAAACCATTTAGTTATTTATATATTCACGACTCAAATCATTATTGAGTCACTATATAACTTTGCGTACAACTTGGACCCACATCGTGAGCTCGGCAGTTCACCAGCACCGACTGAAGCAAGCCCGACTGCTGATGAGACGCCGCATGTCGAAACCGGTCCAGAATTTGCTCGTCCTAAAACAACGCTCCAGACACTGTGGACTCGCATGCCGGCTGATGGGTTGTGTAAGAAATACTTTACTTGTGTATGCAGCAGAGAGACAGATGTATGGCAACAATCTACTTCAACCACGAGATGTTCAAACCTGAAAGCTCTTAAACTATTTGCTTTATTTCACCAGGTAAGGCCCCACTGAGTATATCCACCACAGCCAACGCCGCGGTGCTATAGGGAGTTAGAGTTAGGGGCCATCCATTTAGTGCGTACGCATGGAGGGGGTAACCCAAATGCATACACGTGCGTATGGGGGGTCTACTGATAATAATTTGTCTACATTGGCCTTCAAATGAGCCACAGTTCAGCGTCTCCAGCTGTCAGACAAGTCCCACAGGGAGCGGTGGGACTGTGGAAGAGGCGTCACTTCGTGTGCCACCGTGCCCCTCTGACTGCAGCTATCACGCAGCTCAGTAACATCAGTGGACAAGGTAGGCGACTGATTTATTTAATGCAGGCGGCAGTGGAATATCTGTTTGCTGAAACGCGTTAATATTATCAATATCCTTGATCGTTTCTGCGTGGATTAAATATCGGCCGTTCTATAGGATTCGGGGGGGGTGTACAAAGTCCGCGTGCGTACAGGGAGGAGGGGAGGAAAGGGATCAAGTTGACAGATTTCTGCGTGCACGGACTAATGAATGTCCCCTTATCGCGAACGCCGCGCTGTTGTCGCGATACGCTCCGTCGCATGGCGAGGCCTAGCCCACACAACACTCAACAAGCTCCACGAGTTCACACTCGCACGCAACTTACACAGAGCGTCCGGTCGGCAGGAACCTTTCAAACGCAAGCCATGGCGATTGTTTTTCTTTCTAATTCTTCACACGGATATACAACGACAACAATAAATCAAGAGATACTCTTAAAGCTTAAACCGCGTCGGAAGTTCACGCGCAAAAAAAACACCACGGGAGTTTAACGAGGCCCCCCCCCCTGTCCAAGAAGGCCGCGCGTGATTCGAGCGACGCCTCAGCCAATCGGAGCGCGTGATTCGAGCGACGCCTCAGCCAATCGGAGCGCGCGATACTCAGCACGGCGGCGCGCACGTGGACCGCACGTGGAAGCGGTGGGGAGCGGTGGTGCAGCGGTTAGCGCGCTGCGCTACGAACCCGGTGACCCGAGTTCGATTCCCGCTCACGGCCAGCCAACAACACCACCAGTGACGATTATCTGAACCTGCCCTGCACCTTCCCTGCGCCTTCCCTAGGTCGACTCGTCTCTGTTTCAAAGAACAAATTTGACCTAAGGTCTACACTCATTTACCAGCTTAATATTCCCTATTGCCGTACATATACTGGAGGAAGGGCCTTTGCTATTGATGCCCCCAGGGTCTGGAATGCTGTTGCAAATAAATTGAAACTTGAGTCACTACCTATGAGATCTTCACTCAAAACTGCTTTAGAGGAGTTGTACACCCCTAGCTGCCAGTGCTATTCAGTGACCTAAAATAAAATGTTTCGCTCCGGATGATCGCTACAAAGTATGACCTGTGTTTTGATTTAGTGTGCTGATCTTAAAGGTGCATTGAAAAATTACAATACTCCGATTGATGCTCCTGCTGTTGTGGAGTGACTCATGCAGCCAGCTATGGCTGCAGGGTTTTGGTAGTACATGTTGTTTATGCCATTTATTGTGAAAATTCCGTCAGTTCCTATGATTGCTTTTTCATTGCCTTCATGGCTTTATTTTGGTGATTTCGAAAAGTGTATTGGTTTAGCCATGTTTGTGTTGTTGTAGTACAGAGTTAGACTGATGGCCTTAATCTAAGTTGTCTTGTGGTTGTTGTTGTTGTTTGACTTGCATCCCACTGGGATTTTTGCACACAGCGTTGGTGTACGGTGTTTTTTCTGCAATATTTTTGCTGTCTTTTCTTGGATTTTCTGTTTGCACTTAGTCACATATTCACTTTAAGATGTTTTTTTGTTCATGTTTTGTTTTTTGTTTGTTGCGGTTGCACCCGATTCAAGAGCTGAATGGCTCACAGGGCTATACCTAATAAATGAACTTGAACTTGAACTTGACTTGCGGTGGTAAAAACATTGCCACTGGGGAGACAAAGGCGGCCGGGCGTGGTGGTGGTCACCCACTCCCCTTGTGTGTCGTGCTGGCCTTCATAGTTGCTCACGAACTGCACTTGCCCCAACAGTCTGTCAAGACTACACGGGGGATATTTGTCTTTGATGGTGGGTTTTTTGGTAAAAGCCCCAAAACCTCTTCCGGAATATGCAGCATAAACAATAATCTCCAACAGAATTAATTAATGATGTTCATATTTTAGGCCCATAGAGGAATTTGGACGTGGGTGTATTGCAGTAAATCTGAAATATTTAATCGAAAATAATGTTCCGCTCATGATTATTAATAACTAGCTTTACTACCCGGCTTCGCCCGGGACTTGGATTCACCACGCCCGACCGCCTTTGTCTCCCCAGTGGCTATGTTCACACACCAGTTACTCGTTTGAGACTGAGTCGACTTAGGGGAGGCCCAGGACCGGAGCGGGAATCGAACTCGGGTCGCCGGGTTCGTAGCGCAGCGTGCTGACCACGACACTACAATGCGTTACGCTTTCACATGCGCGGGTCACGTGACAGGTTTAACGTCACAGCTCACTTGCCGTGCAAAAAATATATACATTCTTAATTTGAGAGCTTTCGTGACTGCAGGAATTACTCTTTGGTTCTTTCGGTAAAGTCACGTATAAAGATAATATAATAAATTAAATAATAGCATACGACGTTTCAATTGCAACACAAGCAACCATCATCAGGTATAAATGAAATAGCAACAAAAAATCTTACCAGAAAACTATAGACAGACATAACAGGACCCTGCGGGGTGGGCTGGTAGGAACGAATAACCAAAGAATATAAACATAATGTATTATTACACTTGTTTAGCCAGGAAAGCCCCACTGAGTCTAAAGGTTTTTGTAGGGTCCTGCCAAGTGTTTGCAGTAGGGGGCGATGTTGCTACACCTAATCGGACGATACGAAGGGAGAGTTTGAGGCCTAGTTCTAGGCTTTAGGCCTAGCTGTAGGCTTTAGGCCGCTGTGAGCTAATTTTTAATGTAAAAGTTTTAATTAAAAGCTATCTCAGGGAATTATAAGGGAATGTTACACTTGTTTAGCCAGGAAAAATGTTGTAATTAAAAGCTATCTCAGGGAATTATAAGGGAATGTTACACTTGTTTAGCCAGGAAAGCGTCACTGAGTCTAAAGGTTTTTGTAGGGTCCTGCCAAGTATTTGCAGTAGGGGGCGATGTTGCTACACCTAATCGGACATCGGACGGATGGACGATATAATCTATTGTAGGCTGGTTCACTTCGTTCCTACCAGTATAAGCAGACAGATATCACCAAGATACATAGAGAGAGAGTAACACAGGCACAGAGAGGGAGATCGTCTCTGTGGCGAGGCTTTAAATAGACAGAGGGGGGCGGGGGCAGAGAGAGGGAGGGGTTAGAGAAAAAAAAATTCACATGTCAATGAGTACGGCGACGCGTGGTAGTAAAGTACACAAGCTGAACATTAGGAGAGAGGAAGAAAGAACACACTAAATTAAATAACCTAGCAAAATATCGAAATGTTATGTAATACAACACAGAGAGTCGGTCAACACACAATTAACGCATAGCCTGGTCGATTACGTATTTCAAAGATTGCTAAGTTAGAATTTAAGTGTGAAAATTCCAAAGAAAGACAAAACATAAAACAAGAGGAACGGAGACGCACAGACAGCAGAACATAAGAACGACAACAAACGAGTGGAGACAGAAAAAGTACACTAAATACACAGGCAGAGAGAGAAAACAAAAAACCCAGAGAGAGAGAAAAAGATAAACTTGGAACTTCACCGTAGAAGTGGTTCAATCTTAATTTGAGAGCTTTCGTGACTGCAGGAATTACTCTTTGGTTTTTTCGGTAAAGTCACGTATAATGATAAAATAATAAATTAAATAATAGCATATGACGTTTCGATTGCAACACAACCAATCATCATCAGGTATAAATGAAATAGCAACAAAAAATCTAACCAGAAAACTATAGACAGACATATAAGCAGACAGATATCACCAAGATACATAGAGAGAGAGTAACACAGGCACAGAGAGGGAGATCGTCTCTGTTTCGAGGCCTTAAATAGACAGAGGGGGGCGGGGGCAGAGAGAGGGAGGGGTTAGAGAAAAAAATGTCAATGAGTACGGCGACGCGTGGTAGTAAAGTACGCCTCTCTCCTAATGTTCAGCTTGCGTACTTGGTTCTTTCCCAATGGTTGGGGTGATAGATTTACGGAAGGGGGGGGGGGGCAGGCCGCTGACCCTTCAAATAATAATTACCAGATGTCTCTCGTCACTGATGTTGGCCGTGGGCTGGGAATTAAGCTCAGAGGTCACCGGGTTCATGGCGCAGTGGCGCTCCCCTCCCCACTCACCTGTCTCTACCACCACGGAATCTGCGTGCGTGAATGTGTAGAGACACCCTCTTGTCGTTCTGTATATTTATTATGAATAAAATCCACTGACAACGAGTAACCACGGGTGACTATATACACTTGGGTAGTTAGACGACTCTATTCTGAGACAACATAGCTTCTGGTCTCAAGACATATTGCAGACGATGGAGACGACCCGTTCCAAGGTGACGATGACGATGGCGATTCCCCACACCAACAGCCCCCAGGTCCGTTTCGCGCCGGCTCTTATGCCTCGCCTGATCCGGCCACGCCTCTATTCTCGAATTCTCCTCACCGCACCTGTCTCTGTAAATATCCGCCCTTATTACACTTTCCCGCCATTGGATCCCGTGCTCCCCCTCATGTTACCCTGTCAACACTTGTCCCATAAATCATCATTAGCACGTCCATTAGTAACCATGGTCCCGGGGAACCATACTGTCCCTCTATCACTCCGTACTGTCTTTACATCACCCCCCCCCCCCCCCTCTTAAAAAAATTGCTGTCCTCGGCTAACACAATTTAAAAAAACTTATTTTAGGCCGAATCACCCCCCCCCCCCCCCCCAATATTCAAATATGCTCAAAAGGTCCCCCCCCCCCCCAATATATCGCTATAAAATAGATTTCTGTTTATATGATTGTAGTTATGGTTGTACTTTATTAATCCCTAATCATGCCATTACATACAATGAAACAAAAAAAGATTTAAAAAAGAAGATACAGAGCAATGTAATACAATACACTGTTAGACATTGTAAAAAAAAAAGTCAATCCTATGTGTTAGTGAATTTTTTTTATATTTTAGGCAGGAAATGGCAGGAAATTATTTTCAAATTAAGATTTTTTTTCTGGGGGGGGACCCCCAGACCCCCTGGAAGATTTGGTCTCCACCAATGTTGACTCCATGGCTACGGACTTGGACCATACATGTATATGCGATATTGAAAAATAACAACAATGAACGCATAAACAAGAGTGTTTATAGATTTATATTTTTAATAATGTAATAATATAGATGCATTGTTAAACGTGTGATACAAGCATTTAAACAAGCATGCCTTAAGCATTGCTCTGCTGTATGCAGTCCGCATTATGAACACTACTGGTAACAATTACAATAAGAAATAAATTGTCTCCCAACATAAACAAGCAAAGACAAAACACTTGAAAAAACTGAAACTTTGATTTAAAATCCGATTCCTGATATGCACGTACACGTGGTGTGTATGCTAAAAACTAATTAAATGGCCCTTTGTTTGCTCGAGTGAGTATTGGGAAATGCTTATCGGCAAAGGCGATCATGTCATTCATGGAAATTTCACATACCTATGGTTGAGACCAATCTTCACATAAGACAACTACTCTCGCAAACTGTTTAGTTTACAGACACGTCTGGTGGAGTCTTGGTTTAAGAAAAATCCAAGAAGTTGTGGTTAAAATGACGATTGGGATGTCGATGGCGGCGATGATAATGGTGATGAGGGTGATGACGGTGATGATGGGGATGGATTGACCCTGGCCAGGATTTAAGCTCATAACTGGGAGCTCTGCTGCTCTTCCAATTGTGTTGCACCTTGGCCATACATGGTCAGTACTTATTGACATACTTGCATAAAAATGTGTAATATGTAGCTTTCAGAGACACCTTCTTGTTCAGTTATATGTATATTTATCATGAATCAAATCCGACTCACTGATAACTTAACGAGTAACCACGAGTGACTATATACACTTGGGTAACTTAGGCAACTCTATTCTGAGACACCATAACTCTAGCCTTCCAGGACTACAAGGTGCCCACTCCAGGATGACGAAGACGACCCGCTCCAAGGTGACGATGGCGACGGCAGTTCCCCCATAACAGCAGCCCAGAGCCCCAGTTCATGCCTGGCTCTTATCCCCCTCATGACCCGGCCACGCCCCTATTCCCGAACCCTCTCTCACTGCACCTGGCCCTGTCTGTCTCTGCCCTTATTACAATTTACGACCGTTAGGTCACGTGTTTCTCCTCACTAGACCCTGTCAAAGCTTGTCGCATCAATCATTATTAGCCACCACTTAGGTCCCACATTACCCTCACGTGACCCTGTCTGTTACCGTTACGTTAATTAGTAACCATGGCCACGGGGAGCCGTACTGTCCCGACATCGCCCCGTACTGTCCTTACACATGTAAACATAAACACTATTTACATGGAGGTTAAGGAAAAACAGGAATTAGTTATTTTCTGCAGTTTAAGCTGAATGACATTTTTCAAATAATCTAACCTTTTCAAAACATACAGGTGTTCCCTACAAATAAGAGAAAACATGAATTTTTAAATCAAACTATTTTACTTAACCCTATCATACATTCATTAATGTGAGCAAATGCTATTTTCGTATTTTTTATAGCTTCGTCTTATTTATGTCAAACGAAGCCTTGCAAACACGTTGAACATTTTTCACACGACTCATTAAAAATATTTATCATTGTGTCGATAAAAGTGGACAATGGATCTTCCAGTAGTCGTCGCCGCCTCGAATGCCAAGCTGCGCTTTGCTCATTTTGTCCCGGAGTCGGTAAGCATTGTCAAGGGCCTTGGTGGAAGGCGCTTTATAAATCCAGAATAGAATAGCATGCTGAATTAGTACTATCCTACGCATTCACCAAAGCCCCCAAGGCATGAGCATCCGTGGCTGAATCCAGAGTACAGTCTTGTTCTCCTATATCGCGGTGGTAGTTGCGTTCCTGAAGAACACCGCGTTATGGAAAAATCGCGTTATAATAAATCATATATAAATCTTGACTTAAAGCTTTCGTTACTGCAGAAATTCATACTCTTTGGGTCTTTCGGTAAAGTCACGTAGATAGAAAAATATAAATAAATCACTAAGTTTCGATCACAACACAAGCAATCGTCTTCAGGTGAAAAAAATACAGCAGGCAAACTGCTGAGGCAGGAGAAATATAGCGAGAGAACTACTGCAGCAAGAGGTTATATAGGTTTGAGATGAGTACAACCCAAGGGTAAGTGGGCGGGGCTACAGATGGAATTTACAGTAATATACCTCGGCCATTGTATTGCTAGAGATTACCATGTCAATCTGTTAAGGTAACTCCATGACTACGGTGCTGAAGAAGCCATTGTATTGCTAGAGATTAGAGATTAGCATGTCAATGTGAGATGGCTCCCGCAGCAGCGGCTGTGTTAATGAGACACAATCAGCCTATTAAACAACGAGAGCCACCGCCACATCGAGGAAAAGGGAAACAGCGGCTATGTTAGTGAGTCATTTAGCCTGTTAATGTAAAGTCGGAACTAACTGTTAACATCGGCATCACAGCAGTAGTTGCATTGGAGAAACCAAGCGACATGTCTCAGACCGAGTTCGTGAACACAAGGCGGATCTGAAACACGGCTAGGACTAATACCTTTGCCATGGCTGATAATTGTTTTAACGCTGTGGGCACACATGAGATTGATATCTCCAAGATGAAGGTACTATGCAAACCCACTGGCTATCAACAAAGATTTGTTCATGAAGCCATCCAGATATATAGACACAGACACAATTTTATCCGAAAAGATTGGTACAAACTAAGCAATAATTGGAAGGATGTTATTAACCAGGTAAACTCATAACTGGCTGTGATGCTTCCATCCTCGAGTAATTTGCAAAGATAATGTCAGCCAAGAGGTTGGGAGGAGCAGAGCGGGAGAGATCAGGGCTGCACCATGTATACAGGCGGGAGAAGCCGGGGGACATAGACAAGTGATTCAGCTGTCGAGGGGAATGTGTCTTCCAGTGGCGGCCACACCATCCCTGGGCCCATAGTGCGCGGGCACGGGGGGCACGGGAACGTCCAAGTTGGGGTCCTCCTTCCCCATGACGGAGTCGATCTGGTTGGACTTGCCCAGGCTCTTGATGACGTTGAAGTTGGAGCGTGCGGTCTCAGCGAGACCGCTCTCGAGGAGCCAGCCCTCGCACTCGCAGTCCGGATCTCCAGCCAGCAGCGCGTTCTCCATGGCCGTCTGCATGTAGCGCACGCCCACGAGCACGGAGAGCTGCGCGTAGGGTCACATGCGCATGGAGGGAGAGTGGTCGGTCGGTCGTGTGGCCGTACAGACTTTTGGAGCGAGCGCTCTTGATGAGCACTTATGAAGGCCAGCATGGGGCACGGGAATGGGGGGGGGGGGGGACGCGCTGGCGTTCGTTCCCGAGCCAGATTCAAATGCTTTGTATGTTGAACTTCGTTCACACCGTACGTAGCCAACCGTGCCAATTGGAGGTGCGAGGTATTACCAGCATATAATGACTTGGCTCCAGCTCGGTACGCCAAACAGCCAGTGGATATTTAAAAAAAAAACCCCACCAGTATTGCGAGGGACCCTGCTCTGACTCATCTCAGATGCGGCAGTGGAAAAGGAGCCAGTGTCCCCAACATATCGCGAGACGCGCTTGACTCGGCTTTTACCCACAAAGCCGCCGCCGCCGCGTACCTCGAAGAGCCATACGAGCAGCACGGTGAGCCCGACGTACGCCAAGATGCCCGTGTAGTGCTCGAGCAATGCCTCGCGGCAGCCTCGCATCCACAGGTTGAGCTCCTCGCTCAGGTAGTCATAGTTGTAGTGCGCGGAGCTGTTGGTGATGCCCTGCTGGATGCAGGCGCGTGGGGAGTTGGGGTTGCAGCAGCTGAAGGGGACCCCGTCCACAAGGAACTTGCCGTCCACGTTGCTCTTGAGACGGCTTGGGCACCGTGGGCCGAGGGGCAAAGGGATGACAGGCAAGGGAGGTGAAGGCAAGCAGAGTGGTTGGTGGGTGACCGGCAGAAGGGGGTGGAATTTGAGTTGGAAACAGTAAAGAGACGAGGGTCTGTTGTATCATCCAAAAATTTGACATTTATATAAAATTCCATTTTATCTTTCTATAAAATACCACGTCTGGCCAGGGTGACTCAGCGTTAGACTGAGGAGCGGCTCGCGATCGGAAAGTTGCAAGTTCAAGATCTGGCTGAGGGTTGACTCAGCCCATTATCTATACAGGGCCGATATAAGATCAGTACCACAAAGTGGTACTGATTTTACCACTATCACGACCCCTAGCACTACTCCCACTGCTATCATTACCCCTACCGCTATCAATACCCCTACCGCTACCACTACCCTTACCGCTACCACTACCCCAACCCCTATAACTATCACTATCCCTATTACTATCACTATCCCTACCCCAAGCCCTCCTTAACGTCTCCCACCTGTTCTCCTGTCGCCATTACTACAACACCCACTTTTAACAACAACCACACTCCTTATTGCGTACCACTGTCGCCTTTACGTGCCATTTTATAACTGTCGCAAAGCGCCTTGGAATAAGGCTCCACATGAAAAAAAAGCACGTTGCGGTATTCCTACGCGATTGAACAAAACCGAGGCGAGATGTGCCGCTCACTCGCGCACGTCCTTGGAGGCCATGTCCAGGTAGCGCACGCTGATCCACTGCAGCTCGAACCAGTCGCGGAAGCCGCTGTTCCCGCAGCAGTGGAACTCCATCTGCAGGAGGTCGATGCTGCGCTTGATGAAGCAGCGGCCCGGCACGTCCGTGTCGCGGTAGTAGTGCATGGCGTTGCGCAGGCCGGCCCGCAGGGCGTCGTCCAGGGCCCCGCGGGCCCCGTAGCACATGAGCCCCCCGGCGAGCAGGCACGCGGTGAAGACGAGCGCGCACACCTGCGGCCGTGGCACAACGAGAGCGGACCCCCCCCCCCCCCGCGCAGGTATAGCTGTCAACCCACACGGTTAGCTCCGTATTATATTTTTTTGTCTATTTGTTTGTGTTTCTCCCTTGTGATGGGACTTTGTAGGGTGAACGTTGAGACTTATAAGGGCACGGGGTGAGCAATAAGATCTGAATTGGTCTGTAATAAGGTCGGGCACAGGTAAGGTGTTGCCAGATATGCTGCTCGCTCAACGTACGTACGTCATCGTCTGGGATCCCTCAAGGTCGAGTATGATGATCGTCCGTGGACAGCGACGGTGGTCACAGTTTGTGAGGATGTGGGTGACTCATGAGGCCAATCCTAGAACCACGTATCTTGTATGTATGCAGTGGTTCTCAAACTTTGGCGACTGAAACGCCTTGTTGAATTTTGTTTCATCCGTGTAACCCCCCTTGCCTAACCACAATATTGTTCTGAGAAATAAATGTTTGAATAATGAACATCAATATTTTAACCAATTAATGTATGCACTGTCCAGTGCATACATTATCAGGACAGTGCATACATTATCAGAGTTATGTTTTTTGTTTGCATTATTACTGCAGGTATTGTGGTCTATGCAAACATGACTCCTCGTAAAAAAGATGTCAGTTTAGTTGCCAGATAGAAGGGTAAAAAACCAATTATCAGTTAGCAGCTAGTTAGGATACCTCACAAAATGGATAATTGGTTAAAATATTGATGTTCATTATTCAAACAGTGCATACATTATCAGAGTTATGTTTTTGGTTTTCATTATGCCTGCAGGTATTGTGGTCTATGCAAACATGACTCCTCGTAAAAAAGGTGTCAGTTTTGTTGCCTAGATAAAAGGATAAAATAACAATTATCATATTTTTTACTGGCAAATGAGGTACCAATTGTGTAGCTGCTAACTGGTCTTCTCTTTTTAACGCTGACTAATTGGAAGAGGTGGGAGTATTCACGCTTTACCCCACGGCACGCTAATTAAACAACTTTTATTTTACAGGTTTCACTCGCTTTATGCGGTAGTAGCAGATGCGTTCCACAAAACGGAGGGCACACAAAGCAAAACGGCACGAGGAGACAGCTGCCTGCCGAGGAGCACACACAGTACGCACACACAATGTTGTCCCACGTCCGGCCGCATAGCTGCATCTGAGTGAATTCAAACTACATCGTATAAACTTGAAATCGTATAAAGCGAGGGAAATATATACCAGCGAAAACCCATTGAGATATGAGCAATTTTTCAGAGGTGACCTGGCCACACCTGATGGTAGCTTATCATATGTGGGAATTTATGGTAGCCAAATAATCTAAACGCACATTTATAAATGCAGAGTGGGGCAAAACTGGAAGACCCGGAGATAAATCCATATGACCACTGTGGCGAGATGTTAACTACCTAGCCTGGTATACAGGAGGCCATGGATTCGATCCCGACCCTGACGCCTGTATATTTGAAGTTTGCATATTCTCCCCGTGTTCGCGTGGATTTTTCTCTGGGTCCTCCGGTTTGTCCCTCTAAATTTAGAAACATGCACTTAAGAGTATTTGGCTGTTATAAATGTGCACGTGATTAGCCACTTCATTGAGCTATCATGTGTGGCCAGGTCGCTTCTGAAAAAGAGCTGTATAGCTCAGTGGGTCTTACGTGGTAAAAGAAAAAAAATGGACATTTTAGAACTCCACCACCTCTTGCGTACCCAGCGAGGGAGATACCATCTCACCAGCGCGGTGCGACCTGGTGATGGAATCACGTGGTGGAAGCAGTTACACTGCTGGGTGAATTGTCATGAATTGGCATGATTCAGGGTTGTGAATTGCCTCTGTTTTTCCTCTTGTTTTGCAGGGTTTAAGGAACCTATAACACGTGCAACAAAGACGGGCACTGCATCGCGCGCTGAAACGCCCTTCCTTCCGATATTAGGAAGCCACTGGAGCTAAATCATCTAGTTTGAAACGCATTTCTTTAGAACTGATTTTTATGTTTAGTTTGTTGTCATTTGCTTGCACCTCCGATTAGCGTGGTGGGCTACGTATGGTGCGAAAGAAGTTCAACATAAATGATACAGACATAATTCATAATTGGAAATACGGTAAAAGATTATTACGTGCCCACGGTTCTTTGCATGCATGGTGAGCATTCGCAGATTCCAATACTGTACCTAGAATGAAGAATTATATTATTACACCCAGTCTACTGTACTTTTTTTATCAAAATGTGTGAAACTACCAAACCCAGTGGGCTGCAAGCTGGTAAAAAGATTGTAGTACAATTCAGCGGGTTTGTAAACACATCTGTGTGAATCCTTAGCTGACAATATATTATCTTCACAGATCGGTCTCTTCACATAAAAAAAAACATTTAGAGTAATTGTCACGGAACCCATCAGCCCCACGGCCTTCTGGGAGTGCGTCATTTCAGGGGCATTAATTCAATACAAGCAAATGTTACACTGTGCTTATATTCTCCGCTCGTGATGACTGATTATTGCATGTGAACCTTTCACTGTTATCCCTTTGTTTCCAACGTGAAATAATACTTGTTAAGGAATTGAACAAAACATTCCAATGCAAGATCCTCCTAGAACACCAGTCGCGAGACTCGGTGAAACTTTCCCAGATGAATAAATTACATTACGATTGCTATTTTCAAACAGTGAATTGTTCTCTTTTTGGTCATATGGTACAACATTTTTTAAATATTTGTATACAAGTGTAAATATATGAAACGTGCCATAAAAAAACTCAAAACACCAATTCAGGTGTTCTCTTGTACAGTGGCGGCTCCTGCAAAATCTCTCAGGGGGGGCAAATGTCTGGATGATTGATAAGGATAAGGTCCACCCATGCAATGGATAAATTAACAGCTTAAGCATGTAAAGACAACTTCACTTCTTTAATATTAATGAAAAATAAAGTGACTCTTACAATACATCTTGTTTGTTTCTATACTCACTATTAAAACAAACCACTCAAGTTTATTTTATTAAAGATTCCACTAGATTTTGATTTAAAACTTTCGTGACTGCAGGGATTCATCTTCTTGGTTCTTTCGGTAAAGTAACGTAGAAGGGAAGTAATAAAATAATAAAAATAAAACATAATAAAATTATTCTCACGACGTTTCGGCCACAACGCAAGCAGCCGTCCTCAGGTGAAAACCAGGTCCGTCGAGGCGACAGCGTCTGAATGAAACAGCACACGAGCTTGGAGCATATATATAAGCTGGGCGCCTTGACAAAGGAATTTGCATATCAAGAGGAATTTAGCATATTTATGGGAAATGCAGGAATGTGATTAGTACTGCATATGCATGTGCATTATGCAGGATTAACAGCATCAAAGGGAGCTGCAGTTGCTGCTGCTGCTGCCGTTGCTGCTGCTGCTGCTGCAGTTGCTGCTGTTGCTGCAGTTGCTGCCTTATCCATTTTAATATAACACTATGTATTATTCTACCCACCCTAATGTGTATCACACTGCTATATATTTACTATACAATTACGACACCATACATTACTCTGCACACTGCACCATGCCAGTGAGTGGAACGTTGTGGCCGAAACGTCGTGAGAATAACTTGCGTTGTGGCCGAAACGTCGTGAGAATAATTTTATTATGTTTTATTTTTATTATTTTATTACTTCCCTTCTACGTGACTTTACCGAAAGAACCAAGAAGAAGATTCCACTAGGTGGCGATAAATGATATTGTTGGATGAAACGTGCTTACGTATGATGACGTAAGCACGTTAGGGCGAGCCCTCCCGGAAGCCATAGAGAATGCATTGGAGCGCCCCCCGTTCGAAAAAAAACATCTTTGAATGTAAGTCTATGGGGCCACTCGGGGCGATTCTCAGCCGGAGTGAAATCGCCCAAAAAGAGGCGGTACTCCACAGAACGTGACATGACGCTGATTGGACTATATCCAGAGGCTGCAGTGATGGCTAGCGTGACTCTGTGGTTCAATGACATTGGTGGTGCGTCGCCCAATCGCCCTAATGAAGAAACCGCCCCTGCTCTTGTATCTGTAAACGGCATGCGGTCGGTATGTTTGCTGATAAGAGAACACACACTCCTTGTTAGCGTTGTCTTAATTTGTCTTCAGTTACAGCCTCGCCGTGCATGCCATTGTCCATAAAACATGTTTTTGTAAACACATGCCATTGTGTTGACATGTATGCAAATTCAATCAGCAAAATTTGAATTCAACCTATGTCGCTCTGCTGGCATGGGAACGCCTGGGAATTTCCCAGGAATAGCTAGAGTCTGTGTATAGCAGTGTATAGTAGCGTAGTGTATAGCAGTGTATAGTAACGTAGTGTATAGCAGTGTATAGTAACGTAGTGTATAGCAGTATATAGTAACGTAGTGTATAGCAGTGGAGTGTATAGTGCAGTTGTGTATAGTAATGTAGTACTGGAGTCTGTCGCCAGGGAAAGGGAGGTCTGGGCCGACCTCCTCAACATGCTGCCGCCGCGACCCTCACCAGGACGAGCGGCCTGAGAAACGAACGGACAATTCAACCTGTTCCTAATATTCACAAATTGGCCACAGGTTTGAGTATGAATAGATGACCTACACTCTCGCGGTGATGTCGAATAATGTTCTTCTGCAACCAGTGTACACTGCCTCCGAGTGACACGTGCACATTGACAAAGAAACTGGAAGCAATGCTGAAAACGTGCACGGAGTGGTGTGGAAAAAGGCATTCTTGTAAAACTACACTAGCATAAGTACCCGGCGTTGCCCGGGTGAAAAATATATTTCTTAATAACCTTACATATATACACAGATGGGCTGCTACCCCTGCCCCCCCCCCCCCCCCCAGCCACGATCTCCTCGGCCGCTGTGCAGTAATATGTACGGCCTATAGTGTGGTGGGGTGTCGAGGCCTAGTACCGTGCAGAGCCTCCGGCCTCGCCTAAATTGGCCACCCGGCTGAGGCTGGGTACCGGGGTCGTTACCCCCCCCCCCCCCCGCGCTACAATAATACTGTCTAATCGCTATAATTTTATTATCTACCGACCCTATAATAGTAATAGCACACATTGGGGTGTGGGGGGAGTGAAGAGGACGTGAAACTTTGATGAATTTACCTCAGAGTCGCGTGGTGGGTGTCGAGGCCTAGTACCGTGCAGAGCCTCCGGCCTCGCCTAAATTGCCCACCCGGCTGAGGCTGGGTACGGGTGCCGTTCCCCCCCCCCCCCCCCGCGCTACAATAATACTGTCTAATCGGTATAATTTAATAATCTACCGACCCTATAATAGTAATTGCACACATTGTGGTGGGGGGGGGGGGGGGAGTGAAGAGGACGTGAAACTTTGATGAATTTACCTCAGAGTCGCGTGTTAATGCGTGCGCATATTTTTTACGGGAATTACCCTGCAGCGAATGCGTCGCTACCCGTTGCCAGGGGCAACCGCCGGACCAATCGTGTCTCGCAAATCCTTCACATTTCGTCCAATGAAACTGCGTATGGTCCGGCGCCACAGACACACACACAGACAGACAGATTTGCGATTTTATATATATAGAAGACGGGAAGGAAGAGGAGCACATGTATCAAGAAACAAATACAAATCAGAGGCATCGCATTTACTGTGAAGAAAAGTGACATCGGGTAGGACGCACCGCAAGGAGGTGATGATGGCTGATGGACAAGGCAAGTGACAGAATGGCAACAATGAGATCAGTTCATGTTCAGCTTTTCGACTTTCACACACCGCACTCAGCGTCAGACTTCACCTCACACAAGGCAGCAGCGTGGCTTCTCACGCGTTGATCATCTGTCATTTTTAATATCACAGTGATAACCCCTCCTCTTTCCAAATTTCCCCCCACCCCCACTGGTCTCATGCTGCCATAAGTAAATCTCACACGACCTATGATACATTAACACTCGTTTTTTTCTCCGTTTACTTGAGAGGTCTGTCAACTGTACGCACGGTTCGCCGCTCGTTGTGCGGAGGTTAGCGGTTCAAATCCGGCAGGCCACCCTGGTTATTACTGTGGTTGTGTATAAACGATTAACTACTAGGCACCATCTGCTTCAAGGTGGACGTTGGAAATCCCGTGACGGGTAGGCCACCGCGTGCCGGCGTCACGGCCAAAATTAGCCAAATTCGAAAACTGCTTGCAAATGACTCAATTGGGATTACTCGCAGTAGAAATCAACGCCACCCCCACCCTTCCCTACCGGCCGACTAACACCGACCAGGTGTTGCTTTCACCTAGTGCCTCGGCACAGGGGACAGCTGTCGATGGAGAGGGAAGGCAGGTGCTCTTCGAACTATTTTCGATGAGCTATGAAGTAAGTTGCTTTGTCGCGTGTGAAGCGAGACGCCCTCCGACAACAATTATCATGCTGATGAACTCCACTGTCACACGATGGGACAAAACGTCGCGCGGCCACAGCAGGACGACTTTGGTGGCCGTACCGTGTAGGGCAGCAGCACGAGGCGCCAGCGGGACACCTTGGCCGAGTCGGCCGTCGCAAAGTCGTGGCAGATCTTGCCTCCGAGCAGATTGATGGCGCAGGCCAGGAGGCCCACGCCCAGCAGGAGGTTGGGGAGGCCGTGAAGTCCCGCGCCGCCCTCCACCATTAAATCCGCACGCCGGCGCAATTCCACCTGAGGCAAAATACACCAATGCCAACAACCGCCATTCGCCACTAAGTGGCGGTGACAACACCACGGCGCCTGTGCCAGGCCCGGTGCGCTTTGAGGCCACGTGAAGTTGTCGGAGGATCGCCGATAGGAGGTCACGGGATAGACCCAGCGAGTGCCATGGGGTTGACTGATTGAGGTGACTGGCAGATGCACCAGCTGTGCCCCCGACTGTGCCAGCTGTGCCACAATATACCATAGATGCCATAATCACATAGGCACGTCTCTGTTCTGACTTTAGTCGTGTGCCCAATGGCAGGATCTTGGCTTAACGCCCTCTATCATGTCAGATGTTGGCATTTCTTCTTCATGTTACTGTAGGGCCACCTTCCTTTAAGTTACTCTTTGGTTCTTTCGGTAAAGTCACGTAGAAAATAAAATAAAATAATAATAGAATACGACGTTTCGATTGCAACACAAGCAACCATCATCAGGTAAGAATGAATGAGAAAACAAACCTAGTAATCTTAGAAATATAATGCAATACAACACCAGGGGCGGTTTCTTCATTAGGGCGATTGGGCGACGCACCACCAATGTCATTCAACCACAGAGTCACGCTAGCCGTCACTGTGCCTCTGGATATAGTCCAATCAGCGTCATGTCACGTTCTGTGGAGTACCGCCTCTTTTTGGGCGATTTCACTCCGGCTGAGAATCGCCCCGAGTGGCCCCATAGACTTACATTCAAAGATGTTTTTTTTCGACCGGGGGGCGCTGCAATGCATTCTCTATGGCTTCCGGGAGGGCTCGCCCTAACGTGCTTACGTCATCATACGTAAGCACGTTTCATCCAACAATATAATTTGTCGCCACCTAGTGGAATCTTTAATAAAATAAACTTGAGTAGATTGTATTAATAGTGAGTATAGAAACAAACAAGATGTATTGTAAGAGTCACTTTATTTTTCATTAATATTAAAGAAGTGAAGTTGCCTTTACATGCTTAAGCTGTTAATTTATCCATTGCATGGGTGGACTTTATCCTTATCAATCATCCAGATATTTGCCCCCCCCTTGAGAGATTTTGCAGGAGCCGCCACTGTACAACACAGAGAGTCGGCTAACACAACAGTCAACACCCCACCTGGTTGATTACATTCTTCCAAATAATGCTAAATTTGAGAGAGAGACAATACATAGACACGGAGACAACATAGACCAACACACATGCATAGAGACACACACACAAAGACACACAGAGCGAGACACACACCAAGACAAACAGAAAAACAACGCCTCTGTGTCGAGGCCTTAATAGAGAGACCGGGAGGGGTTGGGGCAGAGAGAGAGGGGGAGGATTGGGGTAGAGAACAATGAGAGAGTTGTGTGGAATTCCGGACCAGAGTGGCCGAAGGAGAGACAATGGACTATAAACAAACCAGCACGGCAATAATTAGAGCAAGAAAATCGGAAGTTTGAGAAAGAAAATTTAGTAAAATTAGGAAGTGTAATGCAATGCAACACAGAGAGTCGGTTAACACAGCAGTTAACGCATAGCCTGGTTGATTGCGTTCTTCCAAAAATTGCTAAATTAGAAGTTAAGTGTGAAACAGACAAGCAAGGAAAATTTCTAATTTTACTAGGGCCTCCATGAGGCTCTTTCCTTCAACTCTCTCCTCATTCGTCTTGTCAGCAGAATTTCTCTCGCCAAATGCTGCGTTTCCCATGGCAATCCTGGCCTTAAATCCCCTTTAAGCATCTGCCATCTTCTGTCAGAAAACGACTCAGAAGCTTAAATTTGTCTCATTGGCTCTCGCCGCTGTCCATCCACTGTGATATTCTTCCAAACTCAGTGCCGGATTAAGCTAGTGCGGGGCTTGTAGCATATGTTATAAAGGGGACCTAAATAAAAAAAAACACAAATATTAAAACACATTTTTAACTTGCATAGTAAAGTAATTGTATTTTTTTAATTTTCTATACAGCTAGATAATACGACAAATTGCTAACCTTAAACACCCAGTCGTTCATAAAAGTTGAAGGCGGTATAATACTATAGTAATAGAGCAAGTGCAGAATTACCGTACCGGAATTGATAGCTTGAAAGCATTTAGCACGGGGCCCTTGAAAGTGCAGGGCTCATAGCATATGCTACTTTTGCTACTAGGATAATCCGGCACTGCTCCTACTTCCACCTCTGCCTGTGATTACATGACTCTTGTTTTCTGTATTCGTTCTCATTCCGAAGTCCCTTGCAGGCTTGTTCGGGCCTTCTACCAGCTTCTGCAGCCCCACTTCAGAAGTGGCCCACAGGGCTTTATCATCAGCAAACCTTCACAAATGTATCCAGTTCTATCCACGCTTCCCTCACCTCTGCTTCCCCAATCAAAGTTAAACTATATGTGGGTTAGCAAGCATCCCTGTCTCACTCCCCAACCAACAGATTCTTGACAGACAGGTTAGTTAGTTACATTTTAATACTTATTGTGACCAAATCGTTTTACCGTGATACAATATGCGACAATGACACTGCCTTCACATATCTGTCCTTCCACGTGTAGTGACGTTAAGGGGGCCCGAGGCATAGAGGCCAACCGAAATTCGGTTTTGGCGCCGAAAGTTGGCAAATGGCCTCTTTCGGCATACTTTCGGTTTCGGCCGAAAGTTATTTTTTTACTTTCGGTTTACTTTCCGTTTCGGCCGAAAGTCCATTTTTAACTTTCGGTCTGGTTTCGGTTTCGGCCAAAACTGATATTGACTTTCGGTCGTCATTCGTCAACCGAAGATCTATTTTTAGAATATAACGCTAGTGCTACGTCTATCACTCTGCCTATAGGCCGGTCAGTCGGCGCTAGGCAATCCTATGCGATAGGCTGCAAACACACACACATCAGTAGCAGTAGCAGCTTGGGAGTGAGGTTACAGCCGCAACCACGGTCTGCTAATGCATATATGACTGGTCAACAGACGGCAGCCTGTCTGGCTGAATGCGGAAAAACTGTTTCTTAACTACAACAATCGTTTGTTTGGATATAATTACTAAGTAAGTAACACCTAAAGATTTTATATTTAGCGACTCTTACTGCAGGCTTTGAATGATTAGTTCTAGATTTCTTTTTAATTAAAGTAGCATTGCATCATTACATATTTCATAAATCTTGTGTTCGGTAACTTGGGTTATATACCTTTCTGTTTCGGTCTCGGTCGAAAGTGTAGTTAAACGTTCGGTTTCGGCCGAAAGTAAATTGTTTACTTTCGATCTGGTTTCGGTTTCGGCCGAAACCAGAAATTCAGTTTCGGTCGGCCTCTATTTACCACTGCTGTTGTATGTGTGTATGTTGAACTTCTTTAGCACCGCACGTCACCAACCGTGCTAATCAGAGGTGCGGGAGAAGGACGACACACTCAACACAAAAAGCAGTTCTAAAGAAATGAGTTTGTCAATCTAGATTTAAAAGTGCATAGCTCAAGTTACTTCCTAATATCGGAAGGAAGAGCGTTCCAGACGACTGCAGAAGTGCATCTAGGTGCTACACGGCCGCTTTGATTCAGCTACCCACGCGTGCATTCATCCTCTCCCGGCGTCCTCCCGGATGGACATCGTCCTCAAGACGTAACCAGAAGAGCTTCCCTTGGCTACCTCAGGAAATGGGGGCCCTGGAGCATGACACCAAGCTCACCGCTTGGGCCATGTCAATTACAATCGATAATTATTCAATACAGGATGATGGCACGTCTTAATCACCTCTACGGAGAGATTTCGTCACGTGTCAGTCATGAAAACTAATTTAGGTACCCTAAACATCAATAAAAAAATAGACAAGCAGACAATGTCCACTTCATATACCTGTCTCTCCACGTAAACATTTAAAGTGAAACATTTTGCACAACTCATTAGCTCATTAGCCCCACGGCCCTCTGGGAGTACATATCAGTGTCACTGATTCAAAACTTTGGACCGGTTTTGATGTACAGTGTCTTTACCAGCAACGTCAAGCTTGCTGATGAATATGCCAGGATGTTTATAGGAAAGTTCGCTTCTCATTATGATATTGGTCCTATGTAGTTCTACGCAAAGTTGTATAGCGCACAACACAGAATGAACATTCGTGTCGACGTGGAGAGGATAAGCAACAAAACAGATTAGCAGATGTGTCTCCTTCATATATATCTGTCTGTCCACGCAACATATACCTACAGCATGTTCTTACTTATATTCTGCATGTCATCCCTGGTGATTACAGTATTTTGTCGTCTACTTGGCTAGGCCTCAGAGAGTTAAACGGTAGGGGCTGCCAATGTTTAGACCCTTTGTGCCCGCGTACCGATTTTCCATACGTACGTACAACAATTGTTTTTGTCCGTATGTATGTTGAACTTCTTTCGCACAGTATGCAGCCAACCGTGCTAATTGGAAGTAAGGGAGTGGAGGGGAAACAACAAAATGACATTTTAAGCGCCATGATTATCTCTGAAAGTTAATATGCGGTTAAAAAAGGGTGTAAATATTGGCAGCATACCACGTAAATCAGTAGGGTTGGGCAAGTATGACGTTCCTGTTCTGCTCTCACGTATGGCAGAGTGTTGTTAGCATGTAAGGGACCGTCCATAAATGACGTCACGCGATTTCGGACGATTTTTGACCCCCCTTCCCCCCTAGTCACACGGCGTCACAAAAGTCAGACCTCCCCTCAAATATGACGTCATAAAGCTCTATCCCCTCCCAAAAAATAAAACATGCTTCAAATCGCTTTAAACTATTGTCATTGTAGTGCGTATTTAATGTGGCGCTGCACTCTGATGTTGAAAACATTTATTCAAAAGTATATTTAATTAAGTAGAACGTGTTGTCTATATTTATTTAAAGTTGCGCATTTTGATGTGACGTCACATTTCTCACCCCCCCCCCCTCCTCGTCACACATCGTTACAAATGTCTGACCCCCCCCCCCCCGCCTAGGTGTGTGACGTCATTTATGGACGGCCGCAAACCCAATCTATTGACCATACGGTAAACCCGCTGCTATCTGCACTCCTGCAACTGTTGAGGAACATTCAAAACGACACGAAGCCCTCTCGTTGTGTCCAGCAGGACTTCCGACATTGGCTGGTCATTTAGCTCCCGGGACATAATTGCTGCCACTAGGGGCGGTTTCTTCATTAGGGCGATTGGGCGACGCACCACCAAAGTGTGAAAGGGACTTTTTCAATCACATTCAAAATCTCATTCAACCAGAGTTATGCTAGCCGTTACTGTGCCTCTGGATATAGTCCAATCAGCGTCATGCCACGTCTGTGGAGTACCGCCTCTTTTTGGGCGATTTCACTCCGGCTGAGAATCGCCCCGAGTGGCCCCATAGACTTACATTCAAAGATGTTTTTTTTCGATCGGCGGGCGCTCCAATGCATTCTCTATGGCTTCCGGGAGGGCTCGCACTAACGTGCTTACGTCATCATACGTAAGCACGTTTCAGTCAACAATATTATTTGACGCCACCTAGTGGAATCTTTAATAAAAGAAACTGAGTGGATTGTAATAATAGTGAGTATAGAAACAAACAAGGAGATGTATTGTAAGAGTCACTTTATTTTTCATTCATATTAAAGTAGTGAAGTTGCCTTTACATGCTTAAGCTGTTAATTTATCCATTGCATGGGTGGACCTTATCCTTATCAATCATCCAGACATTTGCCCCCCCTGAGAGATTTTGCAGGAGCCGCCACTGGCTGCCACCATGATATAGTGGAGTGGGGTCACACAAACACAAGTAATAGAAACACACTCAGCACGTTCATTAACACCGACTTAAAAGGAAACACAAATTTGATACTGTAAACACAAATATATACAAATTATAATAATAGACGTTATGCCCAATGTGTTGAGTTTCATTTGATGTCAGGCGACTAAAGTTTGACTTTGAAATCAGGTTATCAGTGCGGTACAACGTCGCATATCGGACTCGAATATGTGACAAGGTCGGATATGCGAACATCTATCCACAATGACAAGTTACCACTTTGCACAGACAATGGACTGGGTCTGGCCGGTTAACTGGCCAAGGCGGATATGCGACGTTCCACTGTATTTCCAGCCGGGTGCCTCATCCACAGCATTCGGCAGTGGCAGCCGTGTCTAGTTTGTTGTTCTTCCTCCGCACCTCCGATTAGCAGCACGGTTGGCTACGTGCGAAAGAAGAAATAAGTTCAAAATACCTACATACACACTACATTATCCACTACTATACACTACGCACATTACGCTTAACATTACACTCCTATACACTACTATACACTGCACTTACACTACACTATACACTACACCACTTTACTAAATTAAACACTCTTCTCTTAAGAGCTGCTTTTTGTGTTTAGTTTGTTGTCCTTCCCCCGCACCGCCGATTAGCAGCACGGCTACATAAGGTACGAAAGAAGTTCAACATACATACACACTACACTATGCATTATTATACACCACCTTATGCACTACCATACACTACGCTATCATGTCACTACTATGCACTGCACTATACACGACTATACACGACACCGCTGTACTAAATTGAAAACTCATCTCTATAACTGTTTTTTGTGTTTAGTTTGTTGTCCTTTCCCCACACCTCCGCGCTTGGCTATGTCCAGGTGCGAAAGAAGTTCAACGTCCAGACATACATACAGACAGACATACATACAGACATACAGACAGACAGACATACAGACAGACATACAGACAGACATACATACAGACATACAGACATACATATAGCCATACAGACATACAGACATACATATATACAGACATACAGACAGACAGACATACAGACATACAGACTGACATACATACAGATATACAAACATACAGACAGACATACATACAGACATACAGACAGACGTACTGACAGACGGAGACACGAACCTTCAGGACGGTGCCCAGGCTGAAGAGCAGCAGACCTGACACCACGGAGATCCAGTTGAGGATCCAGAGGATCTGAGCCAGCTTCACACGCTTCTCCTTGGTGAAGCGAACACCCAGCACTGCCATCTCGAGATCTTGGCCGGTGGGATGGGTGGAATTGGTGGAATTGGTGGGTCCGGCCCGGCCACAGATCCCCCCCCCTCAACCTCCACCCGATGATTGGGGTAAACGGGCTGTCAACACTTCCAGCCCATGGTGGACCAGTGTGTTGGTCCTAACTGGATCGACGAATGGCTTAGGAGAGAAATGATGTTGCAGCGGTCAAGTGGCCGGTTCCTTTTGGCTTTTCTGGCTCTCAATTTCTGCCGTGACATGGGGGTGGGGGGGAGCCTCAACGCTTGACTATCACCTACAGCTAGCGAGCTTAGCTTAGCTGTGATTGAGTCGCACTTTGTACCGGCGGCAGCTGTCGTTCACAGAGCATGCTCGAAGTCACCGAAAAGCTGGAACGACTAAGAGCAACAAGAGAAACGTCGGGGAGGGAGAGGCTTTGTCTTGGCCAGTCCTCGACACAACTCACACCTGAAGGAGCTGTCGCTGGCACGGCGGCGTAACGAGTCCCAAACGAATCCCGACTCGAGGAGAGAGAGGAAAAATAAACCTGGCACGGTTAGTTCACCTAGAAAAACACGCAAACAACTTGGCATGCTCCACACTTGAGAACCGCCTGCCAGTGACACGGCGCACTACAACCAACGAGCACTGACTGACTGACAGAGAGCCAAGTCACAAATTGGCTGAATGTACCGTTACAAGAGGGACAGACGCCCAAATCGCTCCTGCGGGTTGTGTTGCCAAGTTCACGTTTTCGTAGTTTACATAACACGGCAGCCATAATCTATTTACATTCTATTTATTGACAGTATCTAGTACAGCACATTTATTTATTCGCTATTTTTGTTTACCTTTTCGATAAGGAAATGTCAAATATTCTTCATATATCAGTCTTTGGTATAAAGACTGTACTCTTATTACTGCAGTAAATCGATGCTTATTAATAATATTTGCAGCAGCGTTGTTTAATGATTAAAGATGACTTCAGCACTCACAGCTGTACACGGAGTTTTGTACTCACCTACATGGATGATTCGATGATAAATACATGATCCCTTGCACAAGAACACCCTCTTTCAGAGAGGCCTACATAAACCCTATCCATATTTGTCTCAACTCGGATTGTTTTCCCGTTTCATTACCTTGAAGTGACTATCACGTACACGTTCGTAACATTTAAAATAGTGATAAATCCATTAGAATTCGAGCAAAGACTGGTTTTCGTCGTATAAGCTACTTCAAAAGTTCACTCATTCCCATGTACTTGTAAATCGTGACTAACACTCGAGGTTTGCGAATATCGAAAATGCACGTAAACAGAAATTGTCACAAATTTTAAAATAAAGCAAACAGCTGTTAGAAATAAAAACCCATTAAACACAACTCGACCTGTCATACATCTAAGGAAACATTTCTTTAAAGAATATTCGAATGTAACCAGTAAGGCAGGGCAGCAGCAAGCCGTGTGGATGTACACAGAGGGCAATTTGTCTAATGGGGCCTCAAGTGACAGCAGGGACAGCAGCAGCACAGACTCTAAGCCTCTTTGCGCCCTCGTGAATATAGCTGCGTGTGATTAATCCTGCACGCTTATTGCGGCCAGGGATTACTCAGTAGGCCACGTGTACATCAGCGCCTCCCGTATTGCTACTCCAATGCCCAGCTTCGTGACCGTTTCTTCAAGGAGGGCTTCTGCCAAGTAACGCGAGGTGTTCGCAGCGGAGGCCCATGATTGATCCGCATATATGCACCGTGTGTTGGATTTCTTTCGCACCGTACGTGGCCAACCGCGCTAATCGGAGGTGCGGGGGAAGGACAACAAGCTAACACACAAAAAGCAGTTATAAAGAAGTTAGGTTTTTTTTTATCTATAAATATAGTAATTTTTTTGGAGTATTGTTTTTCCTAAATTTGGCAAATTTGGACCCGGATGCCAGCACACAGTGGCCTGTTGAGAATGACGTCACGGGAACTTGAGCGGCCACTGTGAAGCGGACGACGCATATATTTTAGTTTTACGACTAATATCACCACAGTAATAACCAGGGTGGATGCTGCATTCGAGCCGCAGCAGCCTACAACACGCGCATTATGCACCGCGACTTAAACGAAAGGTCAAGATGGGATAATGAAATGTGAATCAGAATCAGGTTATTTATTTCTACTGGAGGAATCCGATGAGCTACAAAGCTCTTTTTCACAGAGGTCCAGGTGGGGCGGGTAAGATCGTTACAACAACAAACAATACAAAAACACGATAGCAGGGCAAAGTACAAGAAAGGTAAATAAATCACCCAAGAACACACAATACAACGAAACCATCCCCATTTCATCAGGAAAAGCCCACTGAAGTGGCTTATCATGTGGACATCTATAGCAGCAAAATAATCTAAATAACCTTTATGCATGTTGATTAAATGTGGAGAGAAAACCCGGAGAAGCCCAATCACGTGGTGAAAACAAGTTACTTTTAAACTAGATTCGAAGCTTTCGTGACTGCAAGAATTACTCTTGATTCTTTCTGTAAAGTCACGTAGAAAATAAAATCGAATAATAATAGAATACGACGTTTCGGTTGCAACACAAGCAACCATCATCAGGTAAGAATGAATGAGAAAACACAGACACTGGAACAGCATAGGCAGACACACATTCAGAGAGAGACACACACAAAGACACACCGAGCGAGAGACACACCAAGACAAACAGAAGGAAAACGAATCTGTGCCGAGGCCTTAAATAGAGAGAGGGGGGGAGGGGCCGGGGCCATGAGAGAGGACTGGGGAGGCGGGACCAGCCGACAAATGAGCGGAGTCACCAGGTGAACTACAGATGCAAAAACCATCAAGCACAAAATCCCGATATGTCCACATACATAGCAGCTAAATCAAGTGACTTATTAGAAACGTAACGTGACCTTCGTGATACTAAACTAAACTATTACTCCATCTTTTTTGTTACCAGGTAAGGCCCACTGCGCTATATAACTCTTTTTCAGAAGCGACCTGGCCACAAATTATATCTAAACAAAGTGGCTTATATCAGCCAAATACTCTGGTCGCATGTTTCTAAATGTGTAGGGAAAACCCGAGGACCCAGAGAAAAATGCAAGCGACCCTGGGGAGAACATGCAAACTCCAAATATACAGACGTCATGGTCGGGAACAAATCCACGACCTCCTGCATACCGGGAGAGGTACTTAACATCTTGCCACAGATGCTATCGATCACCTGAATGTCCCTGGGACATGAGAGCAGTCGCTTGTCAGTAGGAAACTCTACCAGGACTCAGCCAAGAGACCCCCGTGCCCATCTCCATCCCAAACGGGAGATCCAGAAACGCCTTGGGTCCCGTGTGTATCCATCCACGAGTACCAAAGCAGTGATCAAGTGTGCAAAAATAAGAAGACAATTTTCCTTCACCTCGCCTGGAAAACAGGAGGTCGTGGACTTGATCCCGACCCTGACGTCTGGTGTATATTTGGAGTTTGCGTGTCTCTCTCTCCCCGTGGTTGCGTGGATTTTTCTCCGGGTCCTCAGGGTTTTCCCTCCACATTTAGAATCAGCACGCGTTTAGAGTATTTGGCTGCTATACATTTCCACATGATGATAAGCCACTTCGTTGAGCTATCATTTGTGGTCAGGTCGCTTCTGAAATCAAGTTGTGTAGTTCAGTGGGCCTTACCTGATAAAAAAAATAAACAATTCAGTTTCGGTTTACTGCACATCACCCTGCAGCCAGCCACTTAAAAAAAAATTCTGTAAACTTGGTCAATTGGTAACAATATTAGGAATGCATCGGGATATGAGCCTCGTCCTGATGTGCGATGTGTCTATATTCCATATGTAGCCACGAGATGGCAGCAGACACTGCACGGCTCCGTGTGTGATTCTACAAAGCCTTCGTTTGGGTAGCGCCAAGTTTTGGGAACCGACCAAAGAAGGGCATCGCTGCTGGGTCATGAAGGGCGGTTGTGAAATAATGAACATTTATATTCAACTTGAGTCTCTGAATGCTAAGGATTTAGATATATATGGGAAACAGTACTACAGTTTGTGTAAAGGTATATAAAGTATATCTTACCTGGCACATCATAATCATCATTAAAACCCCCTCCAACGTCAGCCAGTCTGATCGTTCTCATGATCTTTAACCAAGATGTTTCCCTAAAAAATATGAAAACATGCGTATTATATTATTTATATGACCAGATAAGAGCCGATTGAGATGCACGTGGTAGGTGTGCATCAGCTATGTCCTGTCCGGCTGTAATTGAATTGGGGCATGGTAACTCTCATAAAGTTGATTACGTGAACATTTTTCGTATAAAGTTATGCATGAAGACATGTCGGATAATATGAATAACCTTTTTTTCCGATAAAAAAAACTTTGGTTGATATAGAAATAATCGAGGCGTGGTTAAAACGAGTTCCGCTGGAGCAGTGGCTTTGTTGATTTCATTAAGTTTGCGGAGCCAAATTTCTATTTAAAGCTTTCGTGACTGCAGGGATTCATCTTCTTGGTTCTTTCGGTAAAGTGACGTAGAATGGAAACAATAAAATAATAAAAATATTGTTTATAAAATAATAAAAAATATTGTTTATTATTTTGATTATTTTATTGTTTCCCTTCTACGTGACTTTACCGAAAGAACCAATACTATCTTAACACCTGTTATATTGCGAGAAAGGGTAAAACCTAATCTTATTTTTGACGCTTTGATACTGGCAGAAAGGTCCCATGATATAGCTGCTCACCTCGAGCTACAAATGCTCTGATACGTGTGGCATTGTCTTCGTGCTGCTGTTCACATTGAGGCAGTGGGTTTGATGCGTATTCTTGAGAGAGCAGACATTCTCGTTGGGGGTTGAGCCTCTAAACTTCCAACGAAACTCGAGACTGTTTACCGATCCCGGGGAAGACGAAAATGAACATGAAAAGCAACATTATTATCATGGCGGATGCATTTTTATTGTGACCTGGAGAGACATTGTCCCGCTATTCCTCAACATGAGTCGTGGTCGACCGTACAAGACACCACGTCAATCTTTCATATTGCAGGCAGCGCGAACTGACATGTGAAAATCATTCTGGGTTTGTTTTGTTGTATGCAGCAGCTGGCCATTGGAGGTGGATGGAGTGGTGTTGCTGATGGACGCTAACTAGCGAGTCGAGAACAACATCTTTTGCCTCTGTGGGTGTGGACGATCGTGAAATTCGCTCCTGGGCATCAGCTGGAGGGTGCCAGCGACAACGGGAGGTAGCGGATCAACGCACACGAGCAGGGAATGTGTCGGGGGCAGATACCCTGCTCGTCTGTGTACAATGTAGTTGGTTTGCTTTTTAGCTATTCCCGGCCGTCAGTCCACATCCGCTTGGATGTACACAGACCGTAATTGAAATAACCTTGATTTGAAATTTTCATGACTGAAAGGATCCATACTCTTTGGTTCTTTCGGTAAAGTCACGTAGATGAAAAATAATAAAATGAAAATAACTAAATTCAATCACGACGTTTCAGAGGCAACACAAGCTTCCGTCATCAGGTAGTGAATAGTTATTCACTACAGTAATTTTGCTGTGGCTGTTCCACCTGATGACGGAAGCTTGTGCTGCCTCCAAAACGTTGTGATTTAATTTAGTTATTTTCATTTTATTATTTTCTATTTTTTTCATCTACGTGACTTTACCGAAAGAACCAAAGAGTATGAAATAACCTTGAGCATTGTGGTGTCTGGAGATGGCGACGTGGCTTCCGGGATCTAATACAATGTCAGTTGCACTAAACTGGGACTGTTAAGTTCCTGGTCTTGAATATGGGTATCAGCCACACATGGTTAATGCAGGTTATCAAGTGTAGGGGAGTTTATGGTTATTACTTACACAGGAAATCCAGTGACTCCACACAAAATAAATCTACTTGGTCTGTCACTTTATGCATTATAGACCTACTCCCAAGTATGAAACATGTTGGTTTGATATCCATGTCCCACTTCTTGCAGGACATACAATGGGTGCACCCAGTGGAGTGGATATAACGTCTTGTAGGATTGCAACATTTCCAGACGGCTGCTCTGCAACACAAGGTGGTGCACTTCTAACCGGAGTTGGGAGTAATTACGAAACGCGGAAAATTCTTCATCTCGTGATAAACAACGGGACGCCGAAAACCGCAATCGAAATCTGGGGAAATCGTTACAATACGTAATCACGGAGTGACATCCAGGATGCAATTGAACTTCTCCCAATGCACGGCCCCACTCTGCCTCCCTCTCCAACTACCACGACGCTGGTGAGTGAGCCGTCGCTGCCTGGATGGATTGTTTTGTTGTCCTTCACGCCCCCCCCCCCGCCCGCACCTCCGATTAGCACGGTTGGCCATGTACGGTGTGAAAAAAGTTCGACATGCGTACATACAAGGGGGCGAAAACACACGCTTAGAGGTCTTGAGTTCAGTATACAAGTTTTATTCCCGAATAGTGTTCCCATTGACCCAACTCTTGTCAATGCCATTCATTACAAAATAAAACAAAAATAACCCTCTATACTTATTACTGGAAGAAACAACCGTATATGTATTCTTATTGAACAATTCCAAAAAAGTCAAATGTAAAATCTCAAATACAATTCAGAAAAAACAGAAATCCCTTTACCGAAAGGTTCATTAGAAAAAAAAACTCTTTATTCGGCATGCGTCTCAGACGTTGAATTTGAGAAATTCATCAAAAAAAAACTCTGAATCCCTGCCCTTCATACCTTGCATAGATAACCAAACAGCAGAACCACCATTATACAGCACGCCCTCCAACAAACGCAACGTTATGCTGTGTGTATCAAAGTCTTAGCCTATAAAAATGTATTTCCAAATAAAATATATGTACACCAAATATTTTTAGGTTATTTTCTTAACGCAGAACGATAAATAACTTTTTTTTCTCACCATGATTGTTTTTTTACAACGAGTTTGTGTTTTTATATTCTGTAATATAAACTCTTTTTGGTGCTACGAGCACACATATAGCCACGCAGTGTTCCATTTATTTTAACCAATGTCGCCTGATCGGAGGTTTCACCTGCAGATCCTGAAGGCTCCAGTCATTGCATTTATAGATATTTAGGGTTTGGTAATGTACACTGGGGGTTGCGTGATGGTCAGAGGTCAACTCAATACATCTACCTTGTCATCTCTCCACAGTCGACGAGTAACACGCTCTGTGGGCAGTCAACTTTGTTTGAGAGACTTGTTCCTGCCATGGACATGGAGAGTTCACCACCACTGGCTTAGGGAGGTGACAAAGATAAGCAACGGTACTGTGCAATGTGATAAACGGATGGAAATAAATCGTTGCAGTGAAGCCTGTTTTTGTTGGTTGTTCGGCTATTTTATTCAATTCAATAGGCCCAAATCACGAGTTGGCCAGTAATTTTTTTATCAAATTTCTGGTGAACGTGTTGATGCCTCCATTTACCAACTATGGCACGATTCGCCGAGGCAATGCACTTGCACCATACTGTAAAAAAATGCCAAGCTGAGGCAATGCACTTGCACCATACTGTAAAAAAATGCCAAGCTGGAACAAAGTGGCGATGCGCATCTCAGCTGGGGGCCCAGAGCTGGTGGTGGGAGCGTTGCTTGAGAGCCACCGAGAAGGGAGCGAGTGCTCTTACCGGTGCAACGACAGTGGTCGTGAAATGTGGTATTTGGTCACAGCTCAGTAGCATGGCTTGAAATGAAGGTTGGTAAAGCTGACGCGGGAAGGGAGGAGGGGGCTGGGGAGGCGGTGAGCTTTAGAGGGGAGTCGGAGGAGGCGAGCTCAGGCAGCAAGTCGGAGAGAAGGGGAGGTGTGAAGGGTTGGGGGTCAACTCAACCGTTCATCTCTCCACGGTGAAGGAATTAACACCACTTTGTGGGAGGTCATTGGTGCTTATCCTTTGCTGAAAACACGGACGTGGAAAGCCAGATGTGAGGAGAAATTATATGTTCCGAGATGAAGCTGGCTTCCGTATCTTAGATAAATGAGACTATTAAGCCCTTTGTGAATATACTGCTTTCTTTTTTAGAATGTTATTTACCAGGTGAAGCCCAGAGCTATTAGTTATTTTTCAATGACGACCTAGCCACACATGATAGCTTATCGACGTGGCTTTTCATGTGGGAATTTATAGTAGCAGCCAAATAATCTAAACGCATGTTTCTAAAAGTGGAGGGCAAAACCGGAGGAACCCGGAGAAAAATCCACACGACCATGGGGAGAGAACACGCAAACTCCAAAATGTATAGGCATCGTCAGGGTCGGGATCGAACCCACGACCTCCTGCATACCAGGGGAGAGAGATAACATATCCTCTCCACTGCTGGAGGACGTTGTCCCAATGAGCATATGCATGCTGATCGTTCCATCTGACCAGGTGTATTTCCTCCCTTGGGGGGCTTGTTTGATGCTTTTGTAGGAATGTAAAAAAATTCGACTACTGGCCCTGGGGCACCAATGAACATGAGTGCAGCTCCACCACTGACTTGTGCAGGGCGACGCGGTGGTAACTTTAAACCGCTTTCCCTGGCTGCATGGCGTGGCGGTTCGAGTGTTCCACTCGCAGTTATAGTGACGCTAGTTGAGATCAGGTTTGACAGGTTTGACTCCGAACACCGTCAACATCACCCTGGGTCCATAAAACGAGTAACACTTTGTGGGAAGTCAGCAAAAAGCAGCTGTTCTACATTGAGATTATCCACAGCCACAAGGACATGGAACTTCTCGCACTGGCTCAGGACTGCCAATAGGATGGGTGGTGGGTCCCACCTCAACGAACCTTTCAGTGTGCGAACACTGACACTTTGCAAACTAAATGACCTAATGGGTACTGGACATAGACAGTGTGTGCGTTCAACACGGAGTTAAAGTAGATGGCTGGAGGCAGGCCTTGCTGGATGGCACATCAATGTTTAGCCCAGGTAAATAAAGCACTGTGTAATTGCCCACGCTTCATATTGCTCCAACAGGCCTGTGGTTGGGGAAGCACTAAGTGAATATGGAGAAGAATGCACTGATCACTCCGACACAACCGCCACGAGGCCGATACGTTTCACGAGGTGCTGGCAGAATGGTGCACAGGGTAAGAGGGGTAAAGTTGGCAACAGCAGAGAGAAGCGTCCACATTGCCCATGCTGTTTATTCACAAACAAACTTACTCAGATCTGCCCATCTCCTGAACCCCATCTGTCCCATTCTCCCTGTCGGCGCTCGTCCACACGCACCTCCAGCGCTTGTTCGTTAATTCCCGCGGCCTCACATTTGCTCGTCGATGACGAGGTCGGAGTCGATGAAGACCATGTCTATCTCTTCGTCACACCACGTGTCCGGGTGAACAGCGGCTCCTCCCTGCGCACTCGGCACCAAGGCAATCGAAGCCTGCTGCTGGGTGCCGACGACGACGCCACCACCGTCGATGCGCGCGTTACCAACGCCATCTATCGCGCCGCTGCTGTTCTTGCCGCCGCCGGCTCCACCCAAGTAGGGGGGTACGGGGGCGGCCGTGTGCGCGTTGGCGCACGAGTTGGCGGTGGCGTTGTGTGGCCGAGCGTTTGGCGCGTGGACGCTCGCGAGTGACGGAGGCGGCCGCTGCTGCAACGGGGGCTGCACAGAGGCAACTCTGACCGCGGCAGCTGCTGCCGTTGCTGCGATCGTGCCAATGTTTCTGAATTCGGCAGGCGGATGAGCGTTGCCGGCGTGCACGCTGCTTGCCGAAGACGGTGGGTGGGCTGCTGTTGCTGCCGCCGCCGCCGCTGCCTGCGCGGTGGCCGTCGCCTTGCGAGCCGCCTGTCGCTGCTGCTCCTCCTGCTGGCGGTGCGACTTCATGTGCGCGTTGCGGCTCTTCACCTTAGTGAACACCCTGTGCGCGCGTAGGTTGGTCAGTCACAAGAAAAGTGCACGCGCGTACACGATCATGCGGACGGCCGTACACGTGACCGCGTGTACGGCCGCGCCTATCCACACGCAATTGAAGGCATGCTTACACGCAACCACACTCGGACACACATGATGAAACTACAAACTATTTTAATTTGAGCAGGGAAGGCCCACTGAGCTATATAGCTCTTATTCAGAAGTGACCTGGCCACAAATGACCGCTCAACGAAGTGGCTTATCACGCGGAAAATTATAGCAGCCAAATACTCTAAAAGCATGTTTCTAAATGAGGGAAAAACCCGAGGATAAGGAGAAAAATCCAGGTGACCACGGGGATTACATGCCGACTCCAAATATACAGACGTTAGGGTCGGAATCGAACCCACAACCTCCCGTATACCAGACGAGGTAGTTAATATCCCGCCATCATGGTACCTCATGATCACAACAAATATGATCAAATGTATGCGTAGGCGCAAACAACCACGATTCATAATTGGTTTCTGGGTCAGATCGTGTAAGTAAAATGTGTTTCGTAAACCCTCTTCTGCCCAACACAGCCAATTAATAATGTTGTCACATGATGAACAAAAGTGCCGATGTATTGCTGCCTCAGCAGCACACCGGTGTGGTGGGAAAAAATGTCAAAACATTTAACAACTGGGTATGATGTTTCGATAATAGTTAGAACCAGCAACATCAGGCAGTAGCCAGAATTATGAAGACGTCTTGAGTCTTTGGAGGGGACCATGTCCAACACACACTACTGAAGCGGTAATACATTGCCACTTTTGTTCACGTGATAACTTTATAAATTGCCTGTCAGGTGGACGAGTGTTTACGACACACGTTTTACTCACGCGATCTGACCTATTGGTCGCGAAAGTCTATGTGTTAAAAGTACACTTCCACATGTATATGCATACAAAGATCACGTGTATGCACAAAAACATACAAACACATGTCTTACACACGTCTACACATACACACACGACCACATATACGATTACACACAAATCCACAGCATACGGACAAAGACAAAAACACAATCAAAACTGACCTTATAAAATCCACATGCGCACCCTCTAAATACTTGTCTTATTCATATTCTATGGTTCTTTTGATAAAGTTACGTAGAAAAAAAATAACAATAAAATAATAAAAATATCATGACGTTTCTATCGCAACACAAGCGGTCGTCATCAGGAACAGGGAGGTTAGCCTCTGAGGGCAAGCTGCTTATAAAGGTTTAGAGATGGGCGGGGCAGCTAATGTTAATGTAGGAGAGGTCTCCGACACTGGCAGTAGGTTTACACCAATCAAAGAGCTCTTTGCAGTCACGAAAGTTTTGAGTCAAAACTTGTCTTATCCAAAAGGCACTTCTCATAATTGGCAATGGCACCCATGTCATCCTTCAGGGCAGCATTCTCACTAGCACAGGCAGCCACTATGTGGGCAGTGGAATGCCTCTTTATGAGCGACGCGAGAGCGAGCGCCGTCTACTACTAACGCGCGCGTGTCGGGGCGGCCTCACGCACTTGCCGCACTCCTTGCAGGGGAAGATCTCCGTGCCGTCCTCGTCGTAGTGACACACGGCCATCGACGCCTTGGTGCGGTTCGACGACGAGGTCTTGGTGCGAGGCCCCGTGTACGCGACGGACGGCGCGGGAGGCCGGGGAGCCCTCACCGTCACCGTCATCGCCACGTGCTGCTTCTGCTGCTGCTTCTGCTGCTGGTGCTGCTGCTGGTGCTGCTGGTGCTGCTGGTGCTGCTGCTGGTGCTGCTGCTGCTGCTGGTGCTGCTGCTGGTGCTGCTGGTGCTGCTGCGTCAAGGTCGGTAGCCTGGGCCCACCAAGGTGCGTGGCCGCGTGTACGGGGGATAGCCGGGGCTGCGCCGCCGCCGAGGGGGGCGCGGTGTTGGAGGGGGGCACGGCCGTGGGGTGCTGGGCCCGTTCTGCCGGGGCCGGCGGCTGCGGTGGCGCTGGGTTGGGCAGCCGTACTGGGGGCCCACGGAAGGGAGGGGGTGGCGGTATGGCGGGCGGCCCGGGTTTGGCGAGGCCGGTGCGGAACGCCAGGTCGATGCCGCCGTGCACACGGGCGTGGCCGTTGAGCGCCTGCTTGGATGGAAAGATCTGGGGAAGGGAGGGCATCCGGCAGTGTGAGCGGACTCCTGGCGCTGTTTGTGCTCGTGTGTAGCGCGTAGCACGGCGGTTAGCGCGCTGCGCTACGATCCCCGGCGAGCCGAGTTCGATTCCTGCTCACAGCCAACGTTGGTGACGAATATCTGAACCGGTCCTAGGCCTCCCCTAGGTCGACTCAGCCTTAAATGAGTACCTGGTACGGTGTGTAAATATCACCACTGGGGAGAAAAAAGCGAACGAGTGTGGTGTTTCACACACAACATGTGCCCATTAACACCACTTGCCCCAACAGCTTGTGCAAGCTAAATGTAGGATCTTTGTATGTGTGATAAAGTGTGCTTCTGGGCACTACAGCAGCAGAAAACTCCGGCCTCACACTTGCTTCTTTTGACTAGTGCCGGCCCGCGACAGGGACCCCTTGAGGAAGGTAGCCAGGCTTTACAGACCACTACCAACACTCATCAGGATGAGCAAGTGTCAGGCCGGCATTTTCTGTAGCAGCCAGAAGTACGATTATTACATGTGGTGACGTATGTATGTTGAACTTCTTTCACACCGTACGTAGCCAACCGTGCTAATCGGAGGTGCGGGGGAAGTGCAACAAACTAAACACGCGCCACGTCCCCATCCGCTATTTTCGTGAACGCGTGTGCACCCGCAGAGTGCGCGCGCATTTTCTGCATTTCTCACCGCCCCACAGCGTGGCACGTCGCACGTGAACGTCGTGGCGGCAGCGGCAGGAGGGGGGGGCGGCGGCAGAGGGTTTGCGGCCACCGCAGTCCGAGAGCCCCGGTGCGAAGCCATCACCTCCCCTTCCTCCTCCTCCTCTTCCATCACCGACGACGACGACGTGGGAGACGATAGCGACGGAGAGGGGGACGAGGACCGCCCAAGGTCGTAGCCGCTGCTCTCCAGCTCCTCCTGAAATGACGAGCGAAGCCGCGGTGATTTTTTGATGTCGCACTTTCGCGTCAGCAAACACCGGGGGGGGGGGTAGGGGAACCTTTGCGACCGCTGGTGGGCCATATCCGCGACTTAAATTCGCACGGCCTAGCACTTCACACAATGGCCCGCAAAACGATGCTTTCTGTTCATCGCTGGACGCATCTTTTACTGGTAACGTGGCATTTCTTATTGCAGCACGGTGACTTTTAAGTAGTGCAATCGTCTCCACCATTGACTCACCGACCTATAAACTGTCCTGATTTCTGTCTGAGACCTTACAACAATTCACTGGTAATACCACCTCTACTGTACGTAACTCAGCTCACTTGGTATCGTTAATTAAGGACATTTCACTATCTCCAGGTGATTTGCTCGTTAGTTTCGATGTAGTATCTTTGTTTACCAAAGTTCCTGTGCCTGACGCCATTGCAATCATTGAAGATTTGGTCCAACAAGGATTGAATGCTGATGTACCGGCCCTGGTGAGACACTGCCTCACCAACACTTACTTCACCTGGAATGGAACATTCTACAAACAAGTTTAAGGAACCCCAATGGGTTATCCCTTATCTCTAGTTGTGGCCAATGCTTTCATGGAAAATTTTGAGACAGATGCCATCCAGGCATCCACTCTACGTCCGTCCTTGTGGAAGAGGTACGTAGTTGACACTTTCGTCATCTGGCCACATGGCCCGCTAGCACTGAACCAATTCCTCAACCACATCAATTCCATACACCCAGCCATCAAATTCACCATGGAGGTGGAAAAGGATGGTAAGCTACCATTCTTGGATGTTTTAATCGAAGAGAGACCAGATGGCTCAATGAGACACTGTCTACAAGAAAGCCACCCATACGGATGCCTATCTAAAACCTGACTCCCACCACCATCCAGCCCAGAAGAATTCCCTCATCAAAACTCTACACCATAGAGCTCGATGTATTTCCAACCATTATCACCTAGCCAGTGAACTGGAAAAAGTACACCAAGCTCTCAAGATGAATGGATATTCAGACTACACGATCTGTAAAACTATCACCCCAACCGTTGGGAAAGAACCATCTGAGGACCCAATCAAAACCATCACCTTGCCATACATAGCAGGAGTCACCAAAAAGATTTCCAAAATAATGAGCAAACACTAGATCCAGGTTCGATTTAACACAGTACATACAATTCGTGATCTGATCCCATTTGTGAAGGATGTGATCCCTGACATGCAATACCGCGGTGTCTACAAACTAAGCTGTGTCTGCGGCAGTAGTTACATTGGGGAAACTAAGCGACACGTCTCAGACCATGTTGGTGAACATAAGGCAGATCTGAAACACAGTAGGACCAATACCTCGGCCGTGGCTGATTATTGTTTTAATGCGGTGGGCTCACACGAAATTGATTTCTCTAAGATGAAGGTACTTTGCAAACCCACTGACTATCAACAAAGATTAGTTCATGAAGCCATCCATTTATACAGACACAATTTCAACCAAGAAGATGGGTACAAACTGAGCAATCATTGGAATACGTTATCAACCACTTTAAGTCATAACTGGCTGTGATGTTCCCATCCTACCACCTTCCGATGTTAGTTGTTATTTTCGGCTCTCCGATTTTACATTAACATGCTGATCTCTCACGTTAACATAGCAACCTCAGCGCGCTTGCCATGGAGGCCGCTTACCGATTTTACATCAACATGTTCATTTTTACCTGGCAGCCCTTCAATTGGTGGAAAACCAACCACCATCGCGGTCGCCGCCCACCACTTACATTAACATTAGCTGCCCCGCCCATGCTGCTGACATTTGGGCTATGCCCATTTCAAACCTTTTATAAACAGTTTGCCGTTAGAAGCAAACCAACTTTTCCTGATGACGACCGCTTGTGTTGCGATCGAAACGTCGTAGTTTATTGCTATTTTCTTTGAACCTATCTTCGTGACTTTACCGAAAGATATATAGTTCTGAACGCACAGTCAAAAACGCACACAGTCCTCGTGTGATCAACGTTTCAACGAAAGTGTGGTTGATCATCAAAGGTTTGAATTATAAGGTTCCCCCAGTCAAAATGAATCCCTGCTCAAGAGGAGGTGCGGCGCTGCTCATCGATGTTTGCATCAATTGAACTAGTTGTAGAAATTCCATGATCCCATGGCGGGCCCCACCGATGAGAATGCCACTGCTGTGCTGCCAACTGATTGTTATTTCCCCAAATTTACATCGGTCATCCCAAAGCAGGAATCTCCTGAAAAAGTATCTTGGGACTCAGCGAGGCTTTCCTGGCAAAGAAAACGGCATTGGCATTGTCATTACGATTGTTAATACTTTACATGCCCACCCATCAATCTGGCAGTTTTTTGAGTGTACCGTGTTATGAACCTGATGACCCAAGTACGAGTCCTGGCCCCGGCTAAGATCAGTGGTAAGTGAACTGGTGCTGGGCTCTCCCCTTCACCAACCCCACACTGACGTGTGCGGTCAAGTCCCATCGAACAACTCCCAACGATCGACGCAGGGCGAGGAGGCATTCACTCGGCAGGCGACTGACAAAGAGCTGAAAACCATCGAGGTGTTGATACTCCTCCAACCGTACACAAGCGCAAACAGACCAAGCCCACCCCGCTCACCATGTCGCCGGGGCGCATGCCGCAGAACCGCGTGTGGTGTCGTCGGAACTTGATCACCTTCTTCCAGGTGTAGTAGTACTCGACGCACTGTGCCACCGTCTTGTTCTTAATCTGGAGGCAAGGAGCGTGGCGCGCACGTGCCGTTAAGAGCAGCAGCACTCGCACATCTAGCGTGCTGGAGGTCGGGGGGACATACGTTTGATACTTTTGTCTATGTTTTATGCGTGTGGTTTCTTCTATTCTATTTTGTATTTATAAAGCGCCTTTCACCAAGGTGCTTAACAATGCTTGTTGACTAAAGTACAAAATGGAAAGATAAGGGATGGAGGATCAGGTAGTGACTAGGGTGGAGGGAGCGAGGTGGAGGCTACGGCAGTGGAGGCATTAAGGGCATTAGGTGGTGGTGGTAGGGGTAGCGGAAGAGGAGGGGGAAAGGCAAGAGAACAGAGATAGCACCGGAGGGCAGTGCGAAAAGAGGAAAGTGAGGAGGAGGAGTCGCTTGTGGAAGAGTTTGTTTAGACCAGCCGAAAAACAAACCAAGGGCCCCTTTCCACTGACATGAGTGTTGTAATGTCACGATTGTAATCTAATCAGTCTATGAAGACAGCTAAAATGTTATTTTTTCTACGTAGAAAAATATGCAGATGTCATTCAGTCATTCGTACACGATTCAGGCATCGAAACACGTGTGCCAAAATCAATTTACATTTCGGTAAATGATATTTAAATTAGTTCAAAAGCCAGATTCTGGAATAAAATCAAAACTCAAAAGTGATACAGTTCATCGGGTCACTAGGGGGTTGAATCTTCCCATGCCCAACTATTAATAAAACTGTTGATGAAGAAAACCCAAGCACATATTTGCTATTCACCACAGTTCATCAAGGGAGTTCATAGCTAAACGACATGTTCCAGCCCTTACAGATTACACTACATTTTAGTGTCCTGTTTAAAGTCTTCCAGACGTACCACCACCTCCAATTAGCACGATATGGCTACGTACACGATGTGAACCAAGTTAAACATACATACATACAACAGGGGACATGGAACGCTACAGCATGCGAGCAGACACAAGCCAGTCCCTCCAGAAAAACGCGATTATGCGATCGCAAGTTTCCACGCAAAATCAGCCAAAGTCCGCATATTTATGCGGGGGGCGCGTTTTTTCAAATACGCCGCACTTTCGCCGCATAAATTGCAGATTTCCGCGCGCAAAATATGCGGGCTTGCATGATTTCATAATCCCCGCATTTTCGTTGCAAAAAGTCACATATATCTTAGCAGAAAGTTGAAAAATGTTGCGTTTACTTCACACAAGCGCAGCCAATTCCCCTGTTGCTATGGGAACGTTATGAAGTGACGTCACTCATTACAGTTGTAAGATTGCACTTTTTTGTTAGTAGTATATAAATTTACATTACTGTAAGACTGTACTGTTACTGTATTGCTTACGTTACTGTGCACTGAAAACACTTATTTTAACAGAAGATGTCTGTTTTGTATAGCTACCTCTGTAAAACAGGAAGCACACATTTTATTTTTAAATATTTTATTTATTCATTTTTACAGAAGTTGTAGCATATTCATTTTGTAAAGCTACAGAACTTGTTCGACTCAATGTTTTGTAAGTTTGAGCCATCTGTTTGTTAAGGTCTGAAATAAAACAAGATGAGAACTTAAATATTCCCAGCACTTTCTGTGATGTAGTATGCTTGCTTATCATAGGAAGTAATAAGAAATGACTCTTTACATTAAAGTAGTAGCCGAGTGAATAGGGTGTTGGGGGAATCACTTTTTTTTCTCTTTTTCATCAAACCGCAATTTTTGCAAGTTCCCGCAATTTTTGCAAGTTCCCGCAATTTAATCGCATAAAATTGCATAAATATCCCGCATATTCCATCGCATTTTTTAAGAAAACGTGCCGCATAATCAACGATTTTTGCCCGCAACAATCACCAAAAAACTCCGCGTTTTTCTGGAGGGACTGACAAGCGCGCACCTTCTTGTGCACCAGGATGAAGTCCTTGTTGTGAGCAGCGATTGCCTTGTAAAAGAGCTTCTTCTCCAGCGGCGTCCAGTTGTCCGACCCTGCAAGTGGTGCGAGGTGATAATCAATGACGCATTTCACGAGCAGCCAGCACAATAAGTTCACATTGGCTGTGCTATTACAGAGAGATTAACCCGACGATGCGGATTTGTCCACGAATGACTGGCTCAGGGCTGTCAGGCTGCATGTAGGCACTGCCTCGAACTCCAGGCATGGAGACACTTGATGACTTGAACCTGTTTGTAATGCGATGATGTACACTGTGTGTTTGTGGATAGGTAGGACTAGGTGTCGCTACAACGATTACATTACTTTATATTAATCCAGTCATCTCACACATGATATATTGTTGTCCCCCACCCCCGCACCTCCAATTAGCATGATTGGCTACAGCCCGCACGAAAGAAGTTCAACATACATACACAGAACGGCACTCCAGTATTCTGTATTGCGATGGTGAATGCCACTGCTTTATATTGATAGATGGGCAAAGGTGGTGCCGGGACGATGGCAGCACGCAATCAGGCCGCGAGTTAAATCCTCGTTGGGAGTCAACTCGACCCATCATCCCTCTGTAGGGATAAATTGAGGACCACTGTGTGGAAAGCAGCGGTTGATCTTCCAGAGAGCCTGAATTTCCACCGCTGGTTCAAGGATCCCCCCAACACTCGTTTGCAGCTGGGAAACGACTCTGACTGTGCATTACTCTTAGGAATGTCACGGCGATGCATCAATGCATCTGTTTAAGAGCGATCCTAATGCTCATGGTACAAGTAGATTATTAGCAATGTGAAAATTACATGCAAACGACACAATGTGATCCATACACTTAGGCGAACTGAGCAACAACAACTATAAACACGTGAAAAAATAAACCCTCAGTGAGACAGTGAAATAATGGACAGAATGAATCAAATCTTGATTGGAATTGCAACCAGGAATCATGAAAATCGATTTAATTGCTGGGGTATTCACTGTCAAATGCCTAATAAATGTAACACGACCCAAAGTCTAACGTGGCAGTGTTTTGTACCGAGAATGAACATATTAAGAAGCTGTGGGCAGCAGCCCGTAGATCTGCATGGCAGTAATTGGTGCATACTAGCATTCATGCAGTGATACCCAGCGACCTTCATATGAAGCATTCTGCACCTTGATGCCGTCAAAGAAAAGACGCACAAATGTATTTACGCTGAACTTCTTTCGTACCGTACGTAGCTAACCGTGCTAAACGGAGGTGCGGTGGAGGGGGGGACGACAACAAAACAATCCATCCATGCAGCGACGATTCGCTCACCAGCGTAGTGGTAGTTGGAGAGGGGGTCAGAGGGAGGCAGAGTGGGGCCGCGCAGCAGGAGAAGTTCCATTGCAGCCTGGACACGTGCACACGCACGGCACACGCGGAGGAGGAGACGACACGCGCAACCGTTACAGCAGAGGTGGGGGAGCTGACAGCATGCGGGGGGTGGGGGGGGTATTCCGCTTCGTTTTATACGGCCTGTGGCCACGTGGGGCTTACCACTTTAAAAGGCCGGCAAACGATATTCATCGGTCACTGCAAGCAAACCAAGCTTGATCGGACAATAGAGGAGAATAGTTTTGGCGTGGTAACACCGCGTTTCTCATCTTAGCACGCTCAGTTGTTTCTGTGGGCCAAATACACCTCAAATTTTCATTGTATATGGAACCGTGGCCATACGAGGCTGACTACGTGCAAACGACCCACAATCGGGACTTACCGAAAGAATCTTAGTCACTCTGATTGGGCATTAGAAGGGACTATTTTCTATCTGGCAAGGACCTCTTGAGGTGACAGAAGTGCGACTGCGGTGCGTTGTAATGTTGCTCAACCAAAGGTTTTTATTAAAGTCATATTATGCCTTTCCCTACCCCTGCATTATATGCTGCTGTGGGGGAAGTGTGTTAACCCCCTGGCCTAACACCAACAATACCATTTGCATCCGACTCAATTTATCGTGAATGAAAGACGCAACCCAAAAAACAAACAGATGCTGTCTTGTAGATACACACCTAGGCTGTGTCACGCAATGTCCAACAGGCGTTTGAAGATTCATAAATGAGAAAAAAAAGTCGAAAGTTAAAGCCACGTTGACCTTCAGACTCACTACAGCCAGCGCCGTTAGTGGCGACACAGCCACGCTGGAGGCCCCTCACCTCCACCCGCGAGGTGGTGGCCCCTGACCACGGCTACATCCATGACAGGTGGTGGTGCATGCTGGAAGCCTCCTCAAGTTAGTCTAACGGAGCCCACCACATGCAGGGAGATTTGAAGCCCATTATGGTGGCAACGGCCTTGCAGCCCATAGCCAGGATGAGAGGCAAAGCATTCGGTTTCTTTGTTCACGCAAGAAGGCTTTTACTGCCGTGTTTTGGTGAGGCATCATCAGCCTTGGTGCAAATAACTAAAAATAAGGCCTCCTGTCCAATGTCACTCCTCCTTACAACCCCGAACTTCTCTGGCTCGAGGGCCCCGGTGCAGTTGCACTGCCTGCACACTTGGTAGCTAAGCCACTCACCCAATATTGTTTTGGTTGGGTCTTCCTTTCAGGAGACTGGGACACTGATTCTCCCTGATTAATTGGTTGTCTATGGGCTGTGTGTGGAGGAGGTGGGGAGTGGTAGTGTAGTGGTTAGCAAGCTATGCTACGAACATGGTGACCCGAATTCGATTCTGGCTCAAGGCCACCAGTGACGATTATCGGAATACGTTCTGGGATTCCCCTAGGTCGACTCAGTCTCAAATGAAAACCTGGTGCGATGTGTAAACATCGCCGCTCGAGAGACAAAGGCAGCCGGGCATGGTGCTGGCCACCCACCCACCCCCTTTGCTGCCGTGCCGGCCTTCATAAGTGCTCGCAAACAGCACTTGCCCCAACAGTATGTTAAAGGCTATATGGGGGACCTTTGTATGTATGTTCAACTTCTTTCACTCCGTACGTAGCCAACCGTGTTAATCGGAGGTATGAGGCGGGCACTGTGTGTGTGTGTGGGGGGAGTACGGGACATGAGGAGGAGGGGGGGGAGAGAGGAGGAGCCGCACCATGACATCTCCATGGCTGCGGTGCAGGCAGTGCAGCGCCAGCTCGCGATTGGTGCCACCACCTGGCAGGGCGCTGGAGCACGCGAGGTTCAGCACCTGCTCCACTGCAGCACACAGAGACAAAGACCCCACGTGTAGCCTTAACAGACTAAATCTTGACTTAAAGCTTTCGTGACTGCAGGAATTCATATTCTTTGGGTCTTTCGGTCAAATCACGTAGATAGATTCAAAGAAAATAACGTGTTAAAAGTACACTTCCACATGTATATGCATACAAAAATCACGTGTATGCACAAAAACATATAAACACATGCCTTACACACGTCTACACATTCACATACACACACGACCACACATTCGATTACACACAAATCTATGGCATACGCACAAAGACAAAACAGACCTTACAAAATCCACATGCGCACACACAACACACGACTGGACACTTTGCCATGGACTCGCACACTCTAGATACTTGTCGTATTCATATTCTATGGTTATTTTGGTAAAGTTACGTAGATAGAAAATAATAATAATAAATTAATAAAAATAAAGTGAATAAAAAAAAAATATCACAACGTTTCGATTGCAACACAAGCGGTCATCTTCAGGCACCTATCGACGTGACTTTACCTTAACAGACTGTTGGGGGAAATGTTGTTAGCAAGCACCTATGAAGGCCGACACAGCGCAAGAGGGGTTGGACGCCAGCACCACGTCCGACCATTTTTGTCTCCCGAGTGGTGATGTTCTTACACACCGTACCCTGTACACATTTGAGGCTGAGTCGACCAAGGTGAGGCCCAGGACTGGTTTAGATAATCACCACTGGTGTTGCCCGTGAACGGGGATCAAACTCGGGTTATCAGATTTGTAGCGCAGTGCGCTAACTGCTACACTGCCGCTCCCCACACACGTGTGCATGTACACATAAGCACAATCATCCACACCAATACAATAATAGATACGCAATTATACAAGCATACATAGGAGCCGAACAAAGATACAGGCACACACGCGCATAACAACTACAACAGCTGCCATTTGTCACTAAGTGGCAGTGACGTCACCACAGCGCACTTTGAAGCCACGTGAAGTGTCGATGGCATCCTTTGACACTTCACGCGCGCACACACTCCCACGCACATGCAAGTACTTACGCACAAATGAGCATATATGCACCGACTTGCACACAAGCAAACATACACATGTACAAAGGACAATGTTACCCCCCTATAGCCTTATTGACTGTGAAAGCCAAGTGCCGTTAGTGAGCACTTATTAAGGCTTGCACACAAGGGGGTTGAGATATGGCCAGCTCTGGATCCAACCAACTTTGTCACACCCCAGTGCACATTTACACAGCATTGAAAGCTGAGTCAGCTAAGGTGAGGTTCAGGATGGGTTCAGACAAACCACTCGCCACTGCGATTGCTCATGGCCGGGAATCAAACCCCGATTGCTGATCTGTGCACAAACCTCAGCACCATTGCTCCATAGTCACAACCAAACATGTGCACACAACGCCACGCACCTTAGCATACAAGCAAACACAAATACAATGATTCCCCGTGTAGCCTTTAACAGACTGTTGGGGAAAGTGCTGTTAGTGAGCACCTACAAAAAGGCCAGCACGGCACAAGAGGCGTGGGTGGCCAACACAACGCTCAGCCGCCTTTGTCTCTCCAATGCTGTGGCTGAGTCGACCTACCCAGGACTGATTCAGAGAACCATCACTGGTGGTGGCCGTGAGCAGGAATCGAACCCGGGCCGCCAGGTTCGAAGCACAGCGTGCTAACCACTGCTCCACCGTTCCCCATACATGCACAAAAAGACAAAGATCCCCCGTATAGCCTTAACAGACTGTTGGGGCAAGTGCTGTTAGAGAGCACCTATGAAGGCCGGCATGGAACATGAGGGGGTGGGTGGCCAGCACCACGCCCGGCCGCCTTTGCTCTTCCGAGTGGCGATGATTTTATACACCGTACCAGGTACTCATTTGAGGCTGAGTCGACCTACAGGAAGCCCAGGAGCGGATCAGGTAATCGTCACTGGCGTTGGCTGCGAGCGGGAATCGGACTCGCGTCGCCGGGTTCATAGCGCAGCGCACTAACTGCTCTACTACCGCTCCCCACGACAAGAACACATATGAACACGAGGGCTCCAGCAGACTGCACGAATCAGCCCAGGGAACCACCACCCGGGCAGCAAGCGAGCGAGCGAGCGCCCATCCTCGCAGCGAGCAGCAGTCACCTTCGGCCATCGTGTCGGGCTTGGCGAGATCGGGCCACGGCTGCCACACCATGTGGGCGGGGTGCTTGTCCTTCTCCACGAGCCGCTTATCACGCAGATGGGGGATGTCGGCCTGGAACGCGGGCCCGATGTTTATATGACTGCACACAAAGACAAAGATCACCCGTATAGCCTTAACGGACTGTTGGGGCAATTGCTGTTAGCGAGTAGCACCTATGAAGGCCGGCACGGTACACGAGGGGGTGTTTTTACACACCACACCAGGTCCTCATTTGAGGCTGATTCAACCTCGGGGGAGGTTCAGGACCAGTTCAGATAATCGTCACTTGTGTTGGCCGAGAGCGGGAATCGTACTCGGGTTGCCAGGTTGGCATCGCGGCGCACTTACCGCTACACCACCGCAAACCTCTACATACACGAAACAAAGATCCATGTACTATTTCTTCAAAGACTGTTGGGGAAAATATTTTTTGTGAGAACGAATTAACAACCATAGTTTGGTCAGTGTCATGATCTCGTGTCAATTCTTCCCCTTCCACGCAGCCTTGCTGTGCAACAACGTGTGTGTGCTTGCGTGTGTGCATTTGCTCAAGGGGTGTGTGCGCTCAAGTGTCTGTGTGTGCGACTGTCTGCGTGAATGAGCCGATACATTGGTGTGCACATGCACATACATGTGTGTGTGTGTATATGGATGTCTGTTCTCGTTTAGTCCGAGTGCATGTTTAACTCACGGCTCAATCTGCAACTCTTCCCCTGCAGATGTGACCGCACTGCTCGTCTCTGCACTCACTGCAAGGCCAGACGACGCCACAAAGACGAAGGCACCTCACTTAGACTCATTGATGATACGGGCATTCATATGTACATGGCCTATGATTCACACAGAAGTTGCTGGGATCGTAGCACAGGAGGTGAACGACTCTGTCACTCGTCCCCAAGTGTAAGCAAACACACACAAACACAAATATTAAACAAATTTGAATATAAAATGTGACAAACTCTTTAGTACACATGGTATGGCCAACAACACCACCCCCCTGGCCAGCTTCGTCTCCCCAATGCTGATGTTTACACACCCCGCACAAGGTATTCGTTTAAGGCTGAGGTGGACCAATGGCGGGTCAAGGAGCAGTACAGACATCACTCATCACTGATGCTAGCCATGGCAGGGAATCAAACTAAGACTGTGAAGTTTAGGGTGCAGTGAGTGAACTACTCCGTGGCCAACTTTGCCACTATTTCCCACAAACACACAGTCTTCCAATCACTCATATGCGTACCAACGCACGCAACGTTTGAGACACACTCGCACAGCAAACACCCCCGGCACAAATAGCGCAGGGGTGGGGAAATCTTTCCCATGTGGTCCACGAGTGGTACAACATTGAGGGCGCCACGGTGGCGAGATGTTAACTACCTCGCCTGGTATACAGGAGGTTGTGGGTTAAATCTAGACCCTGTCGCCTGTATATTTGGAGTTTGCATGTCTCTCTCCCTCTGGTCGCGTGGCATTTTCTCTGGGTCCGCCAGTTTTTCCCTACACATGCGTATTTGGCTGCTATAAATTTCCACGTGATAAGCCACATCCGTTGAGTTATAATTTGTGGCCAGATCGCCTTTGAAAAAAAAGATCTATACAGCTCAGTGGGTCTTATCTGGTAAAATTAAATACAAATAGTAAAAAAAAAATTGTAAATCAAACAGCGGGCCGCATGTGGCCTGCAGGGGCCCCATTGATTCTCAAAAGTGCCGCGCGACCAATCGCCAACGGCGGCGGCAACCGGTGCGGTGCGGTGCGGTGTGGTGCGGCCACCTCACCGGTGCGGTTGAGCAGCGTGCGCGGCGTGGTGAACGCTGGCGTGGCGGCGCCGCTGGGCGGAGCCCCGGCCGCTGACAGCACCGTGCTGAAGTAGAGGCCCGTGCCGTGGCGGATGGGGCTCAGCATGGGCGGCGGTGTGTAGGGCGGCACCGCGGCATCGGCCGCCAGCGCGCGTGGCGATCGCAGCTGGCTCTGGTAGAGTGTGGCACCCGGGTAGGACTGCGACACCGGCAGGGTTCCCGGAGGAGGGATGATGAGCGGGTCGGGGCGATGCCGGTACTTCCACTTGCCCGGCACAGAGTGCTTGCGTGTGACCTCTTGCCGCGACGATGGACGCTGTGGGAACGACATTGAGGCGGCTGGCTTAAGCACGGAACGTTGGCTTCCCCGATGTCCGTTTGTTGTGTGTATGTGTTGTGTGTGTATGCCAAAGCACGCATATCAAGCGTATCCTCTTTCTAAGTTGAAGAAATTCCACGATTTGATTAAACATGAAGATTGATTTTTTTCTTGTACTCTCTCCAATTGTATACTACCGTCTCGTTTGTACGGTCTCCAAACTCTCACTTTGTTTACGTTTCATTTAATTCTATCGGCCTAAATAAAACATTTGCGTAAATTTTAACTATATCTTACACGCACAATTTTGTGCACGTACCTGAAATGGTAAGAACTAATTCTTGATACATGCACAATATTGTACGAGTATCAGTTATTAATTAACAATTAATGTAACGGTTTTATGTGATTCCTGCTGTGATTACAGGCTAGTACATTCATGGATTCTTGAATCTTGACATTTCACTGCATCACATGGGGGTGGGGCACATTTTTTCTGGTTTTCATTCGAAATGGGCTCTCAATTACTTAATTAACCCTCAATTGTCAATTTGACCTTTTTCATTGTTTTAAGCTGTTAAGCAGTTGGAGATTTCAACATCTCTCTAAACCCTACAGGAAGGCAGCCCTTGAAAACCTCAGTTGTGTGCCCCGGGCCTAGTGTGTGTGCTCACATGCTCTGTCTTCGTGTGCGGGTGTACAGCTTACGCGTACACAATTGTACGCAAACACACATCTGCATTCAGTTGTCTGCGTGTGTGGTGTGTGTATCTGGATGCCCAAGCACCTGCTGTTTGGATGGAAAGAGGGGGATAAAATGTATGCGGCACGAGCTTCAGAAGAGATAGATTGATGTGGTACAGAAGTATGTGGATCTGATTGATCTTGCTGATAACCTGTCCGAGTGTTATCAACATCTGTGGAGAAGGCTCGTGAAGAATGCCCTTGGGCAGTTAGAGGCAGTCGCCCTCCAACAACGGAGAGCAGAGGAGTGACACTCACAACAATGAGTAGAGGCGCTCGGCAGCTAAAGCGCTGCAAAGTTGGCACAGTGCAGAGTATAGAAGGTGCATCTGCCAATTATCTCAGCCAAACGAAGACACTAGGGTCTGTTCCGTGACCTCCTGCCAGCGAGCATTTTACTCTTCACTTGGCCTCAAGGTGCACCTAGCCTGGCAAAAGTACCGTGGTGATGTCACCGCCGCTTAGTGGAGAACGGCGGTGGATGTTGTTGTGCGTGCGTGCATGCATATACTGGCACGCACAGCATGCACATCTATGCGTATGTCACGTGCGTGTAACTAAGCGAATGCTTGCGCGCGCTCTTGCCGTGCGCGTGAGCTGTGCGGCACGCACGTGCGGCGTGTCCGCGAGGACCGTGGGCGGCGTCACGGCCGGCAGGGTCGGCGGGGCGAGCGTGGGAGGCGGCGGAGTCTTGGCAGGACCCGCCTCGGAGACACGCTTCAGCACAGGCATGCGGTCATCCGGCGCAACGCCCTCGCCGGACAGCGGGCGCACAGGCACCGACGACACGGGCACCGACACGGGCATGACGAACGGTGCCGGATCGCTCTGCTGCTCGTCCGGGTCCTGCTCGTTCCAGACGACAATAAATTGTCCCAATCACCACCACCAGCGCCGCCGTCGTCGGCATTAATTTGTAAACTCATCACTGTAAAAAGGAGTCTTTAACCACAGCACCACACAGCAATACTGTATATATGTCTGCCCAGTGCAGGGTTAGGGAACTTAAGGCCTGCACCAGCCACATGAGGCCGCCCACTTTGAAAGGGCCCACAAATGTAGTTTTTGGGATTAAAACCGTAGTAATGTACCTGCAGCAGTTCTGTGAAACGCTTCCCAGGCTGGGAAACCTAGAGGCTGATCTCTAACATTGGGTATGAGGCTACCTGGTGCAAATATTTCCAAATAAAGATTATCTTGTAATGAGGCCAATCGTAAAATTGTAATGTTATTATTTTTGTTTACAAACGTGAAGAAACAAAAGAGGCAATGTATGCCACACTTTTGACAGTCACACCCCCCACACCCAATGACTTAAACGAAACAAATCAACCCCATCATAATAATAAGTGGTTCTTTACTTCATTTGGAATATTTCAGCACTGAATTAAACATTGCTGGTTTAAAACCCAGGGGATACACAGCTCTATATCAGGGCATGTCACAATGTGGAAGAGGCAATTGAAGGGACCTCGCTATTGATGTTGACTGCCCCCCATCCCCCCCTTCCCACCTCATTCCCCCCCCTCACCCCCCGCCCAGAAGTACTTACCCGGAAATAGGGTACGTCCTCAGATCGAACGTCGGCATCCAGGCCTCCCGACAACGGAGTGGTCATTGAGTGCTCCAAGGCATGTTGGGATAGCTCTGGTGGGCATGGCTCACTTGCTGGCTTGTCTGCCTGCATACTCGCTGGTACCGGCCTGCATACAAGCAGAGTGCAACTTTTCATAAAGGACAACCAAAGGGTCCCCGGGTTAAATCGGGGCGTTTCCCATTTAGCAAGCCAGACATGGAAGGACGCTATTTCGGTAACTGCATTAAACAGAACCCAGTGATTGTTTTTTCGTTGCATGTTCCTTTCAAGACTATTGTAAGAGTACCATGGACTCTCGCGCGCGCACACACACACACACACCGACTCCTACCGTTTCTCGCTGCTGTGCGTTGGTGGCTGGGGCCCCAGTGCAGCCATTCCAACAGGAAGGCCAGCTCCGATCACCTCCACCGCTGCCTGCTGCTGTTCCCGTGCCTGCTGCTGCGCCAAAGCTGCTGCTGCTGTGGCCCCTGCGAGCACCACCTGCTGCGTTCCATCAGTCAGCTGCGCCAGTCTGTTGCCGCCGTGCTGCAACTGCAAATGCTGTTGCTGCTCTTGCTGCTGCAGTTGTTGCTGTAGCTGCTGTTGTTGCAGCTGCTGTTGCTGCTGCAGATGCTGCTGCTGCTGTAGCTGTAGTTGCATCTGTTGCTGCTGCATTAACTGAATTTGGTACGGATTTTTTTGGTTCATCGGGTTATGCTTAAATTGCTGTTGCAGTTGTAGCTGATGCAACTGCTGTTGCGACATAGGCATGCCTTGTTGTTGTTGCTGCTGCTGTTGCTGCTGCTGTTGCATGGCATGCGACTGCAGCTGTGGCTGCATGTCAGCAGTCTGTTGCACTTGCAAGTTATTGTTCCTCAACTGCTGTTGTAGCAGAAACATCCCGGCCAGATGTTGTTGCTGCTGCATTTGCTCTTGTAAACGTTGTTGCTGCTGCTGTTGCTGCTGCTGCTGCTCCTGCTGCTGCATTTGTTGCTGCATTTGTTGCTGCTGCCGTTGCCGCTGCTGCATCTCCATCTGAATTTGCTGCTGTTGCTGGTGAGTGCTCACTTGTGTGGACTGTTCAGGTTTTACCACCAACAGGTGTCTCAGAGTGCTTCCCTGGAGGGTGGCTTGTTGCTGCTGCTGCACTTGAGAGGGTGGCGGTTGCAATCTCTGCGCAAATGTCTGCGTGAAGGAGTTCAAGTCATGCAAGGCTCCAGATGCTGCCCTCTGCTGCTGCTGCTGTTGTTGCTGCTGTTGCTGCTGCTGTTGCTGCACCTGCTGCTGCTTTTGTGGCTGCTGTTGTTGTGGTTGCTGCTGCTGCCGCTCATGCACAGTGCCCTGCTGCTCCACACCATATCCGCCGTACTGCATGCCCACGTAGCCCACGTAGGCGCCCACGCTGTTGGGCCACTCGCCCAGCGACATGCCGGTGTCCGCTGGCGCCACTGCCTGGCTCCCGTGGTTGACGGTGTGCGGGAGGCTCGCCGGTCGTGGCGGCGGGTCTATATCAGTGCCTCGGTGTGGCGGCAGCAGCGCTGGTTGGAGGGCCGATGGCTGCTTGCCCGCGGGACCCGACACTCCGACCGCCGCGCCCGCCACTTGCGCTTCGGTGGCGACGCCGGCAGCGTTGGCGGCGTCGACGGCGAACGCGCTGCCATACAGGTGCGAGTGTGGGGCGCCTGGAGGCTTCCCGCCATCCCGCGAGTGCTCCTCCATTTCTCTCGCGCGCGATCCCAGCCGCGGTAACCGCAATTTGGCTCAGGTCAAATAAATAAAACGCATGGGAGGAACTAAACGGCTACGGTGATAGGGGGTGGGGGGGGGTGTGGGCACAGCGTCATCAGGAATGTGCAAGAGGAATAATCGCGTCGGGGGCGGTTTTGTCGACACTGCCGTTGCTCCGGATCAATGGCAAAATCAAACGTCGAGTCCCTGAGACATGAAAGCTTGAGTGAGTCTCGTAAATTTCCACTTGTAGTATTTCACTGTCGAAAAATAACACGGCAAAATGTATTAAACTATCGCTCTATTTTAATGTAGGTTGTCAGGCCTTACCGCCAACCAAACGTGCATTGTATTTGGAGGGACTTCGATATATATCCGTCTTCCCACTTGTGAGCGTGTCTCTGTGCGTATTTGGGGTCTTCTCTCCCCCCCGTTCCCGTGCTGCGATGGAGTGGGTCACATTGCGGGGACGGACGCGATGGTGACACTAATCCAATCAGGGCCCAGGTCTCTCATCTTCCTCTGCGGCCTGCAAGACATAATATCAAAGCCGTGTAAAGCTCTCTCCCAACACATTACAATGCATGGCATAACATTCCATTAAGGTGAGACAAAGGGAAAGATCGTTTCCGATTTTTATAAGCTCAGGTCCGGCACCTCGATAGCTACATCCATGAGTTTACAAGTGGCATGTGGTGTACAGGTTTGAGTTACCCTTTATGAAGGATGTGTTGTTGTATGGTCTCCCTATAGCCATTAAAATAGGGTTTTTTCCCCTGCACAATTAGCATGAGGCAGTGCTCATATCTGTTGATGGCAAGCAGAGAAAATATTTAATCTCTATGTCACTGTCCAATCTATCCATAGGTTAAGCACTATTCACTTGCCACAAAGTGGTACTCATTTCATAGAAATTTAGAGGTTCTGATGAGATGAACCAACTCCTGATTGGGATTTAAACTTATGACTTTGCTTAAATGTTGTACCACTTCTCGTAAGACTCTAATATTTCAGATTATCGTCTCTATCTATGAAAAGTTAAAGTCTGAGCGCTGTGTGTATGAATAGGATGTTGTTTGAACGGAACCTGTTGTGTCCAGTCCCTAAAAAAAACGAGTGAAGTTTAAAAAAAGACGTGTCAACTGAGTCTCCAGCTCCAGGAGCTGCTCTTTAACAAGTTAAATAGAAAATACAACTTCTGGGCTTTTGGGTAACAGTGCACGTGGAAGACGCAAGGAATTTAACAGCAGGATATAGGGTAGCCCACATGGACGTTCTGATGCCACGTGTCAATGCGTTGTCGATGTCATTATAGAAAAAGGAGGTCACGATGGGTTTGGCACATGTGCACGACAAACGGCGGCAGCTGATAAGGCCCGGGAACTCAAGTGGCATCCAGAAGCTGAGGACTAAGGGGAAAATAACAGGACGGTGGTGGTGGTGGTGATGCGACTGTTAGAGCTGACCTCCGAAGTCAAATGTCAGATGTGTAACAGCCGAAGGATCCTCGCACAAGGCAGCGAAAAAGTGAGGTGCGATGGGCATTATTGACCTCTGGATGCCGATCCAGATCTAGTTTTTCCGCTATCCCTAGACGCGAGCGTGTTAGGGGTGTAACGGGTTGGTTTTGTGTCTCCAGCTGGAGCGCTCACCCACGGCGTGGCTGGAGCGAGTGTAGTCAGACTCCGGGTGCAGGGACATCTCCCACGCAGGCCTCAACGCCACTCCTGCCGGCAGCACAAAAAGGGGTTCTGCTGTCATTCATGTGCACACGCAACGTCCGCGTTCCTTAGGGCGCGAGATGTTGACTACCTCGCCTGGTACACAGGTCGTGGGTTAGATCCCAACCCGGACAGCTGTAATAATCTAAATACACCTCATTTAATCAGATCATGGAAAGCGAAGCAGACTTGAGCTTGTATAGTACTTAGATGGGTGCACTCTACACAACAGGTTGCTTGCTATAGGCTGTGGGGCTACTTAGGGGGCAGCAGATGGCAGTGCAGTAAAATCCACTGCGGAGGAGCGACGCTCACAACAACGAGCGGAGTGCTGGGTGGCTAAAGCACAGCAAGTTGGCACAGTAGGGGGCACAGGTGGTGCATCAGCCAGTCATCTCAGTCAGTCGACCCGTGGCATCTAGGTCTGCCCCGTGACCTCCTGCCAGCGGGCGTTCGACACTTCACGTGGCCTCAAGGTGCACATGGCCTGGCACAAGCGTCGTGGTGATGTCACCGCCACTTAGTGGCGAATGGCAGTTGTTGTTGCATTCCGGATCTTGAAATATTGTCCTGAATTCGAAACAAATAGGCCCCTCTTGTTATTTTGGTTGCCGACTCGTGAGGCAGATGCTGTCACCTCGCTAGGCCACTTATCCACACTAGGTGGCGCGCCTTCGTAGGCCTTGCCAAGTTATAGCCATTGCGTCACAAACCCTGGTGGTGTTTAGTCTTCGGAGAGAATGAAAATGCTGAAGTGACATTTTCTTTGTGCGCAGTCATTCGTGACTGTGGTGAGACCATCAACATCGCTAAACTTGAGAATCTGGTTCAATCACAATACAGTGCCGTCAATGCAAGACGGACGCACGCACATAGCATCACAGCAGCGGTGCTGGTTCAGTGCTCTTGACGCGGTCATTATCAGCCTTCTCAGTGTCACTGGAGCAATGACAAGAACATTACATACACACAAAGCTTCCCTTCGGCTGTGTGACTGGTCCAAAGCCAGCGATGCTGTGCACCGCTGCAGCGAGCAACAGAAATAGCGACAGACGAGGCACGAGCGTGTGAGAGCACTGCTGTCGCTACTATCATTGGCCATTTAGATGCCATCGGTCGTGTTTAATCAAGGCTAAACCGTAGTGATAGCACACACGGCGTTGGCAGCCAGGCCATGAATTTGCCAAAGCCAACACTGTACCAGTTCCGTGAGGGGGGGGGTGCAGGCATGCGCTGGTGCCATTGCCAAATTACTGGTGCCCAGTTTTGCCCAAGTTTTTGTTGTTGTTGCTTAAACGTCAAAATCCACGAAAAAAACGTGTAGAGTTTGGTTCAGTATTATTTTCTTTGACTGAAAGGCAACGCGCTGTGAGCACCTGGTAAGAGGGTATGTATGGCACAATAGGGATGGTGTGTGACCACCATTGTACACGCCTGAATGTGTCAGTGCCGATGTTGGTCACAACGCCCCTCTCGCCAGATACTAAGGCAGAGGTTGACCTAGAGGATGCACGTGCTAGGTTATGATAACATTTAAACTTGTGCTGTGAATCACAGCCAAGAACCAAGCATTTCAACCACGGTGCCATCTGGCCGATTCCACGATAGTGTTCAATGTTTAAAGTCAGACCCCCCCCCCCCCCCCCACGGAAGGAGACGCAGAGTGGATCACAGTAGTTACACTGGCTGGTGATGTCTGCAAATGGAGGGAAAATATATATATTTCTGTGGTTGGGAAACTTTACTACAATCTAATGCCCTTGACAGCAATCAAAAAACGCTACATTTGCATCTGGAAGATGATACGCACACTGCACAGGAATTATCCGTATCAAATCAACACGACTGAAGTGATTTGTTCAGAAATGCGAGAAATCCGATTATTTGACAATATTGGGCCAATCTTATGGATCTTTATAAGGTGCAAATCAGGGCTGGATTAAAACCCCCCCACGGTTTACGTATCCTGGAGATAAAGACGAAGTGTCCCCTACTTCATTTGGTGTTGCTTGAATGGCAGTTAAAGCATAATTACAGTACATTCAAAGAACATTCCATTTAGTAAACATAAAATTTATATTAATAAGAGACTGCAATTAGAGTATACATGCATCAGCGTTGCACAGTGAATTAACAGGTCTCTTTTGCAAGGCAGAGCTGGGTTTAAATATTGGAGAACATAACATTCTATATTGCTGCAGCAATCAGTAATAATTACAAAAGCCGAAATGGATTTCACTGCTCAATTGAGCACGAAGCAGCGTTCATCTCTGTCGGGAATCTCAAGATAACGGGTACACAATCCACATTAATAATGAATGGTGGTGGCCAGTTTCTCCCTTCACGGGATGATCAGTAAACTTGCCACAAGGCAGAAGTAATTTTCCTTCAGGGCCGAGTCATCCCCAAATGGAATTTTTATTCTTTATTTTCCTCAACAGCATCGCCGCCAATGTTGGATGCAATAACATTTAAAAAGAAAAAAGCGACACATTTAATCACAATAGTAACAACAGTTATTGTGATTATTCATTCAGATGAAGCTTTCTGGCCCACGGTACTCTTTCAGGAGAGTCCTTCCTCTGAATGTTTGGCTAATTCCTATGTTGTGCACGTTTATACGTTGTTTTCTTTTAATACGATCTCGCGTTTCAAACACCGGTTCAGGCAACGAACACAGCACGGGTGGGGCATTTTTTTGGTTTCTTTACCAAGGGCTGAACTTTCAAATTCCTTTGAGGGGCTCCCATTAACACACCCCGGTCACTACTGTCGCTGCAACAAAAGTGACTAAGTGCACTAACATTAGAAACTCAACATTACCATGTTGAAATGTTTACCCTTTATTTACCCAATTGGTGTGGCTAATATCATAAATAAACAACGATTGGGGCTTTTTGAAGGCCGTATGGACATGTGATACCAAAAGTTTAATAGAAGTTTCAAAAGTGTATAAATTTACACTATGGGAACCTCATTTGCCAGTAAAAATATGATAATTGGTTTTTTACCCTTCTATCTGTCAGTTTTGTTGCCAGATAGAAGGGTAAAAAACCAATTATCAGTGTATAAATTATCCGAGTAAATGACACATTGAGCTATACAGCTCAAGGGTGACTCGGCCAGCAGACACACGGCAGAAATAGTTAATCAACACGATATCAAATAAAAAAAATATATAAATAAAGGTAATTACAACCAAATGATCTGATAAAACAATTACGGACATTCACATTTGTATAGTTTCGACCTCAACGATGTCTGTTTAAAAGAGTTACAGAGACGGCAGAGTGGTGATCCCCAGAGACGAGAGCAGTTGGTTAACAAAACTTTGGAGCAGCAGTAACACAAAACGCCTTTAAGCCAAGTTGCGTATGAAATCTAGGAATCGTAAACAATCAAGTTTGTATTTAGTATTTTGTAGCGGTATTAATACATCTGAAAAATAACGTGCAGATCTTTGGGTAACTGTATTATAAGTGAATATCGCCCAATGACAACTTCTTCACTGCTTCCAGGGACATTAGCCCTGTCACGGCGTGAAGGTGCAGGCCGGTGCAACCCTAGGCTCTCTGCCCTGGCCAAAGAGTCAGCTGTTTCAATGCTGCCGGCTTTGCAAGCAGGCGGGCAAAATCGCCCAAGGACAACTTCTTCCGTGCTTTCAGGGCCATTAGCCCTCGGCTCTCCCCGTCCAGGCCATAAAGTCATCAGCGGTCTCAATGTTGTACGCACCGCGTCGGCTTTGCAAACAACAGTCGGGCAAAAGCACACCACGCTCAGCGAGCGATAGGCAGTGATCTCACAGGGAGTGGCAGTGGCGGTAATCGAGGTGTTTTTGCTGCAGTGGTTCGTCACTGAGTGCTCCACGTGCGCCACTTACGACCCCCCCCCCAACCGACCCGGCTAGAACACCTAAATTGAGCCCAATTCTGCTGGGGCAATCGCAATTACAAGAGGCACCAGCGTGCTTGGGTCGCACGTGGCTCGTCAAAGACTCTACGGGCAGGTGGCTGGGTGGCTGGGTGGTGGCTCGGAGCGTTTGTCGAGCTGCTGCCACTTCAGGGATGCAGAGTCAGAATCCAGGTTTTCCGTCCCACGTGACTGAGCCGCGATGCGGCAACACTTAAAACTTTGCATTGGAAGACACAGCGGGGAAAATTCCCCATGCTACGTCCCGAGAGTGATTGAAAATTTGCGAACCGTTTATGTTACCACGACGCTCTTCGTGCGTAATTTGTGCAAAATTATTTCACGAAACCAAAAAAGTACCACGGATGTACGAACTTTTTTGAGCAACGCGATGATGATGCTTAAATCTTATATTGCTACATTATAAACCGTTACATAGATTTTTCGTATTAATTTAAGGAGTTTCTGTTTTGCTTAAAATTCTAAGCCTGCGTGCTGTTGTTGCATTTGCGATTATAATGTTTTTACATGTGCATTGTATTTGTAACATGTGTATCGCATCAACCTTTGCAATGAGAACTTTCAGTCTCAAAAAGGTCCTCATCTGGTTTCAAACAAAGCAGTTGACATCGATCGGCCCGGTCAAAAATAACTGCACCAAAAAAACGCATCATTGTCGTGTCGGAGTAGAAGCACTGACTGACATTTGCAAGGTTGCCAATTAAAATCCTGGTTGAAGGTCGACCTGGCCTATAAACCTTCCATAGTTGATTCAATTGAGTGCTCCTTTGCGTTAAGTCAAATAATGAGCACCCCCCACCAACATAGGAGTGTGGAATTTCCAACACGAAGATCCGGGCTGTTAACAGAAACGTCCATGCTGTGTGATCTCCAAGGCCACATTTCCAAGTGGATGCTATTGGATCACGTGGTGCATTTACATACGGCGATTGCACATTTCTGCCTAGTCATAAAAAAAACTTCACGTGAAAATAATTGCTTAGGCATAAACAACAACAAAATCACACGTCACCGTTTGCAAGAACAAGTTACCCTTTACCTGCTGTCATTTACAAATTTGAAAAAAAAATCACCCA